TCAACAACAGACCAAATTCAAAAACAAGACTCAGCCCTTTTTTTGTGCTGCATGGTTACCACGCCGACCCCATCCAACTACAACCTTTGCGCCGCCCCAACACATCAAAAGACTCAAAAGTAAGGGCAGAGGAGTTTGTCACGCGCCTCTACAAAGACCAGGAGATGGCTTAGGCCGCCATAGCCACAACACAGCAGATAATGGAGCACCAGGCAAACCAAAGCCGCCGCCCAGCAGAGAGATTCCAGACTGGCGACAAGGTGTGGCTCAACCTCAAAAATGTCTCAACTCTACAATTGAAGAAGAAGCTTGCTTAGACACACGCCAAATACAAGATTACTAAGATAATTTCCCCTGATGTGTACAAGCTGAACTTCGCAAGCAATATTAGGAAACACTTTTTCGTGGACCTATTATGACGTGCTACAGAGGATCCCTTCCCGTCTCAAAAGGTCGATGACACACAACCACTACCACTTCTTGACGGTCTAGACCCCTTATGGTCAGTTGAGAGGATTCTTAAGGCTGATAAATTTGGGAACAAACGAAAGGTCTTGGTAAAGTGAACAGAATATGTCGAACCAACTTGGGAACCTCGCGAAAATCTCATACTCACAGACGCATTCAAGGCATTTGTACGCAAATATGGCGAGGGTGATGACGTGGGAGAAGACAATATTGGGGCGTATACGGGTTCAACAGGAAAGAAAAAGTAAAGGAGAAAAGCTCAGTCTCAAACATGACAAGGCCCTATCTTAAGGGAGAAGGAAGGTGATGTTACGGTATTACATAATACCTCCACATATTTATGTACATATATATCCCTAGCTTCCCCTTTCTCTTCTGATATTGTCTCTTCTGATATTGTCTCTTCTTCCTTAGATATGTTTGAATCTAGATATTTCATCCCATCAGCCCTGGCCAGCGCAGCTGCAGGCCTGATTGTCACACCACTAAGCAGTGGGCCTAAATTGTCAGGGCTTTTTGCTCACTGTTTTGATACAGCCTTGGATTATATTGATCAAGCTTTACATTTGCCAGCGTCTACTGACCCTGCGACAACCCACAGGAAGTGGATGATATTCTGGAAGTATGGACTCCACCCTTTGGCTGCGTCATAACCAGGGATTTCAATGCTGGCGACATATCCTGGGACTCAAGCAATCCAGGATATCCTGGTGGTGCTATACTTACACAGACTAGGGAATGCACCCAGCCGGGGGAGCTCATGAATCTTGCTTTAGACATTGTCCACCAGCTCTTGTGGTTTATCATCCGGGACTATTCACCGATCAGCCTTGGGGACCCGGTCCAGGTCTCCTTGAATTGGGACAACTATTCGTAATGTCTCGTGATCTGAGGTGCACTGGAGTGCATCATTCATTGATGCTTCGGCCATGGGGACATCTGAGAAAACCAGATCTAGTATATTTCTGTCATCATGTGTTGGGACATCTGGTTCAGAAATCAGATCCAGTCCGTGGTCTGCCATAGTCTGTGTAAGTATAGCACCACCAGGATATCCTGGATTGCTTGAGTCCTAGGATATGTCGCCAGCATTGAAATCCCTGGTTATGACGCAGCCAAAGGGTGGAGTCCATACTTCCAGAATATCATCCACTTCCTGTGGGTTGTCGCAGGGTCAGTAGACGCTGGCAAATGTAATGCCTTGTACCTTGACCCAAGTGATGTCTCGTGTAGCATAAGGCCAAAATTGATCCGTTTAAAGATACTTTTATATATAGATGAGAGATCTGGGTCGTGTACTGTCGCTGTCCCAGGAATCAACCGGGGAATATATATCATAATTTGGGTGTCTTTACTCTCATTCTTTTGCCTGGTGGTGTGCTGACCCAGGGTTCTTGCATCATAATGATGTCTGCTTGCTCTCTTGTGTAGTCAGTCAGGTTAATGGCTAACTCTGTAGGGCCTGTACTCTTTTGTCCTCCTGCCGCATTTACGGAATGGATGACCAGGTGCCCATGTCGATGTGTTTCGTTTGATGTACCTAGCATTGATGGACAACAATGGTGTCGGCATTTCTGGGATGAGCTGTATTTGTTGTATCAATTTGCATTGTAGTGTCTTTGTTATTGTTGTTAGGCATTAACCTGGCTTGGTTTCTGCCTGTTTTATTAAAGGCCCTGGATCTGGCTCTTTCTCCGGCCAGCCTTATTTCCTGGATTTGTTCCCATGTGTGCTTGTAGATGATACCTTTCATGACCTTGGAGCGTGCAGGGCATTTGTCAAAGTTGGCAGCATGAGGCCACTTGTAGTTGACACACTTTGGGATTGGTTTTTTGCACTCCCTTTAGTGTACTATGCTGGCGCAATGTGCATATATTTGCTTTTCACATCAGTAGTTTCTATCATAGTATCTGAAGCAGTTCGCACACTGGTGAACCTTGGGGGAGTATTAAATGTGCCTCGAGGTCATTAAGTGAACAAAAAGCATGAATGGTTTCTTTGTTATACGGGGCAGAGAGATCACCCATGTGGTCTTTGGATCTGAATTAACTGTGTTCCTTGAGAATATGTACCTTAAAGGTCTGTCACCTGTTTGGGCTTTAACCTCGTCAGCGACAGCAGTGTTGGTAATGTCGATTGTAGACCTTTCTGCACTGATGACCTTTCTTGGGCATCTATCAACCTTGTAGTGATGCCAGACCGTGTGAGTTTCAATCTTTTATGCCTTAAGAATGTCGGCGATCTCTTCTTAGAAGGCCAGGAGCTTAGTCTCAGTTGGCTTGTCCCTTTGGTATAAGGTGAACCCGGAGGGGCACCGCGTCACCTCTCTAAGCTCCTAGGGATGGAGCTTAAGTCTTCTATTCAGTGTAAACTTTATTTTGTAAGGCTCTCGGTGGCTATTGTCTATGCGGATAAAGACCCAGAGATCATCCTGCTTTTTCTTCAGTTGATTGGCAGCAGTAAGGGTGCCAGGCTGTGTTTTCTTTATAGTGGTGTTAACTGTCAGTGGATGTTGTCGGTGGTTAGAAGAGACAATTTGGGCAAAAGTCATGGTGGGCTTCACCATCCCTATTCTCCCAGGAATGGTCTTTCTTTTGGGCGGATCTCGGGTTTCTAGCCACTCGCTCAGGCATTTAGAGAAGAAGGCACTGAATTCCTTGGCATGTGAGTATAATTCAGTTCCGGCTTTCTCAAGTGTCTTGTTAACTGTTATAACACACTCTTGAAACATTGTCTCCTGGTTTCATAAAGGTGCCTGTCTTTATCCAGTATTTTGGCAACTTGGTCCTGGCACTCTGAGGAGGAGGCCTTACTCCTAGTATCGCGTTTAATGGCTTGGTCTGTAGAGATTTTGTTCAGTTGAGGTCGTTTCATTCCAGTGGTACTGCGGTCATTGATATTTCAGGATTTTCCTTTCAAAAGGGAAATAACGGTGAAGTCAGCCTTAGAGACCTGTGACGGGCTGCTGCTGATGTCGTCAAGCAGCGCCTGGCGGAGCCTGCTCAGAGTTGCCGGGCCGTATGTCTTTCTAGGGGCCGGGGATTTGTGCATGTCGCAAGTGGTCGTCTTTGGGACGGCCACGGGCGTGTTTGGGGACTCGTTGTGGAAGGGTGCCATCCGGCTTATGAGAAAAATTCTCTTGTGCCTTAACAAAGATAGTCAGTTACTGAGAGAAATGCCTATTTTAGCGCAGATATTGAGGTTACGCCCTAACAGCGGGGCGCCAAGAAAAATAGTTGAGTTAGAGTTGCATATATGAATAACGGCCCTTATAACGCCCTTAAGTCCTACTACCAGAGATTCCTTACCCAGTTAAATTCTCTGACTGATTCCTTCCCTGTTGACAAGATCAACTTTATCCGCTATTACAGCAAGGCAAGAGACAGGGCGTTTACACCAAAAAACATCCGTTCGGGCTTCCGAGTGACAGGGTGCTATTCAATTAGCCACAAAAAGTGTCTAGACCATCCAGAAATCTAAGAAGACAAGTGGAAGACCCCCGAGCCGAAAGAACAGGAAGACTCGGAGCCAGAGGACCAACAGACCCCTACCATGAGCCGGCAAATCCGGGATTTCGGGAAGAACCGTTCCCCAGCCACTCGGCTGAAGTTCCGGAAGATCTCCCATGCCTTTGGGAACCAGGAGATAGAGCTGGCCATAAAAGACCAGAAGATCAGGGCCCTGGAGGCTGAACTGGAGCGGCTACAGCCCAAGAAGAGAAAGAAGATATCAAATCTTAACAAAAAGTTCATAATAATCGTAGAAATACTAACCCAGGGTGGTGATCCGTTAGTTTCGGTTGCTATAGAGTCTTCTTCTTCTTTTTCAGAGTCAGAGGTTATTGAAGACGAGGGTGAGGAGGACGAGGAGGTTGCGGACACTAAAGAGGCTGTAGAAGCCCCTGTTACAGAAGCCCAGATGACTAGATCCAGGCGGTCAATCCGGGCGCCGGCTAGATACGTCGATTGAGCAGCCGAAACACCACAGAATGATAATTTTGCTGGTTTTTTGGACCCTATACAGCCTCAAATGCGTGTAAGTGAGTAGGGGGGTCTTTTGGTGGTGGTGGCGGGGTTTGGCTGTGCCGGTAGTGGGGGTGCGCCGGTTCGGGGGGTCGGATGGCAGGGCTTGTCCGCGTGGCATCGATCAGGCAGCCAGTCTAAATTTTCTGAATACTTAGCTACCTGCCAGCGGTCACGCTGACGGCGATCGATTCCACTCAATTACCGACGTGCTTCGAGATAGATGCGCGAGTAGTTGGAAGTCAGGTCTCCGTTACTACTAGCCGCCTCTTTGATGGGTCTCTTCCCCGAGGATATCTATGAATTGATATTTGAGCTTCTTCCCCGGAAGTCACTACTCCAGTGTCGCCTCGTAAGCCAGCAAGTCGGACTTATAGCGACTTCTTGGGCATCCTGCCACACACGACTCGAGATGACGATGGGACAGAACTGGTTCGAACAAGTTGCGAAGAGCGACAACCTGCGACCGCTCTAAGAGAGGTCACCCTCGACTTGCGGGCGGACAAAATCATGTCTTTCCACCGCCGTCGAAATCAGCCGAGATCGGGAACCCCCTTGTTCAGGAGGATCGCTTCGTCCAAGTCACTCTTTCACGCTCTGCCTCTTTTGCGGCTCTTTACGAACCTCAAGGTACTCAACATCAGGTTCGACGAGGTCGACCATTGCTCCCTCTACGACGGGGAGAGTGAATCTATCAGACCTCAAGAACTCCGCTACTATACCTTGATCATTGTGTTTAAGTGCCTGCTGGGCACGTGGTCTGGGGAATGGCAGAAGCAGCTTGAGGTCGAGCTCAAAATCCGCGAGCAAGGCGATGAAGCAATCGTCGAACCGGCCGACACGCAGCCCACTATTCCCATCAAGCTGAAGACGCTTACGATATCACGCATCGATGCTTATGATGATACTCGTCTCACCTCTTCAAGGGATTTCCACCAAGTCATCGAGTCGCCGAATCTGCGGGAATTGAAAATGTTTACTAACGAGAACCTTATGAAGTCTGATGACGAAACGGGCAGATACACTTTCTTTGAGTGTCTGCCAATGACCTGGCTAAATCCCCGGATTGCCCAGAACCTGCGAACACTGTCCCTCTACACCTCAGACTATTGGGGTTGGGATCCCAAGATGGATTTCCGCCAGGCCAATCCCGGTTCCGCTTCAAGCTTCCCGAATCTGAAAGTTCTAGCTCTTGGAAACTACGTGTTCAGCCACCAATGGCAGGTCGACTGGCTTGCATCTCTCGGTTCGGACAACGGCGACGGGGGCTTTCGAGAGCTGTATCTTGATGATTGCCCAATCATGTGGTTTGCGCGCTCTTGGAAGCCTTTGGATACTACTGTTACAGTCTGTCTGACGTCCGACGGAGACCAGGTGCGTTTTTCTAATGATGGATATTCTCGAAAAGAAGACGTGATCTCGGGGGGAGACGACCTGCAGCTGGGCTACACTGAGACTCCTTTCGGCCTTCGATGACGGCACGTATTATCCCAGTGGAGGCACACTCTGACAAGCCTCAGAACGTTCCAAATGGGACACAGCTCCAACTGGGAGCATCCAAACATGCAGGGTTTGGAAGGCAGGTTCTTTCCTGAGGCTCTGCTACGCAGTCCAAAGCTTGAGGAGGAGCAGGCTGCAGCTCGGCGTGCCAACTCCTGTGGGAGGCTGAGAATCACGATGCATAAAACGTGTTGCGATCTAGCGTGTGGATTGGCAAACATACACCTCGAAGTCGAAGTCGCGCTGTGATGGATACCACATAAATGGAGATTTTTCCCTGTCCAATCTAAAAGTCAACCTAACTAGTTAATTCTACATCAGATTACCCGGAGGAGGAGGTTCCCATAACCGACCAATTGCGGCGCGACGGAGTAAAGCAGCACCGTGTTTGTAGTTCGCGACCTAGAGCACCGAGCTTGACTCGATGGCCATCGCGGTTTGAAGTGTGAATTGACCATAACTTCCGGAAGGTTATCAGCAGCGAAGCAATAGTAGAAATACTCGCGGCCAGTGAAGAGACAGGAGAGGGGTCGTAGTAGTCTTCCTTGTAGTAGTAGGAGGGGGAGTAGCAACAACCAAGGAGAAACAGAATGGATGTGCCAAGACCAGCAAGCACAATGGAAAATAGTAGGCAGTGATAGCAGCAGCAGTGAAGCCAGTAAAGAGAGAAGTCGTCTATACTGTCACCCCCATAAGCCTCCGCCCTGCATGTCTCTATCCATTCTGGAATATCATTGCTATATTAGTTTTAATGGAATAGGAAGCATGGGATAAGCAACTAGGACGTATCAAGAAGTCCGAGGTGCTTATAACAGAGTGATTATTCTGTTTACAATAAATATACATTTTGCTTGCTGAACGAGTGGTATGTGGAGACGTTTTGAAGGTTCGGTGCAGCCAAGAAAAGAATTAGTAGGAAGTGATAGCAGGAGTAGTAATAGCAGCAGACCAGTGCAGCGAGAGAAGACTGGGATTTGATTAGTAGCAGTAATGGTCGCAGCAGCTGCAGCAGCCCAGTGGTTGAGAAGTCGTCGAGAAAGCCGAAAAAACGACGAGTAGTAGAAGCGGCAGCAATTGAAAGCAGCATTTGCATTTGAAAAGCAGTTGAGTTTCGTATGGTGTCAACATGATTGGACCTAGATGGGTCTGAGTTGATGGTGTCTGAGCTGATGGCTCATAAGCAGGAAAACTTGGACAATGGTTGGCCGGTCATTCGCATTGTTCTGAACCCTGTCTTCACCAGTTGGCCGCGAGGACGAGTGCTTTCGAGTGCAAGCCTCTGCTATCACCGAGTGCTAGCAAAAGCCTCATGGAAGATGGCAGATTGAATGAAGCACAGTTCAATAGCAACAGGGGCGTCAACAAATAAAGAGAACGCCACATGTAGCAGATCGTTCGAAGGCATCGTGAGACGCCGCAACAAAGGAGTCCAGCACACAAAGCGCCTGTGCGCGATCGACATCTTCTCCATTGATGAGAACCAAGGCATTGTTAAGCCACACGCATTAGAGGGATGCCAGTGAAAAACTACATATACACGTCCTCGACGCCGACTCGTCATGGACCAAGCTCAAACCCATCTTACCCCCTTGCGCTACACGACACGGACCCCCTATATATACCAACACACCCCACAAGCTAACGACACTAATCCGCACAGTCCACAGTCATATATCTAGATCTACTAACATGACTAGCATGCTAAGACTGGAAGTGAACAATGCCCGCGAGCGGTTCCACAAGAGACTCGAGCGAATGTGAGCTGGGTTCCTCGCTCAGAACTGAGTTCAGACTCGGAACACAGTTCTGAATCGGAACACAGTTCTGAATCGGAACACAGTTCTGAGAGGTAAGTGTACGTATATAATCAGGTAAGTAATTCCTTCTGCCTAATACATATAGATATATCTGTCATGCAACTAAAACAGCCGTGTCCGTTGGCTAAATGTCGCGCTTGGATATTGCACAAAACATAAAGTGTCATGTGAACGCTGATATTAAAGGGTGACAAGTAAATGCACTATTAATAGATTCACACATGACAACATGTGTTGGCAACGTAAGGGACATCAACCAACACGATTTTGATAGAAGGCGCAGTCGCAAGACCCCTCCCTTTCCCCCGCCACTCACTTCCTGTCCTCATTCCCCCGATAAACTGAGCCCCGAACCATGGCGGGAATCCAGATACGGGAAGGCAAAGCGCCTTTTGAGATCCCATCAATTGCTGAGCCATGTTTCACCTACTACAAGATCATCGGCGACCTCGCCAGCGGTGCTCCTCCGGTTGTCGTAGTGCATGGCGGACCTGGCGCTGGACACGAGTACCTCCTCACATTTGCAGACCTTTGGTGGGATGATGGCCTCCCAGTCGTCTTCTACGACCAGATAGGCTGCGCCTCCTCGACTCATCTGCCGCAGAAAGCCGGAGACCAGTCTTTCTGACAGGAGCAGCTCTTCCAGGGCGAGTTGGACAACCTGCTGGACCACCTCGAGCTGCGTCGCGACCCCGGCTTCCATCTCCTCGGCCAGAGCTGGGGAGGCATGCTTGGGTCAGCCTTCGCCGCCGGCCGGCCTCAGGGTCTCCAGAGGCTGATTCTCGCGAGCGGACTTGCGGACATGCCGCTACCACCCTTTTGTTGAGAGACCAGATGCCACAAGACATGCAACAGGCGCACAATGAGGCGGAGAATAAGGGCGTTTACGACAGTCCGGGGTATAAAGACGCGATGGCCTATTACTTCAAGAAGCACGTGTGTCGTGCCGAGCCGTTTCCACCACCGGAGATGCTTCCGACTATGAAGAACTTCGACGAAGACAGGACGGTGTATAGTACAATGTACGTTGCGATTTCCTCTTCTACAAATTGTTGGGATGAACACACAGCCAAGGGGGGATTAGTTGTCCATGGAATAATCCCCAAACCAGCATCGAGAAGGTCTCATCGGCATGTTCCAGTACCCATCATCATAACAGTCCTGACTTCTCGAGCTCTTACCACCTTAAGCTATTACTCGTGCAAGCCCTCCTGTTGGTCCTCTGTTGTCTGCCGTGGTTCCAATGCTAAACCGCCTAGGTACGGCCCTTCGTCACTCACGATGATCGGCTCGCTGAAGGACTGGACCGTCATTCCCCGTCTTGCCAAGATCAACGTTCCGACCCTCGTCTACAATGGCGAATTCGACACCTCGAATGACATCGCCCAGGTTCCATTCTTCGAGCTTATACCACGGGTACGCTGGGTCACGCTCCCAGGTGCAGGCCACATGTGCCATCTGGAAGGGAGTGGGTTGCGGGAGAGGACTTTGAAGCTGGTTGGCGAGTTTCTGACACAGAAGGATATAGTTGAGGCGGAGTGAGCTCCTTGAACATTTATGTGATTGAGCGGTGTCCGAGTCTGGAGCGCAGAATTCGTGTAACCCCGATGAGCTTGGAAGCCGATACAACTTACCAAGCGCAATGCTGGCTGTTGGTGGGACCCAGACAATCACGATGTATTTGCATCTTTACGTCATTTTGGACGCTTATCGGCTGCTTGTTTATTGGGTTGTAAACTTTTACGTTGCCAGAGATATAATCGGTTGTGATGTACAGCTGCTGGAAGGAACGGCGCTATCCGGGGGTTTGATGCACCGGTATTCCTCTTTGTGCTTCGCTTATTGTCTTGTGAGCTGTCAGTTTGAAGAATCTCCTCGACGGTAGCTTCTGAGACCTTTCCTTTGTCTGTTCGTGTTCGTTGCATGAACCACGTGTCACAATTTCTTTTTTGTACTACGGGTTGAACATCAGAAAGTCGGTGTAGATGCCTATCAGAGATGGGACATTCACTTGTATCCCCAAACTTTCCGTCAGTCTTGAGGATTTGGTGCTACCTGTCTATCTGTGCTGAATCTCTGATGGCTAAAACTCGCAGCGAACGTGTCATGCACATAGGTAAGCCAATTGTAGGCCTCACCGTGGCGACTTTCACTTAGCTTCAAAGGTCGTCGTCGTATCTGCTGTGATTCAGATGATGATATGTCTCATAATGACCAGTCACCTCGTTGCAGCCCACAATGCTGGGGAACAAAGACTCACACTGTAACCATCAACACCAGCAAAGCAGATTCCCGAACACATGAAGCCCTGACTGCTGAACTGATCTAGGACAACCGGCTCAGTATCCCAGTCTAGCGTGCTCTCTGAATCTATATAGTAGTAAAAGGGCTCTTTGACGCTGAGAATGCAGCGTATCTGGCGTTCTCAACGAAACTCGAGCATGACCCAAAAACACCATAACGCAAGATGGGCCATCTACATTACCTCATTTACCCAGACAACGACCCCAAGCTTGCCAGACTAGCCGTGCACTGGGCCACAACTCTAGTGTTCCTATGGAGCTTTTGTTTCAACTTCGGCACAATGGCAATCTGGGTGTTCATGATCGCAAGCGGCAACCCTCCTTCGCCCAACTTCATCTTCATCTACGGCATAGCTGATATGGCGTTGCTTACCGTACTGCTCCTGATCTTGGCATTCTTGAGCGTACGTGTCTCCTGGGTCGAGCGATACTTCATCTACCCTTCGGTTCCCGGTCTCTTCTACGCGGCCAAGAGCCTCCTCCGCCGGTTTCGTAAGACGTGGCAACGCATCAGGGCGCTAAGGTCGAATGAAATACCCGAGACCGAGACCGAGACGGACTGGCGACAGGCTTACGGAAGCAGCTCGGGGGATCCATATCAAGCGGCATCGATGATAGTCTTCCCGTCGACATCTGCAGAGAGCGTCGTCGAGGATTTCCCTGCATACGACGAAGACGGCGGTGGTAGCTCAGCCAGGGCCCCAGAGGAGGGGACGACGTACGAGCTCTTCCCCAACGCGCACCTGCATGATCCTAACAGTGGCAGCCACCCGTCGCGCAGCAGTCTGCTCAAAGCGAAAGGACCGGATCGTCGTCCCGATAGCCACCGAACCAGCAGCGCAACGTCGTCGATGCCCTCAATATCGGAGCTTCAAGAACTGGACATCGACGATGACATCCGGCCGAGTGGGAGTGTCCGACCGCCGCGGGAAACTCACAACGGAAACCGGAGCCATACAGGAAGGGAAGAAAGAAGGATTGGCAAAGTGCCGCAGCACCATGTCCAATATTCGCCCGCAGACATTCAGCATCATAATAGCGTGCATGCCGTCGTCGTCGTCGATGACCCTCAGCAGGGTTCCTCGCAAGATGGCGCTCCGATCAGGTATAATGATACACTTGTTCCTAAAGAGTCTCTGGTGATGGTGCGGGGAACGAGACTCGAGGAAACGGGTCGGGATGTTGAACTGAACTTTGAGTCTTTTAGAGAGGTTCGGTGTTAACATCGGGTTTGAGGAAGATACTGGTGCTCGAATCGTTTCGTGTTTTTGCCCACCCACTGTAGGACTAGGTCTGCCTACCGCATGGTCCATACAGCCATTTAGGGTGGAACTGAACGTCTCACTTGCATGAGAATTCGTACTTGGATATCTTAGCGATGAATCATGATCTTCTTGTCAAGGTTACTGGGTCTTTTTCGCTCCGCTGCTGGTATTCTCTGAATCCGAACTGTATGTTCCGAGAATGGAGTCAGAGCAGAAAAATTTGAGGGAAGGCACGGGCCATGTAATTTCAGTTATGAGTTGTGTGAATCACAAGATGGGGGTCCGGATAAATGCATATTTGTGACGAGGATGCTTAAGGTAATGTTGTGCCTTTTGGTAGCTTTCCCAGATGCTGACAAATCACAAGTCTTGTTGTAATCTATCAGTGGTCTGGGTGGTGCTTGATTAAAAGGTCGGATGGAAAGGATTCCATCCGAGATGTATCTAAATACCTAAATTACAGTGGTGAGGTACCTGGGGCAACAAAGGGTTGCCAGGCAGCCTTCATCAGGTAACCTCCAACATATCTGGTGGGGTTACCAGAATACTCCATATGGGTCCATGCACTGGATCCACAATGTAGCGGACCATTTCTTTTTCAGCAATTCTTTCCGCCTTGACAACCAACCGTCAGACCTGAGACAGACAGGTTGCAGGTTACCGTATCGAATCAATCGTGCAGGACCGTCCTCCCCACACCCGTTCATTGGTCGAGAGGCGACTATATTTGTTTCAATCGTGCATGAGTTATGCCGGTGTTCTGTGTTGGCCCCCTCGGCTCTGCAGGCAGGTCACAGGTGCAGGTGCTCCAACTGGACCGGTACGTTCCCCTTGATTGCTTGGCAACGCCGAACATAAATATTAACCGACCGCGTTTCCTAGGAGAGAGGCAGCAGCTGAATGCGACATCACCACCGCCGAGTTTCGTACTGTACAGAGTAACATTGCATTTGTAAACCGGGACGCGTGACTCTCCCAGTCTCCCCCGAAGCTGCACCAAAACAAATGAAAACACATAATCCAGACGTTCGTTACGCGCCAACAGCGACTATCAACTGTACGGCACCCGTAGCTGGCTTAATGTTAGGTGCCTCAACGGTAACCGTTGACAATAACTTAGCGTGTCCTGCGGGAGATTCTCGTCACTTCACTTTCCACATTGTGAGTAAGAAGTGACGGCCGATCGGTATTTGTTGTGAGCACCAGCTAATCAATCTGCAGAGCGTGCCGACAATGGCCCAGCAGCAACAGGCTAAACGGTCACGTAAACGCGCGCGGTCGCAAGGATTTGACGACGACGAAACTGACAGCCAGACGTCTCACCCAAAGATGTCTGACGGACAGTCACAAGTCCAAGCCCAGGGTGAGGGTGTATCCGTCGTGACGATAGCAATGTTCCGGAACTTCCAGCAGGACGTTGCAGGAGCGTTTTCACAACAGCGCGCCGAAGTACGACGATTAGACGAGCGTGTACAGAACCTCGAGCGGCGTGTCGACTCCCTCGAGAATGCCGAGTACCAGGCCATAGCCGCTGTGCGCGCACTCAAAGGCGACGTTGTTGAGCGTGTGAACGAACACCACGAACGCTTGGAGAACTTGGTGTCAACAGCTAAGCGGCATAATGAGTTGCTTGCCTCATTTGGAAATCCAAAGGCATCGGCAATGGCTCCCCAACAATCACGCAGTCATCCGCTGCCCACACCAAGCCCAATCCTGCCTTGTGGACCATTTGGGACGGCCGAAGATCGCATGAACGTCTCTGTCCAAGATCTCAAGGATCAGGTCTGTGAGAGCTCCACGAGGCTGGAAGAGCAAGAGAGGCGCATCGTGGCTATTGAAAATGGCAATGGTCTCTTCGATCGTCGTGTTGCGTTCCTCGAGCAAATGGGTAGCGGTGCGGATGTGAAAGAAGCACAAATCACCGCAATGCTCCAAGACCAACGGAAGCGCCTCAAGGCTCTAGAAAAGGCCGCTAAGCAAAGCCAATGTTCAGCAGCCCGGGGCCAGGAGCAGACATTGAACGGTTTCCAAGCTCCTCTGGGCCAGGGACATCCCCCGCAAAAGATGGACGAGGACGTCACAAAACCCAAGGCTCAGCCAGACTCGCCTGCTAACTCCCACGGGAAGGCCGGGATGGCTGGGGCGAGCGATTCCACAGCGCTCAGCGAGCGAATAACCTCAATCGAGATGCAGCTCGAAAACGTCCGTCTGTCGGTGGCCACTCTTGAGTGCGAGGCTCAGAACAAGAACTCGGAGGAAGAAGGCCAACTCGAGTTCCTCAAAAGGACAGACTTTCGGCGCGAGGGAGATCTCCTGGCTCTGAAACCATACGAAGATACACCACTGCTAGTGGTGTTGTTTTCCGAAAAGGACAAGTGCGAAGACGATTCTCTCACAGTCAGCCGGGCCTGCCTTCACAAATGGTCGTATCTCCTCTGCCGCAGCCGGGAGGACCCGAAACTGATCTCAGACTTCTGGAAACAAGACCATTGGAAGCAGTTCCCGGTGGTCATCGAGCTCGAGCGCAAAGCGGACGTGGCGAAGGACGACAACAGATACTATCCACGCTACGTAATCGAGCTTGGTGAGATCTACAACCTCAAGCCGAAAACAAATTACTTCGGCGGCCAGATAACGCACCAGTCGACGGGCTTCCACCTAGTTATGGACGTCACCAGGCCGGAAAAGTCGCTCTGGATGGTCTACCGCTACGAGGACCAAGCGAGCAATGGTCGGAATCTGAAGCAGTCGATCAAGTACAGGCAGGACCGGTTCTGGCACCCGTTTTCGAGCGTGGGAGAGTTCGACATCGCCCAGGTGTACGAGAGGATCGAGGACTGGATGGGGTTCAACACGCCGGTGGGCAGATATGCGGCGTCGAGGAAGCTGGTTAAGCAGACGGCTGGACTGGTCAAGCCTATGTTTGTCGAGCCGATTATCGACGAGGTGAGAGAGGAGATTGCCAGGGGCTGGGGCCCGGAGCACCCTGTGGAGGGTGGTAGCGGGTACAAAGTTTCATGATTTCTAGCATGGCGGATTAGAAACGGATTGGGGGACGGAGGACAGGTCGATGTGGACGTCGGCATACTTCGGACCGCAATTGAGGCAGATATGCGTGGGTAGGCTGGATAGGTTGGGTGGTGTGACGGCCTGCACAGACCTTCCCACATGACAAGCGGATACTTCCCAATAGGGGAAGGATCTGACCAGAGGATCCCCTTAAAGGGGCAACCTCCCACTGTACCTATCTCTCTCTCTCTCTTCCTTTCCTCTCTAGTCTTGATATTCTCGTCAATAGTGTAATAGCTGCTTGCTGCCGGCCATGTCCCAGCTCCTCAGTACGCTCGCCGTGACAGGTGGCGCAGGTCGCCATTGGGAACTTGTTTGGCTTTATATACAGGGTGTACGCTGCAGTCTTTCGGTCAGCATAGTGAGTACCTACATGTATAATAAGATCCATCGCGAAAGAGTCGCAATACGCCACCGCTATGCGCACGGAAATGACCCAAGTTCCACTGTTAAGACTTCCTACAATCTAGGGAGATTTTCAATTCCTTTCATTGATAAGCTCTCAACCGCAAGAGGAATGTCAAACCCGAATTCCTTGAAATGTAACAAAAAGCAAAGCCCCCGCGCTGTACACAAAGTCTAACAAAATAACCTTAATCATCGCTTCACCTACGATACCATCGTTAACATCGCCACCATGCGCAAGGAGAAATGAGGGCATGTCAGTCAACTGATATTAATAAGAAAAAGCAATGTGCTCACATGTAGACGCTCTGGAAGTTTGATGGTCATTTATCAAGCAAACCCGATAGTAGACACACAAACTTGACCTAATATACGAGAGTGCTACAGCCTACGAGTGGTCGTCTTGCATTGCATTTGAGACAAACATGACCGGGTAAACCTGATTACTCCATGCTACTTAGTGAATCCAACCTGGATTGATCACGTCAGCTGACGTCGGAGCACCGGTTCTGCAGTGTGGTGTGGTGAGCTTCAAGCAAACCTACCTACCCAACGGCACAGCTACGGCTGGCCCGACTGCTAGTAGAGTTTGCATAGCGTTCCCGTCAAGCTGGTACCGAGCAAACTATATAAGCCTCCGATCCCGAACCTGTGTCGGAAGGCAACGTGGTGTGAAGCTCGTCCTCAGACTGTAGGAGTCAGCAAGTCACACCGACTTGTTCAAATCCATGTTCTGTCTGTATGATGTATGACGGGCACCATCGATTTGAGATTCGTACCCAAGTAAGTCTATTACCCCGCAAAGCGGGAGAACCCCAGCCTTGGAGCCAGCCAACCTGCAGCTACCCATGTCTTGGGGCATGTTGTGTGGGATGTGCTCTATACCTCTGATGGGGGCACGACGTTCTCGTTCTAGCAAGTACTCATACTCAACGCATATCACCGGTCTCCCTAGACGCTGCCAACGTGCATGCTCCTGCCTCCTAGCGTCGCCGACTATGCCCATTTCAGGAAGCTGCAATGACGTTTTCAGTTTCCCCGACTGCCCCCGCAAGTATAGCTCGCACCGCCGCCGCAAGTTGGAGGAGTCGCCAATGGGATGTCATTCCAGCTCGTCAACACCGGTAAACATGCACCTCACTCATGCCTGCTTCGGCCCTTCTTCCTGCATCTGCGCTCTCTTCTATCCCGTCACCTGCCGTCAACATGGGGCTTTCTATGTGTCCGCGAAGCCTAAGGTACTTCCTCTCCACTCGCCGGGCTCTCTTGCCTGCCGGGGTCCTCCTTGGAGTCTGGACATAGCCCTGTTCCTCGGCTTCCCAACTCCCTCTTCGCGTTGACTTTAGGTACCACCCGCGTCACTCACATACTTCATGCTGGTTCGCTTCCACCGTTCGGTCCACTCGGTAAAGCACGACTTGGAGCAGTGCGGAGTCGACCCTATGCGGAGAACCTTGTCCACGTTGTTGGTATCCACGCAAGGGCACACAGGGCTTCATCATCGGAATCGGAATCGGAATCATCTACCTATATCCACCCTGTCGGTGCCGTGCGAAGCACATGACGGCACGAATCTACAATAAGCACGCTCATATCATATGCTCTCGTTCTCACCAGGATCCAATCCATGCATTAGGGTGCCAAAAGTGACCACTGACCAACATCGACGGTGACACCCCTGGCGGGCGCTCCATGCAATATTACCTGCGCCTGTTCGTCACCCGATCCACTCAGCCCTGCAGGGAAACAATAGACATTGGAGAAATAATAAGGTAGACGTGAGGGAACTTTTAATAAAAGAAGACTCGTGGCCGGCTCTCTCACTGCCCAAGGATACCTCCAAGTTCATTTTCCGAGCCTTGCTCTCTTCCTCGGACCACTGCAGCGCTCGCGTCCTACCGTTCTGTCATTCTGGGCTTGGCTTACCCCAGAGGTTCCACGAACGAAAGCCTTAAACGACTTAGAGTTGTGCAGCCCACGCGCAAGCCACGATGCGTTTCTCCGCCGTCGCCGCTTTGTTGGCGGCGACCTGCAGCTCGGCTGCCACCGGCTCGGTGAGTCCATCTCTCATCAGACTTCACATCCTCTCCCGGTTTTGAACTGCTTTCTTTTGAAGAGACACAGTGCCGCTCTCTGAGGTTGCCTTATGGCCGTAGCCATAGTTGAGAGCATCGCTTCGGGGGATGCACAGCGGGCTTGCAGCTGTCCGAATAGCCTAGACCCATTCGCATGACGAATTGGACAGACGATGCGCTTCACTCGCAGCTGCTAACCATCCCCAGGTTCAAAAGCGAGATTTGGCAACCTCCGAGCCGCACTACCCGTCGCCATGGATGAATCCTCAAGCTTCGGGTTGGGAAGATGCCTATGAGAAAGCTCGAGCTTTCGTGTCCCAGCTCACACTTATGGAAAAGGTCAACCTGACCACGGGTGTTGGGTCAGTCTCCTCTTCAATTGCAACTACAGACAGATTGAAAACTGACAGTGTGCAGTTGGGAAGGCGAGCAATGTGTCGGCCAAGTCGGTTCGATCCCGCGGCTCGGGCTTCGCAGTCTTTGCATGCAAGTGAGTACTCTTTCTACCTTCCCCCCTATAGCTGGCAGAAGGAAGTGGACGCCAAATCCGTGGGAGCCAATGCCTTCACGGCTAACCCCATAACACCGGCCACTTTTCGGCCCAGCAGAGACTGACAAATGTGGCAGGACTCGCCTCTGGGTGTTCGCTTTGGCGACTATGTTAGCGCCTTCAGCTCTGGTCAGACGGTGGCCGCTACATTCGACAGATCCCTAATGTATCAAAGAGGGAAAGCCATGGGTGAAGAACACAAGGGCAAGGGCGTCAATGTGGTTCTTGGTCCCGTGGCCGGTCCTTTAGGCCGTACGCCAACTGGTGGACGAGGTGTAAGTGGCTTCGAGCGAAGTTATTAGCTCTCCGTCCACCTCTCCTGTTTCCTTCTGACATCTGTCTCAACCAGTGGGAGGGCTTCTCGCCCGATCCCTATCTGACGGGCGTCGGTATGTCCGAAACCATCAAGGGAATCCAGGATGCTGGTGTTATCGCTTGCGCCAAGCACTATATTGGCAACGAACAAGGTGAGGACAGGCGGCTGGTCTTCTTACTTCTCGAGTCAGCGCTTACTCTATCGCAGAGCATTTCCGACAGGTTGGCGAGTCCCAGGACCGTGGATACAACATCTCGGAGACCCTCTCTTCCAACATCGACGATAAGACGATGCATGAACTATACCTGTGGCCATTTGTTGACGCCGTTCGAGCTGGCGTTGGCTCAGTGATGTGCGCCTACACACAAGTAAACAACAGTTACTCATGCCAAAACTCAAAGACTTTGAATGGTCTCCTGAAGGGAGAGCTGGGCTTCCAAGGATTCGTCATGAGTGATTGGCAAGCTCAGCATTCTGGAGCTGCCTCCGCTATGGCTGGCATGGACATGAGCATGCCCGGCGATACCGTTTGTGAGCATTCAGATTTCTTTGTTTCATTTACGATACATTATTCTTTTCTCAGCTCCCTATCCCCCCTTCCGTCCTTCCGTGATAAGCTCAAATTGCCAATTCGAGTCAAATGGCAATCGGAGAAATAATAAGTCGCATCGTCACCTGGACGGAGCACTCTTTTATGGGATCAAGAGCTCGAATAGCCACCGAGTCTTCTTTATTCCAGTGCGAATTCTTCTTTCATCCACAAGCCACCACGCGAACGAAGCTGTGGTCTTGGATCCAAGCCGGAGGGTATTCGCTGACTTTCGAAACAGTCAATTCCGGTCTCAGCTATTGGGGAACCAACCTGACTGTCGCTATCTTGAATGGCACTGTCCCTGAGTACCGTATGGACGATATGGCGATGCGAATTATGGCTGCATTCTTCAAGGTCGGCATGACATTGGATCAGCCCCCCATTAATTTCGACTCTTGGACCTCTGATACTTACGGCCCTCTTCATGCCGCTGTCGGTCAGGACTACCAGCAGGTCAACTGGCATGTCGACGTCCAGGATGACCACGGCGATCTCATCCGCGAGATCGGAGGGGCTTCCACTGTTCTATTGAAGAACAATGGCGCGCTGCCGCTCAGCAAGCCCAAGTTCCTCGCTGTCGTCGGCGAGGATGCCGGACCGAACCCCCTGGGTCCGAACGGATGTGCCGACCGCGGTTGCGATGCAGGCACTCTTGCGATGGGTTGGGGGTCCGGCACTACGACTTTCCCTTATCTCGTGACGCCCATCGATGCTTTGAATTTGCAAGCAATCGAGGACCACACTCGCATTGAGGCTATCTTCAACAACACTGCTTCAGACACAATTGAGAGCCTGGTGAAGCAACAGGATGCCACAGCCCTTGTATTCGTGAACGCGGACTCTGGTGAAGGTTACATCGATGTCGATGGCAACGAGGGTGACAGGAAGAACCTGACTCTCTGGGGAAATGGGGACGAGCTGATCAAATCGGTGTCGTCGCTCTGCAACAACACCATTGTTATCATCCACTCGGTCGGTCCCACTATCGTCACGGACTGGTATGATTCGGAGAACGTGACAGCCATTCTGTGGGCTGGACTCCCCGGACAGGAAAGTGGTCGATCCATTGTGGATGTCCTCTACGGTAGAGTCAATCCCGCAGCTCGTACGCCTTTCACTTGGGCAGCAGACCCCTCGGATTACGGGACGGATGTCCTATACAAGCCCAACAACGGCAACGGCGCTCCTCAGCAGGACTACACTGAGGGCGTGTTCATCGACTACCGCGCCCTAGACTCACGCAACATTACGCCTATCTTTGAATTCGGCTTTGGTCTGTCGTACACGACATTCGAGTACGCCAACCTGAATGTCGAGAAGAGCAACGCGGGAGAATATCAACCCACAACTGGCGAATCTGATGAAGCACCGACATTTGGCAACTTCTCGGACAGTCTCGCAGACTACGTCTTTCCCGCAGACTCATTTCCACATATATGGCAATATATCTACCCTTACGTCAACACCTCCTCATCCCTCGAGGAGGCGTCCGCGGACCCCGACTACGGCCAGACAGCTGAAGAGTTCTTGCCTCCCGGCGCGGTCGACTCTTCACCGCGACCACTTGAGCCCGCTGGACCCAGTCTGACAGCGCAACCCGGTGGCAACGAGCTCCTTTTCGACACCATGTACACCATCACCGCCGACGTCACCAACACCGGCAAGATCGTGGGCGAGGAGGTACCGCAACTGTACGTCTCGCTCGGTGGACCAGACGATCCGCCCGTCGTACTCCGTGGCTTTGACCGCATGCGCATCGACCCAGGCCAGACGACGCAATTCCGCGCAATACTAACCCGCCGTGATCTGAGCAACTGGGATGTCACATTGCAGAATTGGCTCGTTTCTGAGGCCTCCAAGACTGTCTACGTCGGACCCAGCAGTCGAAAGTTGCCGCTCAGCGCGCAGCTACGCTAGAAGTGAAGTGATGGATGAGAACATCGCGCTTAGATAGAACATTCTTGTATATACTTAGTCGTAATTTCTAATACGAAGAACATCTGGATCAGCAATCCAAGCGGCAGGATCGCCTTCATGATGTGCTCATCCTGGGGGTGGATAGCTGGCACAACCGCCGACTCGTAGCTTATTCGACTCACATTAATCTTCCTATTACTTGCTGATTAGTCAGCTGCGTCTCTGTGCTTGCCTAGTAAGCTTTCCATACAGGGTCAGTATATGCATCCCCCCATCCCCCAACCAACTGGTGCAGGCAAAGGCCCTCCCTGGCTTGCTTGATGGGTCAAGCTATCTGGAACACTGGGAAAACAGATTGCACCTGCATCCATATTGCCTGGTGTGACGCAATGCACATTTACTATAAGAACCTCGCATCTGCTTCTTGAGAAGCCAGGGACTACGCAGAGAGTGAAATGCTCCCAATGTATACATAATCTTGCCTGAACAGCTACGAATATGCGGCATGTTGCCACACAAAGACAAGTGTGGTCTTATCGGCTAGTACATTCTTAGTCACAACGATTTCAGTCCATATTTACTTGGGCTGCTATAGAGCGCCTGGATGGCCCTTATGTTACCACACTTTAAGTCTACGAGTTCTCTACACAAGTCCCACTCGTCTACCTAGGCCATGTAGGACGCATAACCGGGGTATGAAAGCCTGCTTCATTCCATTATAAAGGGTCTCTTCATAGTCTCTTGCACTTATTTAGAACTTAACAATCACTTCAAATTATTTCCGGACGTGGAGCTATCTTGATATGTTGCCAGTATAAGGTCATTTGCATGTCTGGTCTGTCGGTATCCCGGCAGACTATTCTTTTGATCCCGCTTGTTATAATACTTGACATTTTAAACATTCATGCTTGCTCGTTGCCTCCTGCAGCGTTCCGGTCAAGAAAGACGGCTTCATTGGACCATTATACACTGAGATCAGACACGCAATGGACAATAGCCCCATTCAGCTCGGAGTCAACGATGGCACACTTTCCGATACCCCATTTTGTCCCCTTGGTTGGAATTGTATAAATATTCAAGACGCTTTTTATCAACCACTTTTCAGTACATTGCTTCTTCAACTCCGGCCCCATTGCAGTCATAGGACACAATCAATACTGCATCGGTACCTAGTTATTGCTTTGAACATAGCCGTCATACAATCTCTTTAACGCACTATTTACCATATCTTTCGCATCTTCGTAGCTATTCATCACAATGGAGGACGTACTAGCTGAGGAGCGCCTTCTCATTCGAGACCACATCAAGTGTGGACAGATTCGCTAGCTGCGAGTTCATAGGAGCGGTGGCCTGGAAAGGCATCACTGTGGTGTTCTTAGACCGTTCAACTGAAGGATAAAGCCACGGAAGACACCGAGTCTGAAACCGCGACAGCCAATGGCAATCACCACGGCCTCCATGAGGACGACGGCATCCTCCGTTGTGTAAGTGCCTATCTCTCCACTGGACCTGCAACCACAAAGCGTGTGATCCCACCGATCGAAATGACCTATCCTGGCGTTATGACTCAGGCCAAAGCCGTGCTGAACAACGAAGGCCTTGTCGTTCGAGCTGTCCAGCGTGATCGCAAAGACGAGCCGAAGATAATCTGACTCCATAGGTCTTCTTAATTCTAAATGTTTATCGTTCCATAGCTAAAACCTAGCTGTCATGTTTATAGGTGTAGTGGGAAGTCATCAATAATTGATCGGCTTCTATGGGAAGATGTAATCTATTGATTAGCGTCATTTTACTGTATATACTCCTATGTTGCGGAAAATGACCTTCATCCAGCCTTTAGAAGAAGGCCTAGCAGTTTTAAATCGGCTGTCCACTGGATTATTCTCGCTGAAGATCAGCCGCATAATGGGACGTTGCCCCATTATGTTCAGGTTCAACAATGGCCCATTCACGCATCCATTGTTCCCCACCGGTGGGACATCCTGAACATATTGTTGCGGTATTACATAATACCTCCACATATTCATGTACATATATACCCCTAGCTTCCCCGTTCTCTTCAGACCTTGCCTCTTCTTCCTTAGATATCGTTGAATCTAGATATTTCAACCCATCAGCCCTGACCAGCGCAGCTGCAGGCCTGATTGTCACACATATAAGCCTCTGCCGTATCTCTCGAAAACCTTTCCTCCGATTCCTTCTTTGTTCGATATCCTCAACAACCTAGCTTCCCTGACTCCACTGCAGCCTACCACCATGGGAGACGTACAGCCTCAAGAGGCCCGACTCATCCGAGATTGCGTCAAAGAGGACCGTCCAAATGTTCTCGAGTTCATGATTGAGAACCTAGCCGCAAGATGGGAAGTCAAGAACGGCAAAGTCCTGATACAACTTGCCAACTCCAAAGGTCAAACATTCATTCACCTTGCTGCCAAAGCCAATGCTACGGGTACGTTCACCTAATTGGTTCATACTCATTACATGTAACTGACCAATCTAGATATCATCGACTACTGTCTGAAGGAGGCCCACTTTGAAAGTGCGAAAATTGGCAACGATACGGACGATGAAGACACCGAGAATACCACCAATGGCAACGTTAAGGTTAAGGACGACGCACGAATTGCGTTTGTCAATGGGCAGGACGACCACGGCTTAACTTCACTCATGATTGCTGCCGGCGAGGGAAACATCGACAGCTATGACTTGTTTGAGGGACAGGACAGGGAGCGAAGGTATATACCGTGGACAACACGGGCCGGACAATCTTGCACCACTCAGCCATGTCCGGCAACGACGGCCTGGTATCACAGATCCTTGGTTCCGGCTCAGATATCAATGCCACCACCAATGCCTGGGAGACTGCTCTACATCTAGCTTCTGAGAGGGACCACGACGACGTGGTCGAGATACTGATCACAAATGGTATCGATGCCAAAATCGTCAACAGCAATGGACAGACGGGCATGGATGCTGCGCTGATGAACAGCGCGGACGATACCATTCGTGTGTTCATCGCACACGACATCATCACTATTACAAAGCATCACCATTGCAAGTCGGAGTCATCATAAGCACTCCTCTAGGTGTAAATGGCAAGACTGTGTTACAGCATGCAATCTACCACGAGTACACTGGTACATTGCATAGCTTTCGAGGGTACGTCTGGTGATGCCAACTTTTTCCAGCTGCTATCCACTACTGCCTTGACCAAAAGCGGTTCCTCGAGTCTGAGCGGGATCTGAGAAAAGCATTCATCAGCCAAAAGGATAACCACAATCCCACGGCACTCCACACTGTGGCGAAAAGGGGCCTCATCGACACTTACGGTGCCCTCCTGGAAGCTGAAGCCGACCAAACCGCCAAGGATGATAAAGGACAGAATTTGCTGCATTTCGCAGCAGCCTCAGGCAACAAAGACTCTGGTTGCCGGGATTCTGGGAACATGGGGCCACGACATCGACTCGACCACAGACAACCATCAGACCGCATTGCACGTTGCAGCTGCAAACAATCACACCGGAATCGTCATCTTTCCCTTGGAAAAGGGTATTGATCCCCACATCGAAGACGAAGACGAAGAGACTGCAATGCCCTTAGCGTACACTACCGACGCTGTCGACGTGGTCGACCTGTTCGTGGAGCGGGAGCTTTGGGAGGCAGATTACAGTGAAGACAGTGACGAGGACACCGACGAGACAGAATGATACACTCAAGCGTTTCTCTTATAACTTATTACACCACCTAGTTACTCATAATACTATCAGCCACGTGATGATAGTGTCACAGTTCGGCTGCTGGTGACTGTAGAATGACTTTGTTGATGTACGTGAAGAAGAAGAGAAACTATGAAGCTAGCTAGGGGACAGGAACAGGTATATATAGGGGTTGGCCCGCGGGGCTGTGGGGTTGACATCTAGTGCCGTGACAGATAGCCACTGAAAGACAGTCTTCCGTGACTTAGGCTTAACCCTAAGCAATCTCAAATTATACATTCTCGCCGTTTGGTCAACTGACTCGCTTATTCTTGCAGCTGCGAATCACCATAGGGAAATCGTCCTTTTTCTTCTCATGGAGAAGGGGATAGATGTCTACATCGAAGACGACGACGAAGAGACCCCAATGTCCCTGGCCTTCGCCTGTCAAGCTGCTGATGTTCTCGACCTATTCTCAAAGTGCGGGCTGCGGGAGGAGGACGACAGCAATGACAGTGACGATGATACCGAGGAGGATACCGAGGAGGGTGATCGAATCTCAGAACATCTGCCTTGCCACCTTTTCTGGCGGTTTTAACGATACTATCAAGAAACCATCACAATGATAACCTCTGAAGGGCACTCTCTTTCATGTTGTGAACTTGTGACGTCGTATGCACATGCAAATATCTCCACAAGCGGCTATACGTGAGAAGTTGCGAGTGTCTCGCAGATGCATACACCACCAGGGAGTTTGTCTTCGAGTCATTTCCACCAACAACCCATATAGTTTGGCCAATCGATTGTCAGGTTTGTGCTATATCGAACCATGAGGTAGGCTCAAGTGGATACACCGTATTCTTCATATTCTTTCCACCGCTTCCTTCTTATGACTCCCAACGTAAGGCAGTTTCCCTGACCTACAGGCTGTTGGTGTATTTGCATTGAAACCCTACAATGACATTCTCGGATAGAAGTGCCCTGGGATGTGAAGGGCTATTAAGGCTGTTCAATCAATCTGACATCAACTCGGCAGTACACTCTCACAGTCTGAACACCTGGTCAGCTCGCCTTTTCGGCATTATAGACGGATATATCAAAAACCCCTCCTTAGCTACGGTGAGTACGAGTGCCGTAGAAGGGATAGAAGCGCCGTGAAGTGGCGCCAAAACCCCCCACATCAAGCCCGCCGTCCTCGGGCGGGGCTGCCGTTCTTCTCGACGGCTCGTCTGCAACATCTTCACGATCCGGCGTCATCTTTCTCAATCGCAATCGCCTCCCCTCAAAAGCTCTCATACACAATGGCCTCTATTTCCATACGGGACTCCATCCGGTGGCTCCCCGAGCCGGCCTCCGAGCCCACATCCACAGTAGTCCTGACGTCACCAGAACGACGGTTCGTCGATATCCGGATCCTCAAGCCGACGTCCAACGGCGAGGCGGCAGAGAACGAAGGTGTGTCTGGCCACTGGTTCTTCCTCCGGGCAAGCAGCTCAAACGTAGGCAGTTGAGTTACCGACCTCTCGCCTCGACTGGGCGTTCGCAGGGTGTTCGACCTCCGAGGTGCACAACGGCGTTCGACATTCGACTTGGCGCCATTTCGTCGACAACCGCTCGAGTGGCGCGGAGGAAGTCACTGATGAAGGCAACATGGTCACGCAAGACGACGGCCGCACGCTGGAGACGGGTCGGATGGTCAATCCCGCCACGGGGAGGGAGACGAATTACGAAGAGATATGGACCGACACCGAGCCCATGCCCATCCCGGAGAGGTCCGAAGCCTTGTCCATCCCCTCTCGCGTTTCGAAGGCTCGCTGCATCGTGCTTGAGTTGAAGAACAATGCGCAGCAGGAGCGGGGCATGGTGATTTGCCTTGGCCATTACTGCCAAGGGGTTGTGAGGAAGGGTGAGGAGTTCACGCTTGAGCGGTGGCAGTGGGTTGATGGCAAGTGGGAGCGGCAATACCGCATGGGCTCCCTCTGGCTGCCGTGTGTCGAGGCTACGCATGGGGCTGGTATTGTGCTGGGGAGCAAGGTGAAGCACGAAGAGTCGGTGTGGGATGTGGTTGAGTACGGTGAGCTATGAGTGGCAACGGGGTCCTGATTTGAAGTGACGTATCTAGCAGTAACGTACATCGGCCACGTCGTGACGCGTCTAGGTACTCATATGGGTCTGTAAAGATCTCCAGGGCTGGTATTCTAGACGCCTTGAGCTGGCCGGTCGATAGAGTCACGACAACGAGGATGGTCTACCGTGAACGTTACTGGAAGACAGGTTGCATCTGCTATCTGGTGGGTTCTATGTGCTTATGTCCTAAGGTAAATATGGGGAGTAAGCTCACAGCTTCTGCTTCCACATGTGAGCTTCAAAGCTATCGCATCTTCTACACCCGACGTGCCCTCCGTTCCGATGTGCCTGTTGATAACTCCATAATCCATAGACAAGAGTCGGCACATTATGCTTCAGCTAGGCGATAGTCTCCAACATCAGGCTGTTTGACTTTCAGTTTCTCCGCCATCCAGGCGACGAACACCGCGCAGTTGTTCTTCTCAGCGTCCATCTTCTTGTGGTCACTATCGTCCTCGTATTCGTCGACTGCAGTCGTCAGCGGCTACCGCCATACTCCAGCCTTAAGGCGAATCCGGAGTCACTCACAAAGTTTGTCCAAATCAATGTCCTTTTTGATTGTGCCTAAATACTTCACCAACTGTTGGTCCCCGTGGGATGATACCAGTCATCCGTGAACACTCTCGTCGACAGGTAGTCGCGGCTGTCGAATCGGAGGTCCATGCTTATTCCTTCGATCTGGTCCGCGATTGACTTCTCAGCGTTGGTCCCCAGCACGACCAGCCAGGTATGCTAGTATCCGAGCTTGTCCATCAACTCCTTAAGCCACTCAGAGTATTTCTTGTACCTTCCACTTTCCTTGTCGATCGGCCGAATTTGCTGCAGGACATGTAGAACGTCTGGGTCTAGCTTGTTCTTCCCAGCAAGCTTGGCAACTTGCTGGTAGACTTCGCTCTTGTCCCCTCGGTCCTGTAAGGCTCGGTCTCTACTTGCTAAGCGTGCTGGGTTGGCAATAGCGCTCGTGGCAGCTAGGCCGCCCAGGAAGGTGGTTAAGAAATACTGAAGCTGCGTCGTGAAAAATGCTCTCGGGTTTTGTGTTGGATGGGCGTGAGTACGCGGGTCAATTTGTTGGCGTGTAGAGAGCAGAGCTGTAGTCGAAATTCTTACTCATATCGGCATTGGCAGAATTATATTCCTTTCCGCACAGGATGTATCTTTATACAAAAGATTCTGGGCATTAGAGCTTTACCACCTTTAGAAAATCACAGTGGCAACATTGATACCGATGGCAAGACCAGTGGCATCATTCAGGCAACCTCGGTAAACATTCGGGGGCGCCGACTAGATATCTACTTTCCCCGACTTTCAAGACCGGTGCATCGGAGCGCCGTTCTTCTATTATAAGTCAATTAAGTAGACTTTAGTACAGAAACCTTACAACTGATTGGGGTCTTGACCGAGAGATCTCCCAGGGTGGCTGGCTCTCGGTTTATTGTGGTGACAGCATTCGGGTGCTCGCCGGCCAAGTTCCAACAAAGGGCTCCCACAGCCATATCTAGGTAGCTGGGATTCTCCCGCGTGGAACCATAGATCAGACAGTTGACCAATCATCATCCTGTTCCTAACCATCACCTGTCTTGACCCCTGGATCTCCACACGTCCACTTGTTATTAATAGTAAGACCCTTTCTGCGGCAAGAGATCTATTATATCATCTTCACCCGCATAGACCCCAGTCATTCCTTCACTAATTATAAATAAGGACATGGACTACCCTGCAATCGGGCGTTATTACCCCGACACCGATCTTATTCCCATCTCAAAGGAACCCTATATGTACCTCATGCGCAATGCGGTGTCTGGGAGTCCGGTGACCGATGGAGTCTGGATGAGTTAGACATCAAGAACTGCAACCACGTCACCTCCATCACTTGTGCGGAAAACAATCAATGATACCTCTCTGTAGAGGAGAAGAGGACCACCCATCTCTTCGAGTCTCCAGTCACCCAGGTGTCACTTATACGACTCTGTGGACAAGTCATGACGGTCAGGTCGGAATGCGTGGTTATCACCAACTGTCTACGAGTACTGCCAGACTTAAGGAGCAAAGCAGATGACGGGATGCCATCAATTTGGAAGCCTTACGGAGTTGCGCCGCTCCAAGTATCTATATTACCTTTTTCACGGGCCCAAAGTCGTTTCGCCCGACTCTCCTAGAGAGAACCACACTCATACCCGTCAGCTCTCATTGCATGAGCTGTATGAGGACGCTGCGAAGCTTACTATGAGGATCAGAGCATAGATATAATTCAAATCTTAACAGCAGGTCGAAATGTGTCCCGAAACAACTTCTGCTGCAGGTTTCGATACCGCCTGCGAATCACTAAGTCGATGTGAGGTTCCGATCTTCTTTTCACCATGTGAACGAAATCAATACATCCTTGGACGATCATGATCTCTTCCTATTCATCAGACAGTTGTAGGCATCTTTCTAGAGCACCAGTGCAGGTGGTAAACTCCCTATGTCAATGGCATCATTGCTTCTGAGATTTATGCTCCACGCGAGAGACGTCGCGAAGAGCTGCCGAGTTTTGCATCGCAACATCCTAGGTGGAACACCCCAAGGATGCGTTGCGAAGAAAACCGATACGCAGGGAGGGGGCGTAGGGCCAAGTACTCTTGCCCCGATACGGGAGAGCTGAGAACGAGAGGAGATCGGATGAGTAGACCATCACCTCGAGGTCTACCTAAGTAGTGTCCTTCTTTTCGCCAGCCCCTCTTCCGCCATCCCAAAAAGATCGGATAATGTCTTGAGGCAACGCTTCTCTCTTATCCTGACGAGTGAATATCTGCAGGGCCGGAGGTTTGGCCTCCCTGTCGTAGATGACTATGCAAGCCTTCCTCTGGGTTGAGTCGACGGCGCCCCGTAGCTCTTTGAGCAAGGTGACCATCTTCCGCAAGGCCTCTTGGTTTCGCTCTTGACTCCCAGCCTCTGAACTTTTCGCCCACCGGGATTATGTCCGTACTCTGGAAGTTTCCTTGTTTATGATGGCTAGTTATGAGAAACGGTGTTCTTCCGAACCACAGCTGAGGCATGCGCGCGTTCAGATTCTGTCCAGGCTTGGAGCGTGTCTTCAGCTCCGCGGTTGCAGTCTGCTGACTAACAAAGCCTCTAGAGATGACCTCGATTCGGTTGCTTGGGAGATTGATAGGCTTTGGTGCTGATGAAGTGGGTGCTGAGAGGGCTGGCGATGAAGGACGAGATGGCGGTACCTTAGTTAGAACGGCCCGCAGATCAGAGAGCCGGCGGATTAAGCCACGGTTTGCACCTGCACGCCCATGCTCACTCTCACCCCCTTTCCACCCCTTTTCTCACTGCCACCCACACAGCCACCAGCTCCATCAACCAGGCCGCAATCCCACCCGATGAAACCCCCAACCCCATTGCTCGGACCGCTTCTCAATGATCATATACGTGTCCATCTCCACGGCGCGCCGCGTCTACCACTCCGGACCGCGCCACCGAATCAAAACCCGAGAGGTAGCGCCCAGCGGCACAAAGACCGTGGTGCCCACCCCCGTCCTTCTCGACAGCGAGCGCCCGAGGACCACGACTCGTCGACTGCATGGGAATGCCGTTGATCGTGCGTTTTACTGCTGCTGCTGTTGCCTGCTCCCGGTATGTATACCGTTCCGACTCGCATGAGCTCGGAAGTCGAGATGGTGCCGCAGCCATGAGGCAAGGAACGAATCCTGGCGGCTGTAAATCGGGAAAGCTTCCGACCAGAGAGCCTGAAGTGAGGGAGGGGGCCTGGTGTACTCGCGTGTATATCTAAGAAGGTAGGTATGAAGCACGTGGCGGTCGAGACTGGCCATTGCGGCTGTCATGGGTTTCAAAGGGAGGATCGAAGGCAGTAGTTGTCATTGTTAAGGTTCATGCGAAAACGCTACGGCACCGGAGGTTATCGAAGGGCTGCCCTGATTGGCATGGCCTTGTCCTTTACGCTGTATTCGGGCACAAGCAGTAATCAATGCATTTACGACAACAGTGGCGCAGCAATAGCTTCTAAGCTCTCGGGTGTTGTTCGTCGTAAATTCTCATGATTCTCGTATTTTCACATCTGCCTATTGGTGACAATCTCAGCTCTACATGCAGTCCCTGCCACTAGATGCCGAGGACTCATCTCAAGCCGTCGTCGCGAACCCAAATGGACGACACAATGCACCCACCTCAATTCGCCACGCTTCGCAATGCATTGAGCAAAAGACCAAAAATCTGCTGGAATGTGACTCCGTCCAAGCTCATATGCTTGAGCATTCCAGTCCACATTCCACATTCCACAAGCGCCGCATATAACATGGCGACCCCGCGACGACATCTTCCGGCCGCCGACCCTGAGCGTCGCCTTCTGCCGTTCGACAGACTACCACCCTAGCATTTCGAGTGTATTCTTTGCCTCTGCCGTCGACATGGGCTGAATACCTAGCTGACGGGCCTGACTTCCTTTTCGCAGACGTTGCAAGCCCACAGCCAGCTTCCAGCCCTCTTCTTCATCGAGCACAAACATGTATCTCTTGCCCTCTTGATCTTTAATCGTGGCGCGCAGCACGTGCAGGCCACGCTGCTTCCACTGTGCGGTCTGCGGCGTGCCGTTGGCATACGATGACGCATCATCCCAATCACCATGAGGGCCAAGACGACATTCATCCTTGCACGAGTGCAACATGTCGGTGAGGAACGTATCGGCATCGTCGCCCGTCAGCGTTTTCGATTGACCGCGTCCGGATAACTTGAAGCGTGGAGCTCCCGTCTTGTTCACCTTGGAGGATGCGTTGGAATCGTTAAAGCAACGCGAGGAACACCATACCTCCATGAGTTTGAGCGTCCACGCCTTGACATCCCATTCTCGCTGTGCAATGCCACGCACGTCGTCGTCGATGAACAGCCCCGCAGTTGTTATACGAAGAATAAGCCCATCCGTCACAGGATTGACACCCGAGATCAGCTGCGAAGCAGGAGTCTTGGAGAACTGGTTGACAAAGGCATAGACAGCCTTGATGACAATCTTGTCCGGGTCCTTGGTTGTGTAGGGTCCTCGCATCGAGGGCGGTGGCGTTGTCCGCGAAGTCGACTGGGAGGGGGCATACGACGATTCCGTGAACACCGTCTCCCCTGACCTTCTTCGACTGTGCCCTTTTGGCTGGTCGTATGGCCGGTACGAGTACGTATCGTCTTCTGTGCCATGGAAGGTATTTGCGCTGGGTGCCGGAGGTCGTTTGGCGGAAGTGGGTGTTGGGTTGGGTTTGGCAGGAGAGGGAGGTCGAGCCGGCGGTTTGCCATTGGGCCATGGGTTGGTCTTTTCCCCAACTGAGCTAAAGGCGTAAGTGCTCTTCCTGGTTGTCTCTGCCTCCCTTGCCTTAGCTGCTTCAGCTTCCTTGACGCGCGCAGCCTCCCTTTCCTTGGCCTCTCTCTCGTACTTCTCTCTGAGGCTCTTCTCTCTTTCGAGTCTATCACGAAGTTCTCTTTCCCTAGCTTCTCGCGCTCTGGTTTCCCTCAGTTCTTTCTCCCGTTGCGCCTTGTCCTGAGCGTCTTTCTTCTGCTGTTCTTCCTCTCGTTGCTTCTTTTCGCGTGCCGCTCGTTCCTGAGCGTCTTTCTTCTGCTGTTCTTCCTCTCGCTGCTTCTTTTCGCGTGCCGCCCGTTCCCGAATCTCTGCTGCTTCCTTTTCACGTTTTTCCTTCTCACGTGCCTCGTGATCCCGTTTGTCTTTTGCTTCTTGCTCACGTCTGGCGCGCTCGCGAGCTTCTTTCTGACGCAGCTCGTTCAAACGCTTAAGGATTTCTTCCTTCTTGCGCTGCTCGGCCTCCCTGACTTTTCTTTCTTCATCCTTCCGCCGGGTTTCCTCTCTCGCTTTCTCCCAGGAGCCTTTAGGTGTTTCGGCTTCAGGGCGCTCTTGCCAGGAGGACTTGGGTTTATCTGCACCAGGAGTAGTGGGCGGAGGTCCTGACCGGGGAGGCGGGGGAGAATTATGAGGTGGCGGAGGTGGAGGAGGCCCGTGATCTGGAGGAGGTCCGGTGTTTGGATGCGGTCCAGCGTTAGAACCGAAGCCGTCAGTGTATCCCCCGGCACTGGGTCCGTACCCGCCATAACTGCCTTGGGGTCCTCCGCCTGGTCCTGGACCGCCCTCCTGTTGTATCCTACCCAACGCCCAGGCTCCAACACCAACTGCAGCCACCAAGAGAATCATGCCGAAGTTCCCCATTCCCTGAAAGCTGCTCCACCACGTCCGGAAAGCTGGTGCCATGCTCTGGGCCAGGGCTACTATTATTAGTGCAGAGGCGAACCCGGCAGCGAAACTGTTGACATTTGGCTTTAGTGAAGGCAGGTAGAGGAAGCCTGAGCCCTGGGAATGGGGTGGTATGATGAATATGTCGTATTTGCCGGGCGGCAGGTTCGAGTTCGAGTTCGAGTTCGATGTCCTGGGGTTCGAGCCATGTGGCGGCGGCGGAGGGGGAGGAGCTTCGCTCATTGCGACGGTGTGGCTGTCGTATCAGCGGCGAGCTGCTCTGAACGTGACAGACTTGAGGAGGTATGAGGCGAGGGTCGCTCGAAGAGGGCAGGAACGGAACGCTCAGTTTACAAGTAGTATGATGGGGTAAAATGGAGGGCATTATCGAAGGGCCATAAGGTTCGTAAAGTCGTAAGAGGAGCTACTACAGGTGAATTGATTAGTTGTTATTATCGAGGAAGGGAACGAGAGTGTCGAAGAATAAAAATTTCTGACGCAAGGTCCAGGCCCCCGTTGACCAGACAGGGGATGTATTTAGAGGTTGATTTAACTTACCGCGCAGGCGGGAAGAGAACCGAGTGCTCGAGCAACAGGCAATGCGCTGCGCTGCGCAACGCACGAATCCAGATTTCTATGCAAGAAGACAGGAGCAGCTGCAAATGCAAATGCAAAGAAGACAACAGATGGGTATGCCGGCTATACCGTGTGGCTAGAACCGAAATGTGTCTGTAGAGTTCGTGTATTCATGAGCATGTGGTCTGGTGGTGTTTTGCGGTCAAATATGGGACGAGGATACGGTCGTCTTTTTTTGTTTAGCAGGGTTGTGTTCACTGTTTACTTTGGCTGCAGCTGCAGGTGCAGGTGCAGACTTGACGCCACCTCCCTGCCCCCCCAGTGCCAAGTGACAGTGCAGGTGACAGCTTGTGGCCCACTTAAGAAGCCCGCCCGCAAACGCTCGGACCTCCCCGACGATGGCTGCTCCCGCTGGTGCTGGGCCGCTACCATTTGACCGCCAATTGTCAGCCACCACGGTGAGCTTGCACCACCTCCTATCCAGTGCCATCCACATGTCATGCACGCCTCCCGCAGAATCTCCAGCGATAGTCCTGGTTTACCACGATGCCGACACGGTCCCTTCTTTCTTTCTTTCTCTCTGTCCATCTTCCATCCAGTCTTCTACGATACCCCCTGTCAGATGTTGTGTTTTCGAACTTGACTGCTTGACTTGCGACGATTACCGCCCACTACCCCAGGACCCTGGCAGTAATAGGTAGGTACACTCCGAGCGCTACGAACGAGGACACCACTTGGGTACACGAGATTGCAATCACACCTGTGACACTTTTTCTCTGTTCGAGGTAAACAACGGAAGCCAATCCCAATGCCCAATGCTACCTGACATATCCGGGAGGGGAGAGACCTCGCGTCGCGCGAACGATCGACAAAGAGCTTGCGAGAGCCAATGCCGTCCGGACAAGTCGCAGGACAAGACCATCGCTTGCAGATGCCACGATCGGTTTGGCGTGTCGTTCGCTGTATGTGACTGTCTGTCTGTCACACGACAACGGTCGAGAGGGCCCTGTTTTGTCGCGGCCCGTCCAATCCCACCAAATTACCCAATCTTGCTCCATCTGCAACAGGTTGACTCCGAGGTCGTCTCCACAACCCAACGTCGTTGTCGTCGTCGTCGTCAGCGAATGGCGGCGACAAAGGTGACTTGGACGACCCTGGTTAGCTAGCCGAGCCAGCCGAGAGTTGAAGGCTGCCGGTGTAAAACCAAATTGACCATTAGGGTGATATTGATGTTATTGAGTCTGACTTTGTCCAGGTACAAGTACCCCTCCATCACCGGCTGCCGGCTGCCGGCTTCTGTTCCGCCCGCCCGCCACACACACACGAACCCCTCCCCTCCAATGGCGGGAGTTCTCTCGTCTCTCATTTCATGTTGCGCTCTGTGGGTAGCAATTGCGAGCCTCTGAGTGTGATTTCCTCCATTGTGATCTCCGTAAATCATATCAATTGGCAGGTTGCAAGTCAACCCGACTGATCTTGGCTCTTTGAATTGACGCGTTTGCTTTCAGCCAAGCAAACCAGACGAACCCCACTGAACCTTCCAACGGCGCGTGTGTCTGGCTGGAGTCTGTGCTGCTGGTTGCCAGGCAACGAACAGCCAGTTGAGATCACGCCAGACATACTCGTTCAGAGGTTCGGTGTTATTATCACCGAGACAACCTTGGCAGCTTGGAACTAATCGTCTCATACATTGAGAAGCATGTCGCACCCTCGCCTTGATCACCAAGACTCGAGCCCAGGCAATGTCAAAGGCATGCTGGCTGCCGACCAAGAACATGGCCAGCTTTCTGGCCCTGACCTTGCCTGACGTACCTTATCATCCCATCCACCCACACAATGTCCTGACGCCACAATACATGCCCGTGCATGTGGCTCATTGTCCCCCCTTTAACGCATGGTCCCTTAGTATAGTAAAACCAATCAAAGATGAATGCCATATCTGATTTTACCGTCAGTTTCGTCTTGGTATGATGAGACGGGATTCGGGTTTGAGCGTACTCCTCTCGGTGCAAGTCTGTGGCACACCTCAACAATACATCGACTGGTAGTGCCAGAGTGCACCCGCGGCGCAATGCTTTGCTACCCCGCTTGAAAGCGCCAACCGGTGTCTTTGAGCTTCTCCATCGGGCTCGCCTTCACTGCAACACTTCAGTCATTGGGACGTCAAGTCGCTCACTCTACCGGCCCACTGGCCTTTGCCGTGGTTAGTGACTGGGACTACCTAGGTGGTCTACAAGCAGATCGACGCCATGGCTACTCAAGAACCCAGACAACCACCCACAAGGCGGAAGATCGTCTGTGACCCAACCGGCCCCTCAACAGCGACCAATATCGACCGCCGGACCTGTCATCGTGTGTTGCCGTTGAGGGTACTTGCTCTTGGCGTATCGCGCACTGGATCGTCGAGTATGTGCGTCCAGCTTGTATGTTATAGGTACACTCAGCCCTCATAAGTCTCCGTACGTGCCATGTTAATAAGACTCTACGATCACGCGTATAAATTTCGAAATACTAGAATAAGTTTATAAGAATAAGCAGTTCTGGTTAGATACGCCATTTCCAGTGCTTGTTCTATAGTGCTTATTCTGATTTGAGAAATTTACCGTTGTTTGGTAGATGGGTGGTGTACGGAGAGTTATGAGGCTCAGTGTAATGAAGGTTAAGCGAAGCGGAGCTAGGTCTTCGGCAGGCTCTCATCGATCTAGGCTACGATGACTGCTACCACTTCGCTTCACTTATGAACGACAACCCTCGAGACTGCGATATGTGGGTCGAAACATTCGAGGCCAAGTTTGAGGGCAAAAGTAGGCCTTTCGAGAGGGCCGACTGGGATCAGCTGCTGGGACACTGCTAGGCAGTGACTGATACACCCTGTGCCGTCTTCTACCGCGAGCTACTCACTGCGTATCCGGATACGAAGGTGATACTCACGATGAGGGATAGTCCAGAGCAGTGGTGGGAAAGCCAGATGCGCACCATAATGCCGTTCTGCGAGTAGTTCAGCCTGCCGCCACGGACCTGGAAACTTTAGGTACCTCTGGAGGCAGTTCTTGCCTCCTCCGACTGCGCTCGACAAGTTGGACGAGATGTTACCGCGATACTACCCGATGTATCGGCTTTTAGCAGAAGACCGGCAGACAGGCAGTAAGAAAGCTTTGCAATGGTACAGGGATTACTGCGCGGAGATCCAGCGGATCGTGCCGAGGGAGAGGCTGCTTGTGATGAATGTGAAGGATGGGATCCTCCTTGCAAATTCTTGGGCGAGGGAGTGCCTCCCTGGGAATTCCCTAAACTGAATACGATTGATCAGTGGAACCGGAATGCCGCTGCGACGAACAAGCTCGTTGACCAGATGGTGTGGTGGAATGCAGTGAAAAAGGCGGCTTCTTATGGTGTCTAGGCTCTTGCGATGGGGACGGCGTACGCTTGGACCTAAGACACTCGATCTCCGTGGTGAAATTAACAGCTCCAGGTGTTCCTGTATCGTCTACTAGATGCTTGAGGAAAGCCAGCTGCCTTGAAGTGCCACATTATTGTCTCCGAGCGGGAAGCTGCTATGAAGGTCTCGGCAGACGATACCTCCTATATGAGCTCGATTGCTACTTGGGTAAAGCGAGATCGAGGGCGGCAAATGTCCATTATCACCAAGCCTCGAAGGTCCCCCAGACAAATCGCCAGGCAACCGTCGGCGCTTGGACGAGACAAGACCATAACCCCCGCAATGACACGACGCTGCGGTTGTCAATACTAGGGCGCCACACCCACATGGACCTGCGGATCTGATGGTCCTCCTCCTCATCAACGCGGTACATGTCGTCGCCTGGCACGCCAGCGCTGCCGGACGCTAGATGTATTGCTCATGCCGTTTCATTAACCTGTTCACAGAATTATGGCGGGCAATCTTATCTGCGATCCAGACCTTCGTCCATCATGGACCCATTATCAATCAGTACTGATTATCAATCACTGTTTCCGTCGTAGGTATCAGAGGAGTTACATGAGCATGCGACTAGACCGCAGGAAGATGGTAGCCTCGACTGGAAGCAAGATGCCATGGCCGGGTTTTAGGACCTGATACAAGGCCAAGAAATTGCCTTGAACACTCTTCTTCAGGACACGCAGAATGTGATTCACACAATCATATATATGCCTTCAATGGACTAACTCATGAGCCGATACGGGTTTTCAGGGAGTCCTCGATCGAACCACGAAGGCTGTTACTCGGTCAAGAGCTCTGCTTAGTGGTCCTTATCAGAAGGGATACCAACCACACACAGACGGACCAGCGAGTACGTCCTACAGCAGACGATGATGTCTCGTGCGAGCCTGCGAGCACTCCAGCGAGGCCGACATGGCAAGCGCCGGAAGCGTACGGACCCAACGAGGACGGTTTCCTTCCGCATCGCCGCTAATGCCGTGGAAGCAGCCGCTTTGACGGGCTCTGCAGAAGCGCAAGTTTTGAGAGCTTTCGACGTCCGTGTACGCAACTGCACCGTCGACTCTATCTCGTCAACCTAGACGCTCACCGGCATTTGTTAGGCCATCAGCCAGCAGCCCCGTGCCTGAAGTCGAGTCTCCAGAGTCCAGACCACGGGCAGTCGCCTAATCACCGTATTGCCGAAACCAAGAACAGAGCCGCACGTTCTCAGAACGCCCAATGATACTCACGCTTTTTACTTAGACATGCAAGCCTGGGCTACAACGCAGGCTGCATAGAACCCTTGAAGCTAGGGTCCAATGCCGGTACTCGTCAGGGCTCTAATCGCCTTTGACCCAGTTTTCCAGTCGTTCCTCCTTCTGGGTCAGAGTACTAGTATATATGCAGGAGGCTGGAAGCTTGAACCAAGGCACTTGGAAGTTGGCCGGGCATCATTAGCCGCAAGCCCACTTGGTTTCGGTTCCGGGTCTTTACTCAACTCGTACGATTGGCTCCACCAACCGCTCGCAAGATGCGCTGACTTGGTGATAGTGCGTGAGTGTTCGATGTATCACGCAGGGTTGACCCGGCATCAAGTTCCGGGCCGGGTGTTGCAGTTTGAGAAGAACCGTGGAGGGGCTCGATATGGCATACTTGGTCCTTGGCTTGCTTTAAGAAGAACAAAGAATTCATTACCGACGCCGTCTACCATATTGGCGACTCGGGTCCGAACAATCTCGGCGCAGATGGTGGACTCGTGGGGTCAGATGGGATCTGATCTACGGTAGGATCTCTCCGTGGGACGGACATCGCTGGGACTCGCCTACCTCCCCGATCGGCATCTCCGGCCGAACTCATCAGTATAGCTGGAACATGTGTGTCCTTGGTGCCGCAGGCCGTGGGCTTACATGTAGGCGAGGAAATGCCGCAAAGTAGTATCGGGAATGATAACCATTTGAAGGGTTCGGGTACTCCCTAACCTCGATCTAGAGACGGAAACCACTCCCGGCGGCGCGAACTGATATGGCATTCAAGCCTCTCAAGCGCCCATAAAGGAACAGCTGCAATAGGTCTGCTCCGTTTCACGACTCATGAGCTTTTTGCTGTCCTGTCCGCGTCCGGCTTAGTCAGGGCGCGCCATCGATGAAGTCGACACGCACTAGACTTCTAGTCGCATTGTCGTCTCCACGTGGGATATCGAATCAAGCAGGATGGAGATGGCGTGGATGGCTGCCGTTGGGGCATAAGTTGCTGGCAAGGGACTGCCTGACTGCCGAACTCTTTGATGAAGATATAGATTCGAGGACGCTATCCGCTCTGGGGTATCCTTGATGAGCAGGAAACGCCATGTCCCTTTGCCGGAGATATAGGCTTGGAGAAGCTATCCCGATTCGACCCTTTACTTCCACACTAGGATGAGCACCGCAGGCCAGGAGATAAGTTTGGCACCATGGCTCGCTTCTTTCGGCCTCTTCACTTCCCTTCTTGGTCTTTTTGAAATACTGGTATTCCCCCACAAGTGTCAGCCTGTTTGCCTGGCGGATATGCCCTCCTCAGCCTGAAGGTCATCGTATGCTCTCGCGACATATTGATCAGTCAACGTTGCGATCCGACTATTTCGGCTGGTTTCCTTCCCCCACCCCCCCCCCCTCATCCAGCGCAGGCGCTCGTTCACAATGCGGACCGATATCATCTTCGGCCTGCTGGTCTCATGTCTGGCTTTCACTTCCTGTCGAGCAGATCTGCTCTCCTATGCGGATGAATTACCAAAATGCGCGGTCCGTCGAACTTTGCTTCATAATGGTCGAACGGCGCGAATGCTTACTTTGGTCTAGTTGAGCTGCTTGCTGACGACAATACCGGCTTCGGCCTGCGGTAATTTCACAAACTCGACCTGCATCTGCACAGATACCGACCTTTCTGCGGCAACAGGTGCATGCGTGGCCGCCAGCTGCACGGTGATGGAGCAGCTAAGTATGTAGACGGCTCGGCCAGCGACGAACCTCGGACTGACCAGTCACAGCTTTGGTGAGGACCGAGCAAGAAGCATGCAATATACCCAAGCGAACGAGAAGAGACGATATACCCGGTTTTGTCGTCTTCTGGGCCGTTACATTGCTGTGTCTGGCTATCAGGTTGTGGGTCAGGTATTCGACGGCAACCGAACTAGCGATGGACGATCTTGTGGTGGTGTTGATGCTGCTGGTTCTTATTGCCTTCGTGGGTCTGGGCCAATATGGTTCGTAACAGCCCCTAACATCCAGGGGCGATAACTGACATGCATTATTATAGTCCGGTTCACTGCGATTGGCTTCGACATATGGAACCTGGATGAGGCGACCGTCACCATCGCGCTGAAGGTTGGTCGATCCCAGTTTCTCGAAGTCTTCCCCTCAGAAAGCTGACTCCATCAAAGTTGTTCTTCATCGACGAGTTGCTGTATACGGTCGTCCTGGCGCTCTGCAGGGTGGGAATCCTCATGTTCCTGATCCGCGTCTTTTCTTCGGTCCGCAATTTTGCGACAATATGTTATATCGTGATGGCCTGGGTTGTGGTCTCGGCCGTCGTCATCGTCCTTATGACAGTCTTCCAGTGCTGGCCGATTCCGTACAACTGGCTCGGGTGGAAAGGCGAATTCGGCTCCCATCAGTGCCTGGACCTCAACGTGCTCGGTTACGTGGCGGGCGGGCTGGGCATTGGGCAGGATCTGGTGATCCTCCTGATACCGCTCCCGGTGATCACTTCGCTGCAGATGCCGCTGAAACGAAAGCTCTTCACGCTGTTCATGTTTAGCCTGGGCAGCTTCGCACTGGCCATAAGCTGCATCCGGCTGCGATATCTCGTGCAGTTCCGAAAGAGCAGGAATCCGACATACGATTACACCGACGCAGTCATCTGGACCGAACTGGAAGTATACGTCACCGTCATCGTACTCTGCCTGCCATCGATCCGGACCTTCCTCGCAGGCCTCATGCCCAAAGGCTTCGGAAGCAAGCATACCAAGACACCAGCAGCAGCGAGCAGGACATTGCCGTCGGGGCGAACAGGTGCTTCGTCCAAATGTCCCTCGAAGCAGTATTCGGAGTTGGAGTCGGGACGCGGGACGGAGTCGATCGAAATGCCAAGGAGAGTGCGCGTATCCGAGCAAGCAGCTGCCGAGAGGTACCGGGATAATGGGCCGGACGTTGACTATTTTCGTTGGCACGGCGCGAATGATGTGTGGATGGGGCCTTCGTCGGCAGGGCCGGTTGCCTATGCCTCCAGATACCCTGATGCCTCGAGATACCCCTATGCCTCCAGATATCCGGATACCTCCAAATACCCGGATGCCTCGAGGGGGGCGTACTCTTCTCAGCCAAGGCGTGGACCATGAAGAGGTTCTTGTGCCCAGATACCGAGATACCGGGATACCCTGATACCCAAATACCCAGATACCCAAATACCCAGATACCCAGATAGACTTTCACAACCAAGGTACGGGCGAAGACTTGTGAGGGGTGACTGTAAGGTAGCTTACACCATCCAATGAATAATAAACAAATGAAATCAACATCAACCCCCAAAAAAAAGCGGCACTGAACCAGCTCATTCGGTGCTCGCGCTGTGCTCGAACAGCAGCGCGATCACTGTGCGCAGAATGCCTAGAACTGGTGGTGTAACTATCTCGTCTATCGCACGAGAGCGCTACTGTTGGTGGCAGCGTCCATTTGCATGGGAATAAGGTGTCCCTCACAGCGGTTCTGGTAACAGTGCCCGCATTCGGCAGCGAAGCCAATAATAGGTAGTGAGTGGGAATGAATGAATGTGCAAAAGAAGAAGAAAAACTCAGATTGCGCGATTTGGTATCTCGTCCCAGCATCCCATAAGCACAACGACAGCAGACCCAGGCCAAAGTTGGGAGTCCCGCCCAAGCGGCCGGTCATTCAATTCAGCATGGACAAGGGTGAATACGGATAAAAGCACACCGCAAAAAAATAACAAGCTTTCGAACGTCCCGTTGACTCCCTCGAGCCGTGCGAAGATCCATAGGTATTCCTGTTGCGCCGCCGCCGCAATCGTGATTCCAGGCTGAACTGGTCCGTTCCATCTATGTTTCCAAACGCCAAATCCTCCAGCTCCTTCCCTGTGTCCCTATACCTGCCTTGCCTCGGCCTCGACCAACCGCCCCTTAAAGGTACGTATATATACACCTCCTATCCTGAAACATACAAACATTATTGGCATCGAAAATCCGAAGACGGGTAGAGTGGCACGTTGCCGACGATGGGACCGGTAGGAGGCGGTATGTGAGGCTGGCCCATGACGTATGTACCAAAGCTATCGGGAGGGTGCATAGGCGGTGGCAGGGCCATCCCGCCAGCAGAGGCCGGCGGCCAGTTGGCCCATAAACTGTCGAAGTCGAACTCGGCGTCACAGCCACTCAGAGCCTCGATCCCTGGCGCCATACCACCTGTGACTGCCATACCGCCGCTGTTCAGGGAAACACTGCCCTCAGGGCTTGGCTGCTGCATGCCCTGATGCATCATGGAGGGCATGGTCGCCGCCGTAGGCATTACTGCAGGCGCCATCAGCGAGTGTTCTTTAGGTGGCGCCACCGCAGCAGCGAACTGCTCGCGCTGCTCTTTCTTGATACCCTGGTGGAAGAAGTGCACCACAGGATCGAAGTTGCTGCTCTGAGAGAGCGTGGCAAGCGTGGGTGCCTGGTGACCGGGCAGGGACAGCATCTTCGCCCCCGGTGGACGGTTCAAGTTTGCCTTGTGGAAGTTCTCCACAATGCCCGCCACCCGGCGTGCCTGCGCGTCTCCATGTGTACCACTGTGGTTGGCGCAGAACCCAAGTATCAAGATCGCGCTGTCTATCGAACGGTGTGCCTCGGGATTATGGTACAGCGGCGCAAACTCGTTACTCAATATGATCAATGCGGCGGCGAAGACACAGTGTCTTGACATGTTGTTAGTTATCTTCCTTATTGAGGACCACGAGATGACTTACATGACAAAGGGATTGCACCGGGGTAGATACTTTCCATCCAGTGCCGCTTGGGTGATGATTATCGTGTGCTGAGAAGCTTCAATACACGTCTGAGCGAATATTTCCATTCTCTTGCTAAGACGTGACGGTTTGCGACTGGTGCCTGTCCAGTGCTCGCCAGCTTTGTTGATGAGGTAGAGAAAGAATGGCCTCGTAAGTAGCATCACCGAATGGCAATGTAGGAGATTGGTGTGTAGTACGGCGATGCCTTGTGTCGGATCAAGCCGTCCATTCAGGAGTTGTCTCCAATGAAGGGCAGGGATAAGTCCCCTGTGCCAATCCTCTAGATGGTCTGCGATCTCCTGTGCAACCGAGGTCGATATTTTCCTCTTCGAATACACCCTTTTCAGAGTGAACCCAATGACGTGACAGCTCTTGACGGCGGCTTCGAGCGCTGCTAGATGCGTCGCTTCGGCTCCGCAACTCCTTGGGGAGATCTCAGCAGTCATTGGCCCTGCGCTCGGGGCTTCAAACGCAGTGTCTGAGCAGTCGTCTTCAGAGATAGCAGTTGGCCGGCCAAGGCAAGCCGCAAGAAACCGATCAAGGATGAAGAGTGTCCTCCACACGTTTCTCCGAACTTGACACTCCTCCGGTTTGAATATAACCCCACTCTCGTGTCGATGCAGTCCCAGAGCGAATGCAGACCGTACCGCCATGCCTGTTTATTGGGTCAGCTGACGAATCGAGAACAGGCGGGTCTAATGGTGCAAAAGCTAGTAGTATGGATGTGCTTACCGTAGTAAGCATATGCAGCGTTCCGCTTGGAGATAGCAAGCATGTAGAGAGACATTAGAAGCAGTGCTTGCACCGACCAGAAATCCGCATCTTCGAACCCGGACACTGGATCGGCAAGACTCTTGGCATTTCTGAAGAATAGCTCTGCGCGAATATCTGTGTCGGACCGAAGCTTATCAATTATGGCCTCCTCGTCGCTTCCTGGGAAAGGTGCTGCCATGACTAGCCCGATGGCAAACACTAAATAAAGCAGGCATAGTAGAGACGGGGGAACGCTGAGCGGGTCCTTATAGCACTCGTCGATGGATACTAGGAAAGCTTGCCGGTTGAATATTTCGACGAAACCTGCGGTCTGGGACAGTAAGCGACGTCCACCGTCCGAGAGAAGTAGGGACAGACGTTTGTGAAGAAAGAGCTTATCAAGACGTTGGCCGTTCGTTGGTCAGGAAGAACTCCAGTCGGTCTAATCTCCCGGGGAAGCGAGATGGTGTTTTCCAATATCTTGTGCCGTAAGGGGTCGACCGTGAATGGTGACTTGCCCGAGATTTCCTCGACAATCATACGGATCCATTGCAAATACGAGAGACTCGCAGAGTCACCAACATAGACTGCGTCCATACGTCAGCACCTGAAGAATGACCTGTTCAGGAATAGCGACCGTAATCGATGGGTGGTACACAATGGCACGAGGAGAGCGTTTGCTATGAAGTTTTCAAAAGTGAAGAGGATATGGTATATAGCAGTGCAACCAAACGAAATGATGGCACCAGGTGGTCTGTTTGTTCAGAAATGGGATGTAGTGTTACCACTTACGAAGTCTGCCGGTGGAGTCTTGAAGCATCCGTTGAGAATCGTAGATCTCGGCCTCGTCAGCAGCTCCACTCGCATTGCTAACCCTGGAGCGGGAGTCGAAGTCACGATCGTTGGCACCGAGAAGCTGGCGCGCTGTCCCAAGCGGCTTGTGCTGGGGCGTCTCCGGCACCACGGATTTCGTGATGTCCATCTCTGGGGCATCCGAGGGTTGATTCCACAAAGTCAGGGATGAGTCGCGTCTGGTGGTGCTCTGGCCACTATCAATCGAAGACTTCAGCATTCTCGGCGAGTTGTCGATATGACGGCGCTTAGTAGGGGAACCAAGGGAGGAGTCATGTGAGCCAGAGCGGTCCAAGTTTGTAGTAGTATATTGGCAATCAAGGTGCCGTTTGGTACATGTATTACATGGCCTCAGCCCGTTGCACTACAACACCCATGTTAGCAAGCTCACAACATGAGTTCCACTTGGACTCATACAGTGTGTGTGGCTACACACATCCAGCCTGACCAAGTAAGAGAGCCCAAGTCATTTGAGGGACTTGCGGTATAATGTAGTCCAGATCGACAATGGACGCCTGACTGTGAATAACCGTAGGGGAGCGAGATCCTTGATGGATGATGCATGCGGCTCATCTACTCCGCAGTGAGGGCTGATGCGCGCGAAGGATTGGACCAGGGAGGTGGGCCATGTCTGAATGATGTGGAAGTCTACCCATGAAGACGTGCGGTATCCTACACGGAAGCGGGAGACGAAAGACGGAACGGGAATGAAGGAAGAAAAGGGGGGATTGCCGACAGTCAGTAGCTGGTTCAGTGACTGAAACTGACCTTTTGCTTTCTGCGCTTACACGAGTCGCAGGCCTATCTCAACCGACACAAGACCTGGTAAGCAAAAATGACTTGTTGTTTTTCTCATCCTCTTTGTTGCGGTATCCGAGTGAGTGAGAGGGTAAAGACCTACCTGGGCGGTGCGTTGCCTCTTGTCCGGATCAACTTTAGGTCGTGTCATGATGATGGGTTTGAGCCACAGTAGCCGCAAGTTCAGGTCACATCCGCCATCCGACCACCAGGAGCCACAGGGTGACGAGTCTCAAGTCGGACAATATCAATGATGACAATGATGACTCGGGACGGCGCCGGACCCACGGGCTGGCTGGCTGCTGCTGAGGGGTCGGTCTCGGATGCGGATGAGACGACGGCGCTTTCAGCCCTATCGGAAAGCAAAAACAACGGGGTGCAAGACTCGTGGGATGTCGCGGAGGAAGTGGCTTTAGCAACAGGAGGCTGTACGCTGTCCACCCGGGCCAGAGGTAAGGTATGCTTATCGACGTGCATGCGGCATCGGCAGCGGGGCTCTTGTGCTTGTGGCGAGCGTGATGCCAAAGTGCTGGTGGAACAGACGTTGGAAGCGTATATCGAGTATATAGACCCCAGGCTAGACAGGGCGGGCGGGCAGACAGCCCACTGGGGCGTTCTAATGATCTGACAAGCAACAGACTTAGACTCGGGCTTGCCCGACGATATGAGAGGATCGAGAAGAGCAGAAGAATGTTTGAGGCCGGCCAAGTGCGTCGGAAGCGGGAGACTGAGATGGAAATGGAAAAAGAGCAGCGCTGAAAGCCATGTGCCAACGCAAGGGCCGAGTCTACCTAACTCGGTTTGCGAGCTCCAAGGTGTAATCAAGGATGGCAGCCCAAAGCCCAATTGCATGTCATCGAGCCCCCCTGGACATGCGAGGCATGGCATAGCATGGATGGTATGGTCTCGACCACGTCTGCCTCCCCCCATCATGATGTGATGAGATATTGAGGAGAAGGCGGGCAAGGCCTCGCGAGCATACGGCCGTGATTGGACACTCCTCGGCGGGCATCAATCAACTGAGACTGCCGTTGCCAACGGTTGGGGTGGCGGGATGGTGGCGCCCTCTGGCATCGATCAGGACGCGGGTCGAGTCGCTCTGAACAGCATGAGAAGCGAGGCGTATGGGCGGCAGTCCGGACGTCGACATATCATACGACGCGCCTGATGTATGTGTGATTGTCTAAAGGCAGGCACCATGTCTGAGGGGGAGAAGCATAATCGAGTACTTATAGCGGAGAGGTGACTGGTCGTTTTCTGCTGCCTTTCCAGCCGGGCAGCCCAGGTCCTGGCAGTCCTGGGTTGGTATACCGGTACTGTTCGAGGGCTTACTCGCTTGGAGGCCGGATCGACAAACGGCGACAATACGACATTGTGACCAGGGAGTAGCGGCATAGCACGGGATTGGGGGATGACTGGAACCTCCAGTCGTCGTGATCACTTATCACCAGGGGAGACCGACGACCGACGGAACACCCGGACAGGTCCAGAGCACATGTAAGTCTGTTTGATGTTTTGCCGATTTGCCAGTTTGCCTGCATAGCTGCTTGCTCCCTGGCTGCCTGTATCGAGGACGGGGTGGCTGGCTAGCCTGGCATGTCGTAATGCACTTTGTGTGTGTGTATGTGGACAATGGACAATGAACAATGAACACTGGGCAGCACTAACTGAGAGGTGGTGGTGGTGGTGGTGGCGTCTCAGATCCATGGACAGACAACTGGAGGGCGTCGGCTAGTGCACCTAACAGCTGGCAAATAGCGGATCGCCATTGGCTACAGGCGGTTAGGGTGCGCTATTGCCCGGTAAGCCCACTGGAACAAGGTCTGGGGGTCTCTCGTCGCTGCGGCTCAATCCAATTGGAGTGATGTGCTCCTCTTCCACTCCCATCCATTAATCCCTTCTTTTTCAACTACCGACGACAACAACGCCAAGGCCAGACTCGTCTCGAACAGGACTCACAATGGCCCAGCTCGACCCAGCTCACCTCGGTCGCGTACTCGCGCCCACCGACCCCTTTCGGACCATCAACATCAATATACCCAGCGTTTGGGAATGCTAAGAGTTGCCTGTCTGGGCTGGCCAGAGCCCGGCAGCATCCCTATTGGGGACCATCAAACAGGACAGCATTGGGAGCGTCGCACAGCCGGGATGCCTACTACTTCCAGTTGCATTTGCATTTTCATTCTTCGGATGCTGCACCTGCTCGTCAAACAAGGCATAACAGGCTGATTCGTCGCCGGACACCTCGTGGGAATGCCCGTCCCGCATACACCTCCTCGTGCCGGCTTGGAGACGGTGTGACGCGTGCGTTTCTCGACTTCGTTGTCTTTCAAATGCCTCTTCATCGCGAGAGATCTCCCGTTGACCCTCTATATGCATTTGTTTTCTCCAGCGCCACCGTATCCCGCAGCCTCGACCACTCGCATCAGACTCGTATTGTCTGGCTCGCATCATATCCCGGTTGTCAACATCCGGTTGTAGACCTTTTGTCGACGACGCCTTGGAGGACGCATGTCGGCTGTGATAAGCTGATCGCACCTGCAGTCAGGGCCACACAACCGAGTCTGCTTCCTATGCCCACGTGCTTACACGGCTGATGCTCACCAAGACTAGGCCCGTCTCAAAAGAGAAACTCGCTAGTGTCCAGACTCTTTCCTGCTTTTCCGCCCGGGATCAGATATTGTATGGGCAATTCATAAGCCTGCACCATATCACAGGATCTATTCTGTGCACAGCACAGTTGACGCCGGCTTCTCTGCGCGTCCGGACGTGCCAATGATAGACTCTACTGATCGTGAAGAAACGCAAGCCCAAAAAAGTCTACAGCTCGGCTCGTTGCTATGACCCTGTGGTGCGCGGCTCATGGCTCGGGGCTATCCTTCTGGATACCTCCACACATCGATGGCGAGACGAGCGTGCGCGCGCACCGGCCAGGTGACCCGGAAGCCTTCAGTCATGTCCGCTCTTCCGAGAATATTAACCACTTCCGAGTCAAACGATATCACCACCGGGATCGTCTTCTTGATGGCGCAGAAAGCGTCACAATAAGCATCGTGTAGTGTTATACATGCTGACTGCCTACATGCCCTGTATATGTGCTGAGAGTCAACGGTTGGAGAAGCCAACCTTAAGTACCTACCTAGTGGCGTGTGATTCTGGCTTCTCCTTCTCCATTCCCTCTCGAACTCCTTGGTCTCACGACACTCTTTATTCCCATGGCTATCGGACGAACAGCGATGAATCCGTCTGTCCAGTCGGGGACTGTCCCCTATTCGGTAGGCCTCGCAGCAAATGACGCCTTGGACACTCTGTTGCAGTCTTCCGAGTCGGAACTGCCCACCGAGTTCTTACGTTACGTCCAAGATGTCATTTTCGACAGCCCCTCGGTGGATGGCAACTCGGTGTGCCTGCCCTGTCCCATGCGCCAACAAGAAGCGTGTGCGGCACTCAAGGCTCTCGAGGGATGTGCTGCGGCTGCTATCGCCGGCCTTCGAGAGCGGAAGAACAAGACCGACATCAGTATAAATTTAGAACGTGTGACGTGCTTCTTGATGTCCGCCTATATCGCCAACCTCGATGGCCTGGATAAGTGCAACCCAAAGATCCGGTTTCGGCTGCCCGGTTCGCGTAGCCCATGTGCGCATCCGTGATTCTGTACTGACTTCTTTCCAGATACCGACCTAAACAATGCTCAGTCGATTCTGTACCGCCGCCTGTCAGCGGGTCTCTACGAGACTCGAAACCCAGGCGAATATTACCATATTCATGGTTCACTGGAAGCCAGCGCGACCCTGAGAATGATAGGGCTCCCCGCTTTCGTTCCTGGGTTGACCGATTACAGGCAGTGTATCAACACCATTGAAGCCGCTGTCAAGCAGTTCTCTGCAGGCGAGCTAGAGCAAGGGAATCAGAGATATCGACAAGCTGGCGTCATTGCGCTCACCAACCAGCAGTATAGGCAGACACCACACGGTGGGGTGATGGACTCTCTGCCCCCTTTCACCGTACAGCCCCTCGACATGTACACGCCGCCAGTCCCCTTTCTTGACGGCGAAGATGGAGATGGGCCAAGTCAATGTCTCAAGGGGATTCGCGTCATCGAACTGTGCCGCGTGATCGCCGGCCCGACAATTGGTAGATCACTGGCCGCGCATGGTGCTTCCGTTTTGAAGATCACGTCGCCCCAGGTGCCGGACGTGCCCTTCTTCCAACTCGACGTCAACGCGGGAAAGCATACCACCTCCCTACATTTGAAAGACCCCGCCGACCGCGCCATATTCGAGTCGCTCCTCGCGACCGCCGACGTCATCCTCGACGGCTACCGTCCGGGCGTGATCGCGCGCCTCGGGTACTCGCCTGAAGTCCTCGCGGCCAAAGCAGCGGGGCGCGGGCGCGGCATCATATACGTAGCGGAGGACTGCTTCGGCGGCGCCGACGTGCTGGGCGCCGAATGGGCCGGACGACCAGGCTGGCAGCAGATCGCCGACTGCGTGACGGGCGTGGCATGGGAGCAGGGGCTCTTCATGGGACTTAACGAGCCGGTGGTGCCCCCCTTCCCCATGTCCGACTACGGGACCGGTTGCCTCGGTACTGTCGCGGCCATGACGGGCCTCTACCGGCGCGCCGTCGAAGGCGGTAGCTGGGTGTGCCGCACCTCCCTCTCGCAATACAACCTGTTCCTGCTGTCTCTCGGCACGTACCCGGCCGCGGTGCAGGACCAGCTGCGGCGCCGGCATGATCCGCACTTCTTTGCCCTCCGCCATAGTGACTCAGTCGACGAGGTCGGCGGGCGCGCCCTGCGCTCCATTCGCCGCCTACACCCGGCGCTCTTCGCCGACACCATGATGCAGAGTGCGTACAGCGACGGCTTTGGCGGCATCGTGACCTGGCCGCGCGAGGCGCTCGAGGTCGACGGACTGAAGGTTGGACATGTGCGGCCCACAAGACCCAATGGCTTCGATGCGCCGACGTGGGAGGGCTGGGAGAGCGATGAATCTTTGTTGGACGGACCCACGACCTTGGGCTAGCCTGGGGATGTGCTCGGTCACTTGGCTTGGCTCGGGGGCTAGGTCACAATAAGTGCTGATCAGGTGTCGGTGAATCGATGGGCTAGTCGTGTGGGACGGGGCGTCAGTCAAGTGACTGACGTGGTGGTTCCACGACAGGCGTTGGCGGTGTTTTTATATGCGACCCCTGTGGCTGGGCTTCATGTGCTTCCTCGGTATGGGTGCCCGAGTCACGTCGTACTCGGGCAGGCAGGCAGGCAAGCGAGCGGGCATAAGCGTTAGCTTTTTCTGCTATTGTCATGCGTTCAAGCTTGTGCGAACCTGTCACTTTGAAGTGGCGGCCCGCACATGCCTTCACCCTGTGCGGTTGATTGGTACCACGTCTACGGACTCGGGATACGCTCGTCTACGGACTCGGGATACGACGGACACGATTCATGTTTATTACGAAGATGGCCAGGGTGTTTGTTGCCAGAGGCGAAAACTGGGAAAAAATTGGCGTTGGGAGCGAGCGACGGCATGCGCATGCAGTAGACTGATTGATTGATTGATTCAGCGTTGGTTATTAGAGCCGAACACAGCAGGCTATACTATAGGGCGGCGACGGTACCGCGTGGTGTTGCATTTTCTTGACGACCATGCCCGGCTGGCGATGCTGAGTTAATCGTATTTGGTTTAACCTATCTACGTGGATCAGACACTTGGGATGATGCCCGCTGCTCGCGTGTGTAACGTGTATCTTGTGAACCTGACATGTGGACATGGATCGCCAGATTCGAAGCCCCGGCTACACCAGGTCGCCAACAGCCGCTGCGACTAGGACCGGGTCCATGGTAAGTTACAATGACGCCAACCGCCCGCCCGCCCGCCTGCTTTTAACTCGTGCGAGGTCTGTCGAAGGGTGCTAACTTACTAGAGACATATACGAACGGGCAGCAGGCTCCCAGCATGCACACGGCAAGGAAGGGGCACCTTCGCCCAACCAACATCTTCTCGCTGGCGAGCTGAGGAATGGACGGCGTCTGTGATCTCCAAAGAGGGATGGCACCCGCTTATAGAGTATGCATGAGGCAGCAGACGGCACGAGGGTTCTACAGATGTCGGCAGGCAGGCAGGCAACGTGGCCGAGCTTGCTTGCTAGGTGGCTGTCTTGTCTATCCGCGAATATGTTGGTTGGAAAGCGCCCGGAGCGCGGGCCTCCCTCGTACTGAAGACATGAAAGGATTTCCGCGTGCCACGATGGAGTTGAATAGCTGTCGCTTGTATGCAAGTATACAGCTGGCCCTAGGGATATACGGTACAAGGCACCGGATAGGGCAGGGAGACAGCGGAGAAGAGCGCAGGGCCCGTTTCTTCTGATATGGCCCTTGGGATCCCGGTTTAGCTACCTATTAGGAAGAATGATCATGAGATGGGGGAATTTGTTCAGAGTGTGCCATTCGACATGGATAACTACCTAAGGTAATAGATGAGCTCGGCCTGTCCAGGGCAAGCGGCAGAAAAAGAATACCCGCGATTTACAGGTCAAAACAACTTGAAGCAAATTTGATTCGGCGGTTATCCTTAACCACCAGGCCTATTAATCATCGCGTAGTCCGGGGACGTTTTTCCTAACGGTTATTCCATTTCTACCCCTGACCAGGCTCATATACCCACCTACCTAATACCCACCTAACTACCCACCTAACTACCCACCTAACTACCCACCTAACTACCGGCCTCAACGTCTCGGCCAAGTGTATTAATCACATAAAATTTCACCTCGTATATTATAGGAGCATAAATCGACGTCTTCGCCTGCGCCTATGTCTTCGTCTTTCCCGAACGGACACTAAGAAGATGTTATAAATGTGTAACCGGGCACTGGACCGCATCGTTGAGCCATTGGACGGATACCTGATGAATAAGAGATAAATAGTCAACCCATGGAGGTTTCCTAACGGCATATCGACTGAGGTTTTTGGAGTTTTGAGAGCAGTAACGAAAAGCAGGGAGCCCGCAGTACCTTAGTGTTAGCCCCTGAGTTGAGACGATGTCGGTTAATCCACTTGATAACGGGCCCGCCTACTGCTATGTGAACTGAGACAGGCATATGTATAATATCAAAGGCGAAGGACTCTAGGGTCACACATGTTGAAATCACCAGTTCGCAAACTGCCATAATTATAAATACTGGTACTGAGGATATTGAAACAATGCACAGTCTATAAGCTTCCGTGTGCGTTACAAGGTCTATCGTTACAGGATCTGCTCTACCCTGAGCATACTCATAAGACCAACCGGCCCGGCTCAGCCTCCAAGACTGCCTTCACTCTCTGCAAGAAGACCTTTGCACGCTTCTCCTCGGCCTTCGGTACACTGAGGCTGAAGATGTTGTTGCCGGTAGAGAAGCTAGGTCGTAGAGCTGCCTTCTTTGCCTTATTGGCAGACTTCTTCGCCGGCCCAGCGAGGAAGTCAATGATGTCCACCTTGGTCTTCGGCTTTGGTGCGACACCAGATAGGGTGGGTGTGGGGAGCGCGGAGATTTGCGGCAGGTAGTTGCCTTGTGAGCCCTTAGGGCCGACCTTGTCAAGTCCGAGGATTTGGTTGAACAGCTCATTGGCCGTAGGCTTGTAGTTGGAAGGCAGAGGTAGTTCATCGTTGGCAACCTCTGTGGCTCGCGCGATGAACGTTGACAGGGGCATGAATGTGCCGAGTGTCGCCTCGATCTTCTTCTGCACTTCAATGACGGCAGCCAGAGACACTGGTAACGACACCAGCAGATCTTCTGGAATGGGGGCCTCTAGAGGGGCCTTTGCCGCCTTGGGAGCTTCCTTGGGCGCGGCGACCTTGATGTTTGAGAGGTCAAGGTGGGAGTTGTGCACGAACCGCGCCATGATCTCTTCCGGTCGCTTTGAAGAGACGCTGCCCAGGTAGGCGAGGACATCCCCCTTCAGCAGTCGTCCGCCAGGGCCCGTAGGGGTCATCTCGCTTATGGACGACTCGTCCAGCTTGTGTTCCTTCACCAGATGTTCCACGGAGGGGTAAAGAGGGTACTTTTGCGGTGGTGCCTTCTCTCCGGACTTCTCGGGTTGCTTCTGTCCGCTGGCCTGCTTCTCTGGCGCGGTCTCCTTCGCTTCCTCTTTCTGCGCTGGTTCGTCCTTCTTGGTGTCGGTTTGCGCGGGCTTCTCGTCGGCGGGGATCTCGAGTTCGCTGAGGTTGTCGCCGGGCTCGGCGAGTACGCCGATCCGTGTGCCAACCTGAATGCTCTTGGTTCCGTCGCCCTGCATGATCTTCATGACGACGCCATCGTCTTGAGCCTCAACGTCCATGGAGGCCTTGTCGGTCTCGATCTCGAGCAGTACGTCACCGGCAGAAAACGAATCGCCCTCCTTGACCTTCCAGGTGGCAATATTTCCCTCGGTCATGGTTGGCGACAAAGCCGGCATCATGAAGTTCTGGGCGGCGGGGGAGGTAGCGGAAGTCCGAAAGCCTGCACGAGTGGTGGTAAGCGCGACATATTCTTTTGGCGGAGGCTCCAATTGAACGACGAACCTCGCGTTGCGGCATCTTGAGCGACTCGCCGGCTGACGAGCCGGGCAGAAAGGCGCGTTGCCGTCGCGAAAGATGCCATAATTTGGCCGGGCGTGGAGGAAGGGGAATAAAGCTCAATTGAGCTTCCCAGGTGCTTGGATTCTTCTCCGTGAGGTTGAGGGCAAATTCCAGGTTCGGAGTTGAGCTGAGCTTAGGAATAATTGTTGGGGCCTCTCCGGGGCTTTCCGATACACCTGCCAGACCTGCACCTCAGGTCTGCCAGCTGGAGGCTAGCCCCGCCAGTGTATGGGCAGCTGGAGGAGCCAGGGGTCGAGCTCCAGCTCTGGCTGAGCTCAAGCTTTCAAAATCTTGTCCATCCCGTCGCAATTGAGTTCGGCAAAATCCAGAGTCAACCTACGACTGCTTAAGACAATGCGATTTGCGCCAGCCCTATTCTACGACACTCGATGCGCACCCCGACATCCCAATGCCGGGGCTTCACCCACCCTTTCCTCCTCTTGATCCGGAGCACCTTCAAGACATCCAGTGAAGTGTCCAGTCGCACCATCTCGAATCGACCATGGCTTCAGACCACGCATGACCGACTGCGCGGAAGGGCATTCACCACCGGTAGAGCTCTACACAAGGGTGCTACCCCCGGCGCAAAGTCAACACCATCACGACCTTCGCCTGCGACTGCCATTACCACTGGAAGCCTAGCCCGGAACCTCGAGATCCCCCAGATGTCCTATGCTCAACACCTCGCGCGCAAGGCCAATGCTACCATTCTGTACGAAGCTGCACCTCAGAGGGCCTTTCTCTTCTCCAGCTACTCAGCCGCCTTCTTCACCCTCGGCGTCGCGGGCATAAACAGCTGGCTACACGTCTACAATGTTCCTGAAGGGCTGGCCTGGTGGGTGCCGTTCTCTTTCGGGTCCATGACTTTACTCTTGGCCGTTCTCGGCACCAAATTTGCTCTCATTCCGGCCTCGGTCATCCGGTCCATCAAGATCCTACCAGAACCTGCAACGACCACAGGCGGCTCTGCGGCATCCAAATCCCGCGGTGCAGCTCCACCCGTACGGCTGGAAGTGGTCGCGCGACGCAATTCACCATTCCCAGGCCTGCCTCTGAAGCGCATCATAGTCGAGCCGCACGAGCTCGTCATGAAGTCACGTCTTCACAACCGGCCGAGACACATGACACCCCACGAAAAGGGTCTGGCGAAGCAGGAAGAAGCGAAGCGGAGGGAGTACGAGATGACCCACCTCATGACGGCCCCCTTTCGCGATGCCCGCAGGGCCCTTTCGACCATATTCGCCGGGATCCGCCGAGGACTGGTGGGCGGAGGGTTTGCGCCTGTGATCATCAATGGAGCAAAGTACAAGCTCGACATCACTAGAGGCTATGCGCTTGAGGATGGACAAGTGCTTGACAGAATTGTCAAAATTGAAGAAGACCCAGCGATCGCCCAATTGCGTTCTCAAAAAAGGTGACAGACGCCTACGTGCTGTGCTGTAAGATACGCATACGCCTCAGGGGTGTAAGATACGATGTTGTACGAATGGCATTCGATGGCTTGGTGCCGAGCAAGTTGCAAACTTCAATTGGCAGCTTATGTCGAAAGGAAAACAATGCCGTGAACAACATCTTGAATTTGGAGGCCAACCCAACCACCGTAACCGGTTTTATGCTGCTGACGTGGCGGCGGGAGACGGTAATAGGGGGCCGAGGATTATATACGTTCGACTGACCATGTCCACAACCCATATTTTGGCCCGCACCAAGATGCCCATGGTGAAGGGACACTGGATACCCCAGCCGCGGTAGTCCTGTAAAGAAATATAGCTTAATGTCAAAAAATACCCGTGAAACTTGCTCCGCCATGGAAAGGTGACGAGGACCGCCCCCGTATACATACCCATTGATAAAACAGCGAGTCCTGCTCGGGGTTTGTGTAACAAACTGCAAACTGCGGATACTACGCGAGAAGGAACAGCAGCCATTGATGACAGACGCACCATTTACTTTCGTGAGCCATCTACTAGCGGTACCACCCTGAGGATGGATTCATATCAAATTTCTCATCAGGCGGACCTAGGTCCGATATCAGGACTCTGTATGTACCCTCTCGAATCTATCGATCTGCCAAGTTCAACGCCGCCCTATCTTCGTCATGTAGTATGACACGAAGTCTGAACGTATCTGCATACCGATATTTCAGATCATCAGCAGTTCGTGCGCGGCACACAGAACAGCGGTGGTATATCTGTCCTCAAACCGCCAAAAAAAAAAAAAAAACATACATGAAGAGCCTCGCTCGCTACATAAACTCCACCCCGAAGCGTTCGCAAAACGAGGAAGCAAATTTGGGCATAGCCCTGTTCTTCTCAGTGACGGTACATCCCGTCCCCTTCACTTCGTCCAGGAGCTCTGCTATGTCAGGATGCTTCGGCTCAGCCTTGGGTACGTAGCGGACCTCCTTCAAGTGCGGCAACCGCGCACATGGGCTCTTCACGTTCAGCCCATCGAAGAGCTTCCTTGCTGCTTGGATGTATTTTTCGTCTGTGAAAAAGCCGGGCCCGACGTATATGTTGACGTTCTCAATTGATTCGGGGAGGACTAGAGATTTCGAGATGTTAGTAGTTGCTCGTTTTGGTCATACATGCTAGCTGCCAGGAGGCCATATCGGGGATTAAAAGCCCCGGCGGAATCACGCCATAAATACATGTCTCCCAAGGCAGATCGAAGGTCACATATAGAGGCTCCAGAATGTACATACGGTCTACAAGGCGGACCATGGCAGGCGGGCCCCACGGAGGCTCGTTGTCGTTGTCGGCCGGGTCCGCTTCTGCTCTCTCCTTATCGTAGGCCGGTCCGACGAGCATGACATAGTCCAGCTCCAGCATCTTCAGCTTCCGAAAGCCCGTCATGTCCGTCAGCGTTGTGCCAGAGTTGTTGAGGCCGTCCCCCATCAGCGTGACGGCCAGATCCTCCAGCGTGCCGCCCACGCAGTCCTGGACGACGGCGATGGACGCGCCAATATCCCAGTTCCAGCCGCAGCCGTGGTATTTGGTCTCGTGCGCGAAGCGGAAGTGCTTGAGGCTCGGCGTGCGCGAGAGCAGCTCGCGCAGCTCCACGGCCCCGATGATGCTCGCGAAAAGCTCGATCGTCTCGAGCTTGGCACTGTATGTGTCGTAGCCGGGCTCGAAGGCGTAGCCCGTGTACCCGTCGTCGCGGCCGATGACGCTGCCTGCATACAGCCCGCGCAGCGAGTCGAGCGCCAGGAAAGGCGTGCACGAACTAAGCGATCCCCGTTCTTCGTACCCGGAGCCCATCCAAGGGTAGACGAACTCTAGTTTCGACAGCGACGCGCCAGTCGATGCCGGGCTGTTCGCCTTGCGCACTATGACTTCCATGAAGCGCCCCATAGAGCCGCTATTCACAATGCCGTTGTCCATTAATTCACTCCATTGTCGTCCCGGTGCCAGCGCTGTAGTGTTTGGGAGGAGGGACATGAGCAAGACCTGATAATAGCCTTCGGCACATCCGTGGAATAACATGTCCGTCGGATCAACGCCAGCTTCACGAACATAGGCGGACTCGCGGACCAGGTCCCAGACCTGGTCGTCGATCTTGACGTGATCATGGGCATCATGGTCCCAGTCGGCAAGTTGGTCCGAGTGAGAGTTTTTCAAATCTGCCGTTTGGATATATCGACCAATGATCGGATCCCTGGCAATGTATTCCACAAGCTCTCTCGTAGTCCTGATGATGAACCCGGTAGCTTTGGTGGCCGCATCCCAGTTGATGCTGCCCGCGTCTCCTTCCGTCGCTCCTGTGGCAGCGTCCACCTGGCTTTCCCCATCGGTTCCTTCCTGGTGGGAAAAGGCGAAGTGGCGGAAGCGCCGGCGCCGTTGCCTGTACTCGTCGAGGAATACAGCGCCCGCGGCATTCAGTGTTTTGCATGTCAGGCCCACGTGCTCGAAATCTTCCGGGACCGTCTCCTTCACTATCTGCTGAAGGAGCTCAGACGGCAAATCGAGGAGAGACATATTGGACAGGCTATCAGGGACCGTTGCGTGGGTTTGGGATGGATGAATGAGTGGTGTTTTGGATGTGGCTGCGGGAGCTGAGCGGCTAAAACAGCTGTTAAGTACTTAGGTAACGTTACTGCAGACTAAAAGGAACTATGGATATGAACTACATTGCGCTCCAGGCAGCCCTGCCAGGGCCAGGGGTGACGGCGTGACGGCGTCCACCTCGCTTACAGACAAAAACAACATACGCCACAACCCTGACTCCAGAATGTATAGGTAACATTAGAACCCAACTCTATCTCGATAATGATCGCTCAGTTTATAACATCAGTCTGAAAAGCTGGCACCTCTACCAGTCGATAGTCTATGGTATGTAACGCATTGCACACCACGATCAGCTTCGTAACCCGTGGTTTTGCAGCTAGAAATATCTCCTATTCGAGCATTTTCAATGCCACGGATGAGAACGTTCCCGTCGTCACCGAGTCACTTGTAGATAGATGGTGGAATGTGCCAACGAAACCAGCAGTAACGGGATAATGAACAAATCGTCCACATGCATGTTTACCTACCTACCTATCCCCCCCATACACAACCTCAGCAAGCGGCTTTTGCCGCCTCGCAGGACCCTCCCGCATCTTCTCCCACTCGCCAAACTCCAAGCCCAGCAAAAACGTGCTCGCTCCCCTCGCCGTATACCGAAAGCATTGCGGCTCGTCGCCCTCAAAGTTCCTGTCGCCAATCTTGCAGACCACGACACTGCCATCCCCGTCGGGCCCGGCCGTCCGTCGATCCAACACGCCAAAGTGGTGCTCGTCCAGATCCAAATCTCAGTCGCCACGCCGCGGCCTCGTCGACCGTGCTGCCGGCGAAGGGGGGCTTGAAGTCCTCTGCTGCGACGGTGCCTGGCGGGGTCCCCAGGTTCACCTTCCTGGGTTGCCTCTGTCTCTGTCTCCGCGGAAACGGAACGTCTTCGTACTTTTCGCTGGCGACCAGCCAGAAGTCCGGCGTGCTGGTTCCGGACTTGGCCGCTCTTAGGATCTGGTCCATGGTCTGCATGGCTGTGTTTTAGCAAAATTGCACGGGCAGACGGTTTGTTGGAACTTGACGGCTCTGAGTGGGGTTGGGGTACAGTACTTCGTGGTTCATATCGACGAGGACGAAGAGCGCAAACGGCCTGTGTGTCCATCCTGGGCACATTATGGCTGACCGTGTATACGATGGAGAGACTGAGCCTGCCTGTTGCTCGTGTCAAGATGGAGGGGATACTGTATCCCCCGGTGGCCGCTCAAAGGGGTCAATCTAAAACTAGTAGGAATTGTATTGACAGACGTTGTATCGCGTACAGCTGATTGGGAGCATGGGAGAAAGGGCTGTTCATATTCTAGGATCTATCTAAAATGAAGCTGCGGAGCTCTCCCTTATACGGGGAGCTGCGCGGGGACAATCCCCTGTGCCCAGTCACGTGTATACCTTGCGACATGTTGCTTTCCAGGCCTCTAAGCCTTCAATGTAGAATGTTGAGTGCATGTGGACGAGGTTTGCAGGCGATGATGAGGAGGCGTGGGCGTGGGAAGAGCCGAGCCAATGATGTCTGTCAGGTTTCGAAGCCTGTAGTCGTACCGAACAAGGCGCCTCTCACAGCAATTAATATCACAAAGATAGGGGTCATACGGCCATCTTCATTAGTATCAATCATTAAAGCTCCTGGACTGTACCGCAGTGCATACATGGGCATTCCATCGTTTGCACTACGAGGCGCGTCGATTCTGGCGCGAGGTATCTCATGACGAGAACTCCCACCCAAACCGTATCACCGCTCAAAGACCCGCACGTACGGCGCAGGAAACAGCCCCTTATCGCCCATATACACGCCAAAGAACCACTCGCCGTTCTCGTCCACGACCTCGCGCACCTCGGCGCCCTTGGGGAACAGCAGCTCGTCCTCGGCCCCGGGCGCCGGGTACCAGGACCACAAGGCGACACCCTTCATGCCGGCGCCGCCGTCGGGCGGGAACTGCTGCTGCTGATGATCGGCGGGGGATGAGGAGGCAGCGGCGACGTCCAAAGTCACCAGCCTCTCGATCTTCGAGCCATCGGCGCCGTCGTACCACCACCACTTCTGCAGGCGCTGCTCGCTGCACCCCTCCGAGTGCGCACCTGCATCCACATGCAGATCGCTGCCCCCGACCACATCCCGCACGACGAACCGCTTCAGCCCGCCCTTGGCCTCCGCAAAGCTGACGACCGCCATGCGGTGCCCGTTCAGACAGCGCCGCCACCCGGCCGGGCCGTTCTCGTCGGAGATGCGCTTTTCATCGCGTACTAGCCCCGCGTAGCAGTCGAGGCAGATGTCGTAGTCGCCGGTCTGCGTGTCCGACACGACGGTGCTGGTGCACGCGAAGCAGTGGTAGCGCTGCTGGGTGGGCGCGATGGCGTTGCGGCAGTTGTCGCACGTCGTCGTGAAGGAGAGGGGTCTGAAATTGCCGATGCTCGCCGCGTTCGGGCCGGTGAACAGGGTCGAAGCGCGCGGACGGCGCGGGTTGAACCTGTCGGTCGGCGTGTTGTTGTGGGAGGAGGAGGGCGGCACGTAGGTCAGCGGCAGCAGCATGTGCGTGCAGCTGTGGCCCTGGTTGACGCACTTGTTACAGAAGCCCCAGTCGCCCTCGTTGCAGACGTCGCAGCGCCAGAAGCAGTCGTTGCTCCAGGCCAAGCACCGCGAGCAGAACATGCCGCTCTCGAGGCGGAGCGCCGGGTCGTCCGTTGTAAGCGTCTTGCGGCCCTCGGCACCGCCTGGCATGTGGCGCGGTGGGTTGTAGCGGTTCGAGGTCAGCATGTGAGGGGGCTCGAGGTGCTCGTTGTCGCCGCCGGCGGTTCGAGCGCGCTCCCACTTGACGAAGGCTGCGTAGCCGAAGCCGAACCAGTGTGGACAGCCCTTGCCGGAGCGGTAGCAATCCAGGCATAGGTTCCAGTTGCCCCCAGAGCACCTGGAGCAGTTATAATGCAGTTCGTATTCTATGTGCGGTCGTTGGCATCTCGAACATGTGATTGATGGCTCCGGATAGAACTGTGACCTTGCCCGTTGACTACTGGGACGGCTTATGGGCGAAGATAGAAGCCCGAGGCTGGGCAACGGACTTTGCGGGGCGGTCATGCTTGGTGGCCTTGGAGTCCGCCTCGGTCTCTCGTTGCTAGAATCGTCGGAATGGTACTGTAGATGCGAGCGGGTGTCTAAAGCTAAAGGAGGCGGGACCATAGGGTTCTGAGCTGCTGCTCGTCCACTGAATGACAAGTCCCTAATCCCAGACTGTTCGCCCGATGATGATCCACCTGATCTTTCTGTAGGCATGCTGGTACTTCTCCCCTCGACGAGGGAGGGACGGCGACCAAATGGGTCAGTACTCTGAGACCGCAGAGTCAGGTCTGTTTGAGATCTGGCTGCTGGTCGAGTCTCGGCTGTACTCGGTCGGATTGGATCTGTTGAGCGTCGACTAGCACTCGACGCTCTCCTCCTCCGCCGCCTTTCGAGATCGTTGCGAACCTCCAGGTGCGTTGATGTTATGGGAGGACGACTGCGATCGTCCGCCTGGCTAGCTGCACTGGACGGTCTAGTATTCGCTGAACTCGATCTTTGCCGGCTCGTAGGTCGTAATGCATCCGTAACAGGGGGTCTCGAGTGGGATTGTATGACCTCAGGTCGCTGAGAAGCGACACTGACGTTGTTCCTCCTGGCTGGTTCGGCACGGGTTCTATCTCTCTGCCGCCTCCTGTATGCTTCTGTGATCCTCCGACTCAACTCGTCGTTGCGGTTAAGGTCGATATTGTCCAGATCTAAGCCATCTAGCAAGCCTTCCTCCTGGATCTGGCGGGCAAAGTCATCAATCTCCTTCTCCAAATCGCGGGAGTCGACATCGGAAGAGCTGATCAACGATCTTATCGACGCCTGGTGCTCTATGTGCCTCCTCCTCGTCCGGGATGATTCACGCGACTGGTGCTGTGACTCGCTGCGATGCCGCTGTCGTTCAGCGGAGGATGACTCAGGTTGCAGCATCCCGTTCGAATCGACGCGATGCCTGCGCCCCTCGTCCCTCCGCGTCCGGTCGCGCGTGTCGCGATATCGGGTGTCCCGACTGCTCTCCCTGCCCGACCGACTCCTCCCGTCGTCAGACCTGCTGTGTTCTCGGCGTCGCCTCGATCGGGGCGCTTCTGACGACTCGACACCGGCGTCGCGCAGGCTCATCTCGCGCGCCTGCTCCAGCATCCGTCTCTCCATCTGATCCACCCTCCTCTCCTCGGGCGACCTGTCGGGCAAGCGGACCTGCGGCAGGACGTTATCCCCCGGCTTGTACTTCTGGCGCATCTCCTCCTTCTCGTCCTCGGGCTTGGCCTTGTCCGGGTTCGCAGACAGGAACATCTCGAGCAGGGTGGTGACGGTGGCATTGTGCCTCGTGTCGCGGACCGAGGCGCGACATGACGGGCAGGTGAATATCTGGGCGCCTGGACTCGGAGGGGTCGGTGAGGTCTCTGCTGCTGTCTTTTGCCAGCTGAACCAGTCTTTCAGGCACGAACCGCAGAAGGTGTGCAGGCAGTCGAGGAGCGTCAAGGGCTGGTAGAGGACTTCGGTGCAGATCTAATCGTGCCCATCGGTCGGTCAGCATTCCATTCCGGTGTCGATAGTTGTACCCCTCCACCGCCGCCTCGGGTCCAGGGACAGGAGGGACTACCAAGATGCAAGACATACCGAGCAGGTCAACTCCTTCTCCAGGTCGACTCCCGGCCTTGCAGGATCCATGGCTACTTCAGCCAACTTAGACTAAGTCTTGACAAGAGAGAGTCGCATAGAGGTTAGGGCGACAGCGGCTAACGTGTCAATCGTTGGTAATTTGGACAGTGGTGGGGGGAGGACAAGACGCCTAACCGATGCTACCACCATGACATGACCTCAAGTGCTCGTATTGGGCACATGTCCATCTGCAGCACGCTGCACTCCATAACTCATATCTGCTGCCAATGGTGGCGCGCTTCTGACTGTCAAACCGGGCAGTCAGGGAGAGCTAGATCAAGTAATACATGACAAGGTAAAGCGGTCGAGAACATTCAAGATCATGTGAGATCGGGTGTCAGATTTCTTGTTCTCTTTCGAGACGGGATTGTAAGCACTACTACGAGGGAATGCAGCAAGAATGTTACACTCATCAAAGACGCAAACGACTTATGGCATCGAGATTCGAGAAAGATGGGATGCTCCAACGCAAGTGCAAGATTCGGGAAGACCCTAGACCCCCCGGGAGGTGATTCTACGTCAGCCCTATTGACCCCGCCACTCCTATCATCTAACCTTATCCCACTGGGAACGACGGATACACTGAGCCCCCAGAAGTCTCCGTACATCATCCCCTTAAAGCAAGATGGATAGGTAGGCAGGTAGTACTCCTATAGGCCGTACAGGTGTAACTGCAGCGTCAGGTACGGGCCTCACTGCTCAGAGATACTCTCATTACCACGCGAAAGGGAAAACTACGTGACAATTGTCTGGATGGTGTAGTCCTCTAAGGGATGTACTTAGACACTTCAACTTGGATGGACGTACCCAGGTTATTACTCATGCGTCCACTCGGCCTTCTTCTTCTCCGCAAAAGCCTTCATGCCAATCTTCTGATCCTGACTGCCAAAGATGCCGTGGAATACTCTCCTCTCGTACTCGACGCCGTCCCTCAGGGGCAGGTCCTGGCTCTTGTTGACCACCTCCTTGGCCCCGATGATAGCTACCTTCGAGTAGCCCGCAATAGTCTCAGCCGTCTTCATCGTTCCCTCCATGAGCGCCTCGTAGCTGGGGAAGGCCTTCGCAGCCAGGCCCCATTGTGCGGCGTCCACCCCGGAGAAGGACTTGCCCGTCAGGATGAGCTCCATGGCCTTTGATTTGCCCACCGCCCGGGTGAGCCGCTGGCTTCCGCCCGCGCCGGGAATCGTGCCCAGCTTGATCTCCGGCTGTCCGAAGTTGGCCGACTCGGTGCAGTACAGGATATCGCACATCATGGCCAGCTCGCAGCCGCCGCCCAGCGCGTGGCCCGACACGGCCGCGATGATGGGCTTCTTGACCTGCGTGGCGAGCTGTGACCACGACTCGATGAAGCTCGTGGTGTATGCCTTGGAGAAAGTGAGGGGCGCCATCTCCTTGATGTCCGCGCCGGCTGCGAACGCCTTCTCCGAACCGGTCAGGATGATGACCGAGACGCTGTCCGACGAGTTGAACTCGCCCAGGGCCTGGTTGAGCTCGGTGATGAGAGGCGTGCATAGCGCGTTCAGGGCCTTGGGTCGGTGCAGAGTCACTAGATAGACCCGTGTGAGCCGACTGATGACCTCCGTACTACGGCAGTGGATGGGACCCTTTACCTTGACCGACGCCCGGTTTGGGCTCTGATGTTTGGATGTACTCATACGACCTGGCTGCGGAGGCGGAGAACGGCCGTGTGACTCTGGGAAGCGTATGCGGCTGAAGACGCGAGGCCAGCGGCCTCATTGCGCGTAGGGTATTCATCGTATTCATCGTGGTGGAGTTGAAGCTATGTGGGCAGGCAGCTAGCAGGCACCTAGCTGTCTGACGGGACAATGGTGAGCCTATTGGTACAGTACGAACGACTCAGGGTATTGAATTGATTGTTGGTTGCTTGACTGAATAAAGATGGTTTGCAACAGTATGCAAAACCGAATGCCTGTAATACAGTATGAGGCTCAAACAATGGGCGTTCCTGATATACAGACTCGGGTTTACAAGATGACGATGCGGGTGAGGCCGAAGCTGGCCGCGGTTAGCTCGACCTCAGCACCGTTACTAGACTTACAGCCGGTGCCTCGACTAAGAACGGGCCAAAACGAGGCTTGTGAAGAAAAAGGGGTTCACAGGCTTGGCACTTGCGTGGCAATTGGAACAAAATTTGTCACTCCGGCACTAGAAGAAAGAAATGTGGCTGTGCATGTAGTGATAAGAGTAGTGACTATTGTAGTGAGGCTGAGGGGCCATTCATTTCGTGGCGGGCCAGATCGTCCCGTTCGCCTCCTGCCCCATGCTTCCCCCATTGTCCTTCAGGAGAAGGAGCCCGCCTGCACGCAGATCTCGAAAAGTCGCGACAGGCCAATAACTACCAACCTTAGATCTCTTCAAGGTCGACACTTGCCATCTACAGCCGCTCCCTACCGCATACTCGACCATCCCCATCTCGACGCCATTCGTTTGTGCTTCTAGTAGAGAGAAATACATCACGCGGCTGCTGCTAGCACTCACTCCTTGGGCAACAAAGGCTATATTACATTCACCCTTCGGCCTCCTTTATCGGATCCCGCTATGGAGAACGTCGAGACAGAACAGACGCCTTTTGCGGCCGTCACGGCCCAAACGTCCAAGCTGCAGAGGGTCAGTCCAGCCTGGCGCATCTAGATATGTCGAAACCGCGAGTTGAGGGATTCTAACAGTCTTGCAGCAATACCAAGCGCTCCTAGACAAGGCTACACCACATGTCCTATACAGATGGATTGGCACAGGCGTCGCCCTGTCCTTCTTCTTCCTCCGAGTCTTTTTCGCGCAAGGCTGGTACATAGGTAAGAGGACCCTTCAGGCTATACGAGATTCGACAAGAAGTTGCTAATGGCAAGTAGTGGCGTACGCGCTCGGCATCTACCTCCTCAACCTGTTCCTCGCCTTCCTCCAGCCCAAATTCGACCCTTCGAATGATATGTTGGACAACGAGATGGAGGACGGATCGGCCGGCGGCCTCCCAACCAAGAGCGATGAGGAATTCCGGCCCTTCATCCGACGGCTGCCCGAGTTCAAGTTCTGGCACGAGGCGACGCGTGCCATCACCATTGCCTTTCTGTGCAGTTGGTTCGAGATCTTCAACGTTCCCGTCTTCTGGCCCGTCCTGGTTATGTACTGGATCATCCTCTTCGTTCTGACCAGTAAGTAATCCGTCGCGTGGCATCACGCTTGTATCAGTCAAATGCTGACTCCATCCGCAGTGCGCAAGCAAATCCAGCACATGATCAAGTACCGATACGTACCATTCTCCTTCGGCAAGGCGAAGTACGGCAAGAGCAGCACCTCGTAGGAACGCAGGGTATGAACAGCTTTTTCAGGCTGCACCACAATCGAGAAAGAGTCTGCGGATATTGCAGGACCTGCATGGATGATGGGACCGAGACCTGGGCAGATATACAGAGGATGCGTTGTACGCACTGGCGGAGTCTTACTGTGGTGTATGCTGGGTTGGGTTCGACTGTACAAAATCATGATAATGCATTGTGTATGCGGCATGGGATTCTGTGGCGCTGGGAACTTCCAGGAGGCTGCTGGTCGCACTTGGGATCTTGTGTGCATGGTGACACGAGCATGAGGCTAGGTATGGGATAGCAACCCCAGGGAGGGAAGAGGGAGGCGGAAGCAGCGCCAGAAGAGCTTTCAGGATCACCAATAGACATTATAATGAACACATAATATTTTTGCCTCGTCAATCTGCTTTCGGATATCGCCTCAGAAGACCAGGATTAATGGACATTTGTAAGTTGCGCGTTGTGCGTTCATGTCCATATCTTTGGGAACGCAACTAAACGAACAGGTTTAGTTGAGGTGGTCCTGCTGTGAAGCTTGGGTGAAGCTTCAACCTCCCGCTTCCCACATTTTCCCTCTTCCAGCTACAAAGCGCGACCACCAACCAACCGCACCTACCTTGCAACCGTGTCGCGCATTCCATCGCCTGAGCATTATCAACTGCGCAATCTTCTCACGTCCTCCCATTGCGCGCGCACAACGGTTCAGCCCTCTTTACCTTGATATTGCGCAGGCTGAGGCTTGCCTCTTTACCATTTTCTTTCTTCTACCTCTTCTGCAATCGCTTTCAACAAGATGGCGTCGACTTCGCGCCCGCACCAGCAGGACTTCATCGCCAGAATCCGGTACTCGAATACGCTGCCGCCGCCTCCGAACCCGCCGAAGCTCCTTGACATCCCGAACACTGGCCTGTCTAGCGGCCAGTACACTGCGCCAGGCTTCGCATCGAGGCTGGCCAGGGAGCAGCCGCTCAACATCGAGGCCGATGCAGAACTCGGCATGCCGTTGGACCTGGTGGGCATGCCAGGCGTATTCGATGGTGATGAGAGTTGTAAGTGGCTACCGAACCACTGTATGCGCCGACGATGGCTAATCTGAACCTATATAGCTATCCAGGCCCCCGCGCAACCTCCGCCTATCCATCCGCATGATCGGGCTCTACTCCGACCTCTGCAGACCCTCGGCAAGCCCAAGGTCTCCGAACCGAACGTATCCTTCCTTCGACGCACAGAATACATCTCTTCAAACTCATCAAAGGGCAAGCCTGACGCAGGCCCATTGCGAGCCCTAAACCCAAACCCCATCAAGCGATCCCTGAAACGTCCCTCGCCCGAGCCGGACAAGGACTCTCCGGCCTACGTCAAGCGGAAGATCGACCAGAGCTTTGCTATAGCAGCGGCCAATCTCAAGGACAAGTCCCGCATCAAGCATCCCTCGAAGCGCAATGTCAAGTGTGTCGAGGCTTACCCCATGGTTCCCGACCTCGACGCATTCCCCGACTCGGGTGCCTACGTGACCGTCAAGTTCACCATCAACCCCTTGCCTCCCTCTCGAGTCTACGACAAGCGCTTACTTGGCGGCCTGCTGCGACCTATCGAGAGAAGCCAAGAGGAAGAGGAGGCCTACAACCTTGCTAGACTAGCCCATGAGCGAGACCCTCGCAGCTTTCCCAAGCCATCCGCAGGCACAAACTACGACTTCTTCCTCGGCGATACTGTGGAGACGACAGAGAAATTCAAACAGAAATTTGATGTTGAGAATCCGGACCACGACGACCCGGCCCTGTACACAAACAACAAGGGCGATCGGCCCAAATTCTCGTTCCCACGAGTGCGCGCGTACGAGACGGTGCACGAGACAGAGCTGGACCACTCAGCCAAGTACGACGAGGAGCTCGTGCTGTCATTCAACGAGGACGAGATGATCGACCAAAAGGCCGTCTTTTACTATCCCGTCATTCAGAAGTCCGTTATCAAGCCCCAGCGCACCAAGAACATTGCCCGCACGGCAGGATCTGGAGACATGGACGACACGCCCACCGACCAACTCGACGTTACGGTTGATGAGCCTCACGATGGCTTGCGCGCACTCATGGCTCACTACAAGGACAAGCCGTACGAGCCAGCCGACGAGGAACTGGCGCTGGGAGGGGGACCCGAACAGCAGCTGCAGCAGGAGGAGGCCGCTGCTAATGGCCATGACGAGGAGCAGGAGACGAACGGATACGCCCAACAGCGGGCCAACGTCTCGGACGATGATCAAGACGCCGAGGGCGACGAGGAAGAGTGAACATCGTCGTCGACCCGTACGGTCCAGGCATCACGGATACATTCTCGGGAGTCTCATGTTTGCCGAGATAATAACTTCAGCCTATCGATATCACGGAATAGCTCCCATCTGCGTTTGGAACCAGTACCAGGCGTTGCTGGAGAGCAGGCCATGCTGTGAAAGCATTCTCGGGAGCGTTTTGATCTGGCTCCGTATGTGTGCCATCTATTATAGAGATAAAAGTATAATAGATCCTTTTTGGGCGCAACTACCTAAGGAACTTGCAACGTTCACATGTCTCTGATGTAGCATCCAAGGCTGTTCTACGTGACACGCTGCAGGTTGGGGCTTCTACTTCTAGCATGATGAACACTGCTGCTTCACCAGGAGGGAGGCTGGGCTTTACCCGCGAGAGCGCAGCATGGTGTTTCGTTGCGCGCGTTGCTATCAGGTGAGCTGAGGCGAAGTCTGAGATGCTGCTGCTGCCGAGGCAAGCCTGAGGAAAGGAAGAGGACTGACTCCAAAAGGAAGCGGTAGGTCGAGAATCTGCAGACTTTAGGGTATGAGGGGAGGTGTTGTGGGTTATGGTGCGGTGGGTTGTGGTGCTGTGGTGGTGCTGTCTAAGGTAAGGTTAGAGTCTTGCGGACTTTGGAAACGTTCCGGATTCCTACCTAGGCTCTGTTTTTGGTTGTTCTATTCGTATGGCGGCTACGGTACGACTTTGGCTAAGTATTCTGCTACTGCCTCGGGGAAGTTCTCCTCGTCTAGGTTGATGTAGGTGCGCAGGTGGTGGGAACGGTAGTTGTTATTGTGCACTCTTCGCTCTTGCGCTCGCGCGATTCCAAGGCCAGCAAAATCAACATAGATAGATGTAGGCATAAGAGGCTTTGGGCCGGTGATATCTCGATCAGAGGATTTCAGTATTGACACATCTCTCAATCTGCTGGATTGGGAACCATCAAGTCTCGATCGGAGTGTTGAGGCTTCTCTGTGTGCCCTTAAATGTTGATCGTAATCGGCAAGCTCGAGACTCCCACGACTCAGGTTCCTAGGCTCAGACTTGGTAAGGGCGGTACAGCTCCCCTCTGCAGTCACAAGATATGGGGGATCAGGCCATTGGATTAATAGGTCAGGAGTTAGACCATGTGCTGTACAGTTGCTCGTCCCCTGAGCGTTCCAGAGCAGCCAAATAGGGCATCTTTCTATCTGGTGCCCACGACAGAACCGCGGAAAATGTAGCAGGTTGTGTACCGTATGTACCGCCGGAGCAAAGAAGCGTCCTCAGCACTGCCCACCCACGTACCGCGAGATCGAGTCTCACAAGGGCAACCAAAAAAAAAGCATCTCTACAAGTGGCACGAGCCGTTATCCGGGTATGGCCTATGAAAGAGCCTTGTTACACCGAGCCATGCCGACTCGACCTGACAACACACCATCACGGTAGTGTTGGCTGCATGATACATGCAGCTAATCTTCCCATCCCCGAAGCGAGAAGCGTGCCGATTGCCGTTATTTATATCAAGTAGGACTCAAGTATAGCCTTTGTTGTAACTACCCCAGCGTCGTCATCCTCCAACGACGAGAGACGCTCTGCCTTCAAAGTCAAGATGCCATCCACTCAACACCCAAGGCCTTATACATAGGAAAGAGAAGCCGGAAGAATGTAGGATCACTCTCTCTACATTCCCCGGAAAGAAAAGTTAAGCCAGATACACGCACGAGGCGCAGAAGCGAGACGTCCTAGTGTCCTGCGGCCCGTTCTGCGACCACCTCTCCCTCTCCATTCCACGCCCCATCGCCCTGGCCTGACGGGGGTTGGGATGGAGGTGAAGCATGGTATTCACGTGATGCACTGGACATGCAATGCAAGTATGTCGTGCATAGTTTTTACATGTCGAAGACATGACGAGCATAAGGTCGTGGTCATGTGTACTTCGGCCTGGGGACCCCCTGGCCCGGCGGGTCTGGTGTATCGTCGTAGCAGCTGCAGCTGCTGGGTTAAGGTTTGTGAGATTCGTATGCATGCAGATGTGTGGTTTGGTGGGTAGGTATTTGTGCTGCCTGGCGGTCTCTGGTAGTAAATGTCATTAGGCGCAAAACACTACCGGAAAGGGGCACTTCGGAGAAACATACCTACCTAATCAAGAGCATGATCGACAGCCCATTCCATCAGCGTATTTACTTTGACGTACACTTCATTAGAGGTATCGACTTCATTTTTCGGAGAACGCAATCCTCGACAAGTGGATGGTGCCGACCGGTAGTTGCAGTTATCAACTAGGACTCTGGCTAATATACTGCGAAGCACGGCAGGTAGCCAAGTGGCGCCAAAAACTTCATACATTGTTAGCGTATGGTACTTATGTCGGGATCAACCACCAGTCCGACATCCATAGTCCCACTTTTGGGAGTCGTCTGTCCGAATGGAGCTGGAAGTTTTTTTGAGAAAAATTGCAGGGTCAAATACATTGCCGTACCGTAAAGCGCCTTGAAATAATAGCAGTGGAATACAATACGAAGAACTCCGCCCATCCAAAGTCGTATAGCCGCTCCGGCCCTTACTCCCTTATAGATTCATCCCTATATCGCTGTTCCGTCCCCTGACAGTGGGTTTCCGGTGAAACCCTCCCTTGTTATCAATGACCGACTATCCCAAAGCCAACCCTGTAGCCCATCGCAATGCCACAAGACCGAATCCAAAGCCGCGCGGTGGTCGCCACCCCGATTAAGGACAAGTAACCTTCAGCAGCAGCCCATCAGTCCCATTCCCATTCCCAAAAAAGAAGACATCAGTTGGCGTTTGGAGGTCCGTGAGGACATATTCAATTGTAATGTTCTCAGCGATGATACCGCTGATCGAAAACGGCAGCGACTGTTGTTGTACAGGAGTTTTTACTATCGTGAAGGGATTTCCCAGTGGTTTGCCCCGGTCGCCATTGTCCTGGATGAGGAAAGCGTTGAACTCCACTCCGTCGGTGTTCTCCACGCTGGCGAAGAACTCGGTTTCATCTGAGAGTATGATCTGGAAGGTATTTCCGCTGTCGCGAGGAGTGCCAGCCGGAAGGGTGTATGTGAGAAATCGATTCCCAGGGAAGTCCGTGTTATCGTTATCGAGCTCGAAGACGAAGTCGTCGTCGTCCGAGGAGACCAGTATGGACTTCATGTCGGCTGTGCAGCCGTTTGTCGAGGGCATGGCTGCAACCACGACGCTCGCGAAGGCAACGAGGGAGAAGATGGTGAGCTTCATGGTGTCGTTGATAAATCTTGGGCTTGGAGACGAAGGTATTCTTCGAGGAAGACAAGTTCTTGGTCCTGGGTAGGGCGAGACCTGGTAGAGATAAGATGAGGTTGAGATGAAAGAGAAGATGGTCGTCCTGAGTACCCAATATCAGGAGCCGACTTTATACATCACTCGCTCATCGTCAGCCTGATACGTCTAAGCATCATACCGCTCGCAGGGAGTCCCAACACCAGACGACGGCGACCACAGCAGAGGCTATGTGCATGGCTTGAAGCCAAAATTAGAGCATTCAGGCTTGAGCCAGATTTACCATAGCGGTGCAATGCATATGATAAGTCTAAATCGATCTTGTCTGCCCCTTGCATCGGAAGGGATGGGTGAGCGGTATTAAATCCTCCGCCCATCACAGTGGCTCTGGGCTGCTTAGCCACAACGCCTCACTCCAACACTCAGGTTGAAAATAGGGGTTCCTAATTGAGACACCCCTGCTTGTGATTCATTGAATCAACACGGTCGAATATAGTACACCTTGCATCTGGACCGACTGCTCGGGACGAGTCAAAAGCATAAAGTATTCCTCGCAAAGCTCTACTAACATTTACCAATAATAACGTCCTTCCGGAGATGGTCAGCAGTAGATAATCGTCCATGGCAAAAGTACTGCATGGACACCACTGAGCGCTGCCCCAGTCGCGAGGATTACAATAGTATACCGGAAAGCTTTTACTGTGTTGGGCCCTAGCTACTGGCCGTCATATGCAGCACAGAACGGTTTGCCATTTCCATGTTACACGCCTTCTACTCAATCACCCATGCCTCGCTCTCAGCAGCACCAACATCTATCAATAGCAACATTCCTGGTATGCAGTTCCGTTCAGCAGATATTCCCTCGCTATCAATCACTGTCCTGCTGCTTGGGGATCATGTCCAAGTCGATGGTAAGTTACTAGGTACTTCGATACATGTCCGAGACTGATCGTAACCTACAAAGCTGAAGGCGATGACTAGTAGGCAGACTTCAATTACTTATTCGCGTTTTCAGCTAGACATAGATGGGCTCGTATAAACTTTGTTGACTGATACACATGAAATCCTCCTGGGACAAAGATACCTATTCAAGCCCCACCACCGACCACGTCACCATCCTCGTCTGTATCCCAATCAAGAGCCTTGCTCCAAGCTCCAAATTATCTGACAAGAGCAAGCGGTCAATCCGCGCAAGGAACATCCATGTTAACAAGTTCGGCGATGAAGAAACTGTTGATGCCTGGGGTTTCAAGTGAATGCGTGATGACAACCGCGCCAGGATCGTCATCGCTCCGAATGGAAATCGTAAAATTCAGCGAACCTTTCCGATGCAACTCGCAGTCGAACTTTACAAGGCAATGGCTTTTGTCGTCTAGCGTGATGTTGAAGGGGATGCCGATGAGGGCGTCTGCGCCGCCTGTATTGGGACTGAAAACCTGGAGCTCCGTAGAACCGGCGGAAAGAAAGCCCGTGAAGTTGGATAGGAAGAAGACACCCAAAGCGCAATCGGTGCCACCGATAAAGGCCGCATCAAAGTTAACTTGGGGACTTATGTCTATGAGCCTTGCTGCGTGGTTCTTGCTGATCGTGATGGTTTCCGCGTCTTCTCGGGACACCATGCCGCTACCTCCCCCAGCGGAATGAGCCGAGCGTACAGATAGCGCCGTGTTTGAGATGGTACTCTCTGCTGCTGGTAGAATGAGGTCTGAATTGTCATCAAAGGCCATCGCACAAGTCTTCTTCCGCGCCCGCGAGTATGGCCCCTCCTGGGCCTGCGCGAAGGCCAGGGCATGATAAAGCCGCTGGGATGTTGCGTGCCAATCCGAAGAGACACCACCTAGGAGGACGAGGGCAGCGGATGAGAACTTCATGTTTCCAGGATCTTGGTAGACTGCTGTGTTGGTCGTGTCGGAATGCGATTTGAAGTAGGAGCAGCAAAGGGGTATATGCAGTAGAAGTGGTTGTGCGTTTCGTAGGTGAAATTCTGAGCTGAGACGCGATCGACTTGGTTGCAAAGACGATGTAAACGAAGGAAACGATGAGAATGTTGATGATGGAAGGAAGTACGAAGGGCTATATCATCCGCATTTCCCAGTGGTTATATAGGGCCTGGATATTCCCCAAGGACCCTCGACATCCAACCATTTTGGCTCGAGCATCGACCGGGCTTCGTGAGGAAAGCGCCCAATCCAACAATAGGCATCCCTTGCAGTGGCTATAAGGCACAAGTGTATCTGCTGAGATGTAAATGTAAATTCGTCTTCCAAAAGGACCCCGAATAGACTACACAGCCTAGGCAGGCCGGAAAGCAACAAGGGTACTAGGGACATAACCGTACCAATCTATCCAGTGGTGTTTGGCCAAGAGTACCGACCACTCGCTCGCTCCTTGTCGTGTCAGCTATGCTGGCGATCCGAAGGTCATCATCGGGATACGAGCATAACGATGGGTAGAGCGAGACTATGTGTCGGTGTGAGGAACATGTGGGCGCTGTTGAGATAGTCATGTACTGTTTCCATTGGACCCGGGTTAAATGTGACATCGGATGGGCCGCTACACCGAAGTAGATGCGGCATGTCAAGGCCGCAGCCAACTGCATGATATCAGATCGTATGACCTCTAAACTGCGCCTCAAGTCACCAGGGCAGAGAGAGCCTGTTCCGGGATGTAAGGCACCGGGGAAGTATCACTGCCTTGTAACCTCTTCGGTCCTCCACGCGGCAGCCACGGCTGAACAGTAGAAACCGCCAAGTCCCCAACGTATCAATGTCGAGGACTTTGGCATGTGTGATCTAAAAAGATTGCCTATGGATCTCCCGGAGCTGTGAGCTGGCCAAAAATATACCGTGTACCGAGGCGTCCCGAGGCTCTGGGTCAATTTCAGCCACCGAAGAGCCCCGAACCAACCGTGCCGCGCCTTGTGCTTATGGTCACACATACACTACCAGGGACCGGAATTGCACATCACCCGCCCATCCCAAAAGCACCTCTTCCGTATCAGGCTACGCACGAGGGTTTCCTCTTGTTCCTCTAGGTTTCTCATCAAAGCGCATTGGGCGTCATGAGATACTCGTATATAGGTAATACCCTGCTGCGTAACTAGTCAGTGTCGAGGACACCGAGGAAGCGTGGCGCAGAAGCCGAAGCCGGAGCTGATGAATTTGAGAGGTTCAGCGAGTGCTGCCGAGATCGGAGCCTGTCTAACTGTGAACCCCAAGTCGAGCCGTGCAATGAGAGCCCTTGGGCCATGAGAACGGGATGTGAGGTGTTTCCAGCGCTGCGCGTTCCTCCCTTACAACGTGGTGCCGGCATGGTGAGTTGATGGACAAGCACCGTGCTACGCCGTACCAGACAGTAGGTGATACGCAGCACAGTCGTCGGGCAAGGCGAATACCTTGAACTTTCCTACGGCCTGGACGTTGCGCGTCTGTATTCGCCCCCTGGCTGGCGGGTTGTGAACGCGAAAAGGGCGGAAGAGCCGGTTTTCCATCCTGGTCCTTAGCACCGCCGCGAAGAATCAACGTGCGGGAGTTGACTTGCAGACAGGACGGCTTCGGCTTGTAAGAGCTGCGCAGCCTCCCATATGTCAACGACCAGCCACTCAACCGAGGCTTGTTCTTCTGATAATGCGCAGCCCCAGCTGGTTTTGAAAAGCCACTTGCATGAAGAGAGAATTCCAGCCCTGTTCGGCCCTGAATCCTGCGGTATGTCTTTGGAGGTTGGATCTGGCTCAATATCTTGCTGATACGGAACCATATCGTGCTGTATTCAGCGCCGATTCGTTCAGGTCACCGCACCATCGTCTTTCCTGCAAGAGTATCAGGCTTGAAGTCGCGGGCCGCAATGGTGTTGGAGATTTGTCACCCTGTGGGGTAGACATCCTGTGGGGTAGACATACGCGCGAGGATAGTCCGCGATCGTTTTGCCAGCCCTGGATCATTCTTTCAATGGCTTGAGCCATCCATAGTTTAGGCGGAATTGGGGCTCGTCCCATGTCCCCGAAGGACTGTCTTGCTGCACAGGTGCCTGAGTTACGCTGCAAGGGTAGGAGAGGACATCTTTCGGTCTATCCGTGAACTGATCGTCCAAGCAGCAAGTAGGCCTCGTCGTGCTCGTTCTCGGTTTGGTCACATGGTCCGGTAGACCGTATCCTTTCCACCTAATGCTCGAGTTGAGAAAACAGAAATGTGGAATAAAATGGCGATGTGGAATCTAATACCCTTGCGATATCAAATCTGACCTACTATATGCAGCACCGAGCCATGCAACGTGATCTGACAATCTGACACCGCATTGAGCCGTTGTAACCTCACGAGGGCGGTGATAACGGCGGGGACCTAGATGTGGGACAGCCCCCCATGTGGGACAGATTTTACACCTAATCCCACTATGTTCACTTACATGTATCTCTGTTAATTCTGAAGCTGTAAATATCACAATAGTATTATTAGAATCGTCTTTTCTTGGTGTTTTGATATCATATGGAGTGTTAGGTCCTGCTTCCGTACCAAGAACGTAGCGGTGTGTTGAACTTGAACCGAGCCTCGCTCCCACCAAAAGGTCGGGAAAACCAGCCTTGCGGCAGCCTTACGGCAGCCCGAAACGTAAAATTTCGTAGGGGCAAAACTTTATGTAATTGCAACTCCAGTATCAAAACAAGTTACAAGGAGTAACTGGACTTAAATATAAAAAGAAAATCAACGAATATTCCTGTTTAAACAAATATATTGTGGCATCACTATTGGTTGAGTTATAAATGTCGCAATATTGGAGTTTTGGTGAGAAAACTGTCCCACATGGGGCGCTGTCCCACATCTAGGTCCCCGCCGTTACTGTGTAAGTGGCCGGAACTGCACGGAAGATCCCCGCACCCCTGATCTATGGTCCATCATGATTCCAAAGTCATCATGATGCCAAAGGCAGGATCAGAATCCCGGCTGCCCATCTAATTTGTTCGTAGCCGGTGGGTATTGCTCGAAAACATCCGGCGGTCAGGAATATATTCGCAACGAAGTTGACGGGGAAAGGCGGAAGCTGTCCTGTAACCGACGGCGTCCGATTACTTTTCCACCTGATACTTTTTGGCTTGCGCGAGTGGCTTGCGTGCGAATGAATAGATCGTACCAGCCTCACTGGCGGGGAAAACCTGTGGCTTTATACCAGCCATCCTGATAAAGGCTTCCAAGCGAGGTGATAAGCCTATCCAGGTAAGGTTAGACGCTAAGCAAGGGGGTTCGGAACCGTCCGTTATCCCGTTGTTCCAATGCTGTTGCATACAAACAGTTTCCACGGGACCGGGGGATCAGGGGATCAGCGCACCGAGAAACCAGAGCAAACGAAGAAACATGTGCGCTTTGCAAAGAAGATCCGACGGGTGCTTGGCGACACAACTATCCACTCATTGCTCAAAGTCGTTTGCGTCATACCAAGACGTCGTCAGGGCGGCGTTACGACGCTTCGTTACACAGATATAGGCGAGCAATCTACTGTACACAGTACTTTCCGCACACGCTCCGCTCCCGCGATGGCTCCATCCATCCGGTGGCCTCTACCACTGACCAGTATGCTGACGGCTGACGGTGCGCAACAGTTTGACTTTTCTATGGGGAGAGAAGACTCTAGAACACGTGGGAGCCGTTGCAAGTTGTGACCCATTGCCTTTATACGGTGGGGGCCGCACTATAGGCCGCATCGGGCTGCCAGGTCCCCCATCCATGAATGTCACCATTCCATCCCAGCCCGTCTGCCGTGGCATCCAATCTGCCAATTTGGCGATTTGATGCAAATGCCGACGGTTCGATGCGACAGGGGGAGGTTATCTGCCGTGATTAGTCCCGCGCTGTTCATGACGAGCCGGCCCAGCTCGACTAGTTCCGAGCTCGGCGTCGAGGCAGAAGTTTAGAACACATCGATTCTTCGGACGGCTCTGCGGCGACCCTGGGATAATCTCGCGCAGTAGTGGGACAGAAACATGCTGAGGTTGATTGCTGCAACAGGTACCAACCCGCTTCGGCATGCTGCTGTGCTTCCTGCATGTGAACGGTTTCGATGCAACCCAACGGCCCAATCCGAACTCGATCTCCTGACTCGGACAAGACCGGACGAGTCGTAGGTGCGCTTGGCCGCTTGGCCGCTGGCCTCAAATCTTTTTATAGCCCTGCAGAGAGAGAGAGAGAGAGGTTCTGTTCTGTTGGTAGTTGATCTGCACGTTGCGTACGATGAGTATTTGACATCGGCCAAGAGACGATCGAACCCCCAGTCCAGGACCACGACAGTCCCGGACTCCCGCCAGCCAGTGCTTGGAGACATCTGATTGAGGCCGGGGACATATTGGCCACTGTGACGTCGGACTACAGTTTGCAGTGCCAGACAGAGCCTCGGAGTGAAGATGTCTTATTGCCATTGTTTCAGGAAAGATCTGAAGATCGATTCGGGTACAGACCTCGGAGCCGGCGATGCGGGATGAATTGGATTGAGATGAGTTGCGGAATAGAGAAGACCGGGCCACCACAGTCCAATCGCTTCAGCCCAAGGGGGGAGAAACCCCTGCCACCGCGATGCGGATCTCCGTTCGGTTATCATGGATGCGGTTCAGACTCCAGAGGGCCCGAGCAGCTACCGAGGTCATCATCTGTTTTGCCGTGCGTCAACATGCCAGGGAACCGAAGCTCGAGGGAGCTGCTTGCTGCTCTCGACACGCCGGGCATAACGTTACTCGCGCATGAGACGCGTCGTGGTCGTGGTCATGCTGGTGCCATCAGCTTACAGCTTACCAGGTTGGACTTACACATGAGGAAGGCGGAAGACGCTGTGCAGTAACAAGTCGCGGTTGGTTGTCCATGGTCGTGCCGGATTGGCCGGCTTCGCAACATCCATGGATATCACATCAATACCGTGAGCCCTGACATGGCATGACCAGACCTGACACGATAGTTCGCCGCTACCAAGCGGTAGCTACCCTGTTCATGCGCACAAGATATCACAATCGACATTTCACCAAGCTGTTTCTCTCTGGACTCTCGCATGGCCAAGGTCCCAAGGTCATGATCAGTTGCCGGGCGCTTCCTGGTTTGCGCCGTGCTGGTTCTATCAACCCACAACCAAGCTGTATCGGGATAAACCACCAACTTCCAAGCCCAGCCCATCCCGGTATCTTCCACTTTCCCCAGCACCGCTATCCACAGCAATCCCAAAGGGAAAGTTGTCACTCGGTCCTACAGACCGAATCGGGTTTTCAGTTTATCATAGCCTCGATTGTTACTGGCGGCCAACCTTGGGTAAGTGGGACGTGGTTTAGAATCTTTGGATGGAGCTCCTCTTGGCCTGCAGGTTCAACATCTCAAGCCACACAACAACACCACCGCCCTTCTTGCGCGTCGGGTGATCTGTCGTCTGTGGTAGGAGAGTGAAAGGACCTGCAGCTCTGATACGGTAAATTAGTAATTAGTACCTAGGTTCTGCCGCAAGCCGCCTCTGCGTCAGAGCCTCAGGCACAACATTCACAACATCCACACCTGCAATAACGTTGGTCCAAGACAATTTGATACCTGACCTGCCACCCCGGTACGTACCTTCCTCCTACATGTACCCCAACGTGTTTGCTCATCTCGGGTCAACGTTCTCTTCTATAAACACAGCACGATTCCCATCCCGCCTACCTGTCTCCTCCCTTCGAGGTTTACCTTTTTCCTTCCTGCCCTTCCACCAGGATCCACCCTCTCCGCCTCCTTCCTGTCCTCTGTCAATATATATTGAGGAGTCTGACAGGCAAAAAGGGAAACCAAGTCGTCATGGGTCGCATCACCTCCGTTGCGCTCTTTGCGCTCGTGGGACTTGCCTCCGCTGGTTGCCCTTTCTCCGACCCGGCGGCCCTCCACGCCCGGGCCGATGACTACACCCAGGCCCCGTTGGCCGATGCCATGATCGATGACAGCACCGGTTTCATGACCGATGATGTCGGTGGCCAGATCGAGGAGCAGGGCAGCCTCCGAGCAGGCCAGAGAGGACCAACTCTGCTCGAGGACTTCATCTTCCGACAGAAGATCACGCACTTCGATCACGAACGGGTGGGTAGGCTCTGAATATACGCCTGAGAATTGGCTGACATGTTGGCAGGTGCCTGAGCGCGCCGTTCACGCTCGAGGAGCCGGAGCCCACGGTATATTCACGAGCTATGGCGACTGGAGTAATCTCACCGCTGCGTCGTTCCTGAGTAGTGCTGGCAAGGAGACTCCTATGTTCACTCGGTTCTCGACTGTGGCTGGCTCTCGCGGAAGCGCCGACACCGCTCGTGATGTCCACGGTTTTGCGACGCGATTGTGAGTCACTCTCGCTTCTGGTTGGCAACGCCGCGCTAACTAAAGACATAGCTACACCGACGAGGGCAATTTCGGTATATATCCCATCATGTGCACTCGCTTGGGCTCTTGCTAACCTGCTCCAAGACATCGTAGGAAACAATATTCCCGTGTTCTTCATCCAGGATGCCATCCAATTCCCCGATCTCATCCACGCTGTCAAGCCAAGACCAGACAATGAGATACCTCAAGCAGCCACTGCTCACGACTCGGCATGGGATTTCTTCTCTCAACAAACCTCCTCGCTACATACTCTCTTCTGGGCCATGGCTGGATATGGTATCCCCCGAAGCTTCAGACACATGGTTAGAGATATTCTTTGCATTTGTTTCGATTTGTAATACTGACATCGCACAGGATGGTTTCGGAGTTCATACTTTCCGCTTAGTCACCGACGATGGCACATCGAAGCTGGTCAAGTGGCACTGGAAGAGCAAGCAAGGCAAAGCTAGTCTCGTATGGGAAGAAGCTCAGGTTCTAGCCGGAAAGAACGCAGATTCGCACCGAGAAGACCTTTTCGACGCCATTGAGTCTGGCAACGGTCCTGAGTGGGAACTTGCCGTTCAGGTCGTCGATGAGGACAAGGCACTGGCATTCGGGTTCGACCTATTGGACCCAACGAAGATCCTCCCCGAGGAGTACGCTCCGCTGCAAAAGCTTGGTGTCATGAAGCTTCACACGAACCCGACCAACTACTTCGCCGAGACCGAACAGGTCATGGTAAGCTAACTCATCTCACCCTTTTAGTCCATGATAATCTCTGGGCAAGGTGGTACAAATCTCGTTCAGTTGACGATACTGACGCAGACTGCAGTTTCAGGTTGGACACGTCGTACGTGGTATCGACTTTACCGAGGATCCCTTGTTGCAAGGGCGCATCTTCTCCTACCTCGACACTCAGCTGAACCGACACGGTGGCCCCAACTTTGAGCAGCTGCCCATCAACCGGCCCCTCGCTCCTATTCACAACAACAACCGTGACGGTGCTGCCCAGAACTTCATCCACAAGAACACCGCACACTGTAAGTTTTCTTTTAAATGAACACCTTGTGTGTCACGGTATCATTATGGCTTGTCGCTAACACGTGCCAGACTCCCCCAACACCCTCAACGACGGATACCCACAACAGGCGAACCAGAAAACCGGGCGCGGCTTCTTCAGCGCACCGATCCGCGGCACGAGCGGCGGCCTGGTGCGCGGGCTCTCGTCGATGTTCGACGACCACTGGTCGCAGACGCGGCTCTTCTACAACTCGCTCGAGCCGGCGGAGCAGCAGTTCCTGATCAACGCGATGCGCTTCGAGACGAGCAAGCTGACGTCGACCGAGGTCAAGCAGAACGTGCTGACGCAACTCAACCGAGTCAGCCACGACGTCGCAGCGCGCGTCGCCGAGGCGCTCGGCATGGCCGTCCCCGCGCCGGACCCGACATACTACCACGACAACGTCACGGCCGGCATCAGCATCACCAACGCCACGCTGCCGACGGTCGCGACGCTGAAAGTCGGCATCCTGGCCAGCATCGGCAATGCCAGTGCCAGCAACACGACGACATCCGCGCAGGCCATGGACCAGGCCAAGTCCCTCAAGCAGCGCCTGGCCGCCGACCACGGCCTCGTCCCCACCATCGTGGCCGAGACGCTCGCGGACGGCGTCGACAAGACCTACTCGGCGGCCGACGCGACCGACTTCGACGCCGTCATCGCCGTGTCGGGCGCGGAATCGGTCTTCGCCCCCAACGCGCCCGCCTCCCCGCTCTACCCGGCCATGCGCCCGCTGCAGATCCTCAGCGCCGCGTTCCTGTACGGCAAGCCGGTCGGCTGGTTCGGCACCGACGCCGCGCCGAGCGACCTGCGCGCCGCCGCGGGGATGGATGCCCAGGCCGACGGCGTCTATGTCAGCGCGAGCGTCGACGAGATGGTCGGCGCGGTGGGCGAGGGGCTCAAGACTTTCAAGTTCACCGGGCGGTTCCCGATGGATTCGTAAGGTCGTTGTTGGTGTTGTTATTTCGGGGGTTTTGAGAGTGAGGGCCGATGGATGGATGGATAGATGATACCACATACCACACACATTATGGTGCGTAGGTAGGTAGTGCGTTGGCTTTTTCCCGGTTTCGGTGTTTTTCGTTTCGCTGCATATATACACTACCCCCGGGACGCAAGTCTCTAGACCTCGTAATTGAGATGATGATACTCCCTTCGTTCAATGTCCGGAACTGCTTGATATGTGCCTTGTGTGATCTGGATACTTGCGTCGTGACGAGATCCTTTCTGGGTCCTGACTTGCGGCTTTCGGCATTTTGGCCGACGCGTTGGTTCTTGCTTTGCGTTCAGTGTGCAAGGTAGCCAGCCAGCCACCTGGCGAGGACTTAGTGAATTGGAGACGGACGCTATGTGGTGTCCTTCTTTGATAATAGATACTATGGAGCTGGAGTGCCGTACCGCATGCCATCGCGAAAGCTCATCGGAGCTTAGGACAAACCCATACCTACACCGTGTTTAACTCGATACGGCATGTGGAAGTCCATCCTGGCCTTAGATGCGTGATGGTCATATGTTCCGATGTCTCGAACTATGTATATATCCAGGAGAGCACACCTCGCCCGCCCTCATTAGCTCATGCTGAAATCTATGGTATCCTTGTGTTTCATGAAAATGTTCAATCTACGTAAATATGCCACCAATTTCAAAACCATGTTCGCTCCACCCAATGCGCCCAATTTCAAACAATGCCATGTCACATGCTCTCTTTCTCTCTCTCTCTCTCTCTCCCCAGCTCACACAGCACTCGGCCGCCGTCTCCTCGGCGACCTCCTCAGCGACCGGTCCGCAACAAAGCTCTCCCCCTTGTCAGCGGCCAGGATCGACAATATCGACTTCTCGACCTCGCAGCTGCCGCCCATCAGCTGGGCCTCCTCGATCCAGCCGGCCTCGACCGCGAACCTTACGATGTCGCTCGCGCTCTCGAAGCCGGGCACGCTCGCGTGCGCCTCCGGGTTGAGGTACAGCCACAGGTCCTTCGTCTGCCGCCTGAAGGCGCCGGCCTCCTTCTTGGGCCCGCGGAAGTTGCCCAGCATCCACTCGTAGATGTAGGCCAGCCAGAGCACGTTGGTGTAGGGCTCGTGCTGCGCCCAGGAGATGGGCCCGTCGACGCCCTCGGCGTAGGCCTTTTTGTGGCTCTTGGGCGGCAGGCAGACGCGGTCGCCGCGGAGGAAGAAGGACCGCATTTGTCGGTACACTTTGCATTGCGGCGCGTGGTCGCTCGTGAAGAGGCTTAGGTCTCTCTCCAGATCGTATGCCACGGGCTCTGGCTCATCATCTGATTCCAGGTGGTCTCGTGCCCGAGATAGTCCGTAGTCCAGTATCGTTATCTCGAGGCCGGAAAAGCCAAAGTGGCCAGAGAATTCCCGCTCCTCCTTTGGAATTTGCTCTCCTAGGCTTCGTATACACAAGTTCCCCTCGTGTAGATCTCGATGCTACGATTTGTCAGCTGTACGCCTTCCTGAAAAGTCGCACCGTGACGTACCTCGAATTCTATCCGAGCCTCTGCCCGAGCCAGCGCAATCGCAACGTGGAATAAAATATCCCACAGCTGCTCCGCGGCCGCTAGCTCAAAGTCCTCCAGCGCCGTGCCGGCATCGCCGAGCTCGACGACCAGGAAGCGCGTGCCGTCGAGGTAGCGGCTGGGCGAGGGGTAGAACTGCAGGCGGTCCGGGTCCTGGCGCTTGGCCTTCTTGTGGAAGGCCTGGTGGGTGTCGAGCAGCTCGCGGCAGGCGCGGCCCTGGACGACGTAGCGCTCCTTGTAGACGACGAAGCCGGGGATGTCGGCCAGCCACTCGGAAATGCGCAGCTCGCCCTGCAGGTCCGACTCGCGGTGCGGCTCCTCGTCGACGAGCCCGGACTTTTGCTGCGCCTTGGTCTGCGCCTTGATGGCCGACTCCATCCGGATCACCTTGATGATGCTCGTGCCCCGCTCGTTGCTGACGCGGTACACCTCTGCGTAGGAGGCTTCGGCGATCTTGACGATCCGGTCGCCGGGCGGACACACCTCGGCCCATGATAGCACTCGCAGCTCTGCTGGGTCTGCTGGCTGCTCTTCTTCTTTCGTTGACTCTGATGTCTCCGATTTGGGCGGGGTGAGGACTTGGACTCGGGGAGTCTGGGGTTTAGCGGGTCTCTTGTCTAGGGAGTCCAGGAGAACTGATTGCCGTGTTGTCCGCCTGGGAGAAGCTTTGGGTGACGGTTGTGGCGGTTCATTCTCGTCCTGGAGATTAATCGTTGAGATTCCCTCCGTTAACTTGTCGACTATGCCCTGATCGGCTGCTACCACACTGCCGGTCTTTGGGATGCGTATGGGCGTCTGTGGGAGCTCGACAAACAGGCGTTCCGACTTGGGTTTCCGTGCCTGCTTGCCATATCTTCGGAGCGTGCTTGGTTTCGACATCTTGACATTTTTGGTATGGCTTCACCGGATCTGAATCAGGATCTTAGATGAAGGCCGACGTTGGCCACTGGCGGTGATGCAGGTGATTGGCGATTGTTGACTTTGGTGGGCCGCATGGTGACTGCCCAGCAACCACCGGAGCCGGCACGGGTAACCCAGCTAAGCCACGTGAACAGCGCCTCCACCGCCACTTCTAGCTAGAGCTCTGACCAGGTGCTCGGACTTGTACCCCAAATTTCGGTCGGCCTCCAGACCAGCTGACCGGCCGCAGCTTTGGCTTTCTGTGTGTGCCCGTCCAGGTCAACGCCCGAATGCTCAAGAGTTTGTACCTTCCAACATTAACGAATTCCCCAACCGGGCAACAACGATCATTATCGGTCGATGGACTATTGATAAACCGTAGAACATCCCTTGAACGTTCAAAGTCATCACCATTCATTCATTTCGATACCCCGTCTATGGCTGGTATTTACATCGCAAGAAACCCTCGAGCACTCGTTAGCCGGTACCGGTAGATTCTAGCACGGGCTTCTCCAGCTGTTCTTGGTGAACACGACTCGTTGGAGATTCTGCTCCAATTTACTTACGCTCGCTCTCCCCTCACAGTCGCCGCGCAACAGCACGTCTCTGCGCGAGAATATACAACCATGGCCGACTTCCTCAAGAATATCCTCGGAGGGAGTAAGCCCTCGGAAACTCCAGCTGCGTCGGCTGATTCGGGTACGTCGCCATTCCAATTGCATTCCCAATGGCTCCCCGATGTGAGACACTGAGTGATCGGCATCCCCTACGTCGGCAGTCACGAACTGTCCGTCCGTATTTTTACCATGTGGTCGGCCACGTCAAGCAGTGACAGCGCATAGCACTTCTCCTGAAGCTATCCCCGCGACGGCATGACATGATGGTCATGCCATTGAATCCCATGGCACCCCTCTGCCCAGCTCGCGCCGCGCCTCGCGCGTTCACGTCGCGAGCCTCCTAGCTGATCCTCGGCCTTGATAGATTTTGCCGACTTCGCAGAGGCCCCTTCACCGACTCCCGTACCCTTCCAGGCTGTCCCCAGTGGTGTGACCCTCGGCGGTCCTGCCCCTACCGACAGACCGTACACGAAATGGTATAACGTCCACGAGCGGTACGGTCTGAGCGACTTCCGCGCCGAGGGTGTTATACTGTCCGTCATCGCCATACTCTTCACGCTGCACTACGTCGGCACGAAGCTGAACCGCGCCAAGTCGAAGGCATGGATCAAGGCGAACGGCCCCGTATTGACCAGCGAGTACGCCACCGTTGGCTTCGGCGGATCACCGAACTCCGAGCAGGCACCTGATAAGCTGCTGAAAGAGAAGAGCTTGTTCGAATACTCGTCGTACGCGACTGGCCGACAGAATGTCGCATTCACGGACATCAAGTTGTCACTCATCAGACGCTTCAACCCTCTCATGACATTCGCCGAGACTGTTCTTAGCTTCTTCCTCGACAGCTATACTTCGCCCGTGGACTCGGTGGAAGTGACCATCTACCCCTTTGATGGAAAGGAGGCTCAGATTGTACCTGCCATGCCAGGTGCTGCCGAGCTGAGGAGCAAGGACTCGAAGAGCTCTTTCGATGGTTTCGTCTGGGCTCTTGTGAACAAGGACCTGATGAAGCAGCTCCGTGACGAACGATACGATGTGTCCATCACCTTTACCAAGGACAACAACAAGTTGCCAAACTGGACCACCGTCATGAGCGAGAGCGCTGAGATCACGAATCTGCTCCTCACGGACGAGCTGGTCTCTGCGATCAAGAAGGCTGGAGATCTTTTTGACTACATCATTATCAGTGATCAGCCCGTGGACAAGCCGAAAACGTGAGTTTTCATTTCCTCTCCGGTGAAGCCGGACTGCAGCGAAGTCATGAGTCATGTATAATCTCGATGTCGATAACTCGTATATTCCCCTTGGCTCTGAATATTGATGTGCCACACCGCCCATGATCACTGTACTTGCCTTTGAATCAGGTTACCACAGGACTGACTTGTACCATAGTATGGATGAGACGGTCCCTCGCAAGAGAATCTTCCTCAAGTATCGACTTCCCTCATCGAACAACTACGACGACCTTCTCCCGCTCTTCTCCTATTTCTTGCGGATCCCCGATCAACTGGCATCGTCGGCGCACTTTCGACCCGAGGTCATGCGCAAGGTCAAGAGTGTGAGAGACGAGAATGTCAGGCAAATTCAGAAGGAAGCCGAACTAGAAAAGGCCGAGGAAAGAGCGCTCGAGCGTGACAAGGCGAAGAAGGTTAAGCGTGATGCTGAGCTCAATGCGCTGGATGCCAGGGCGCAGAAAAAGTTCCTCGAGAAGGAGAGAGACAAGGAACAACGCAAGGCATCCAAGAAGCAGACTGTTCGACAATAGAGAAGAACCACGCGAATGCCTTGACTCGCTTGTAAGACCTTGATATTGGAGTAGGGAAGGGGAGACGGAACTTGATATGGAGGGCGAAAAGTTGCATTGGCGAAGCTGAAATCGAAGGTTTCTGCGCTCGCATGTCATACTTTCCGGAGCATCACGATGGTTTATTGTATAATATTGTCTGGTTACCATCGCTTTTGCGATAGAAGCCGACTATTTCAAATAGCGGTACAGCGGAACTCCTGACGCAGCAGCTCGAATGTTGCCAAAGGAGTAGTCAAGAGATAACTAGCTACTTAGGCTCTCCACCTCCTTCAAGAGGTAGGCTTGGCCAGTATGTCTTGAACTCGTTTCACTTTATCCTGTGCCGACTGCTTCTTGTCCGTCCTGTCTAGCATCAGTATGGCACCATTCCCATGCCGTGAATATCCATCAGGCTTGATCGAGACTCACCTCGTGCCAACCCGCATCGACGTCTGTACCCTGACGATGCCCTTCGAGTGGACGACGCTGTGCGCCTGGCCAATGACCTTCATGACGTCGTCCCAGGAGCCCTCTGTCCAAGCCGGAGTAGTCAGCGGAATGAATACCTACGTACCACTGGCTTACTGGATGGAGTATGACCATATATGTGTCAAGACACCACCACACCCCAGCGCAAGGAAATGACTAAAGGACTCTCGAGACGAAATGAGAATAGGACAACGCAAAGAAAGAGTTCCTGCAACTCACCCACCGTCGTCCCGGCCGAGTGCATTGTGCACGTCAGCCCGCTGGCCTGCAGCAGGCGCTGCACCTCGGCTACCTCTTCGGCGACGGAGATGTTGCCTGTGCCGACCTGCAACGCGCAAAGGTCGTCGTGTCAGTTTCAGTCTGGTTGAGGGATACGATGGTGGATGAAGATAGGGTAGGGACTCACGGGGATCAGGCAGAAGTCGGCGTAGCACCGCTCGGGCGTCGCTATGTGCGTGTATTCCATTGCGGGTGCGCCGGTGTCGGAGCTGAGGTAGGGTAGGGTAGGGGGGTAGGTAAAGAGAGGAGTTGGCTTGGGGTTTCTCTTTCTGTTTGAAAGATGAGTTGAGATGGCTCGTTGAGGTTTCTGTACTTGGGTGCTGTCACATGTGTTGGTGTTGGTGGTTGAGCGATATCTGGTCTTGTGGTAAGAGGTTGTGAGTAGGTGGAAGTTGGGGATGATGCAATTGGTTGGCTGCGTTCTTAGACTGACTTCCATCCCGCATTTCTTCTCGCTGGCGACGCGATCCAATGCTCTGTTCTCTTTACATTTTATATATTATATCAACCGGGCACTTGGAATCAATGTAACATGCATGTAATCTCAGACAAGTATTTGTTGAGGATTCATATTGATCCATTTGACCTTCTTTTTTTATCTAGATTCTAGACATATCTACCTGATGCTACTGCCCTCAATAGTGAGCGGCTGCCTCTCCCAAGACGGGTATTCTTGAGTGCATGCTGTCTGGTCTATCCTTGACAGCACAGTCTATGTGGTTTGTAAATCCCAACCATGAACGCCGTCGCTATGCCCTTTCCAGTACCTAATGAATCAATCCCTCCAGCCCGTTACCCAATGCATATGACAATCGAAACTAGCTCTAAGCAAGCAACAGCGCCGCCACCAAGAACGCAACCAGCGCACCCGTGCCCCCCACCTTCCCACCACGGCCGCCGGCCCCCTCATTCGTCGTCGTCGCAGCATCCGCCGCCCCAGCACCCACCGTCTCGCGGCCCGTCGCCTGCGTGACGCCATTCAGACTATCCGCCGTATCGATAGCCGGGCCCTCATTAAAGAAATCCACCAGCACAAACGTCGGGTTGACGCCCCACTGCGAGGCGCAGGTCTGCGCGTGCAGGCCCAGCGCGCCCGTCTGGGAGGTGGACGGGCTGTTCGTCGTTGCGATGTCGTCGACGTCGGGGATCATGATGGAGGTCGCCAGCAGGCTGTCGGCGAAGTGGTTCATCAGCGGCATTAGACCGGCTGTTATGGCGGATGCGGCTGAGGATTGCGAGGATGGGCGGTCGAGCGTGCAGTTGAAGCCTGTGAGTGATGTGACTTCGAATGCGGTCTCGAAAACGTGGTCGAACTCGGATAGTAGGTATGGGTATGTGCTGTCGGCCGTGATGCTCGCGACGAAGGTCACGAGCCGCGTGTTGGCCGTGATCATGGTCTGCAGCGTCGGCCAGGAAGAAGAGGAAGAGGAAGAGGACGAGGTGGGCGTGTATCCGTAGGCGTCGATGCCGGACCCGGCGAACACGGCGCCGAAGTCGGACGCGGACTGGCCGTCCGAGTTGACGAGGAGGAGCGTGACGACCTCGTTGGCGTTGGCGTCCATCCACGTCTTGATGCCGCCTAGCCAGTCCTGCAGCGGCCCCGCGTCCAGGAGGTCGCAGCTCGTGTGGCAGAGCTCGATGGCACCATTCAAGTCGTGAACTTGTGCTTGTAGTAGCCGCAGGCCCGCGTCGAGGGCCTTTGTGGCGTTGTAGTATTGGTTGCCCGCCACCGAGTTCGACGTACTGTCGTCCCGCAGGAAGGCCGAGTCGTGTGCGCCCATGTGCGTTATCTTGTTATAGGCGCGGCTGCAGAGGTCCGGGGAGTTGTTGCAGGCCGTCGTCGACGACGATGCGGCGGCGGTCGCGGTGCTGCTCGCGGCGGCGACGACGGCCGAGGACGTGTACCAGCCGCTATCACCGCCTTGCGGTATAGCGTGCGCCGTTGACGCCAGGGCAGCGAAGGTCGTTAGGTATGTACATATCGAGGTTGGTATCATAGTGACTGTGAGAAGGAAGATAGGTGGAATATAGGAGATTCGAGGACTATTACGAGACACTATCGCTCTTGTAACGAGAGGCAAGAACGGATAGGATAGCCAGAAAAGAGAGAGACAGAGAGAGAATACGATTATAATCTTACCAGAGACTTAACGAGAGGGTGCTTTACCTTTATTAACTATAATTGGCACGTACGTAATAATGCTTGGAGGCTTAGATGGCGAAAGGTTGGGTTGGGGCCCGTAGAATATGGCGACCCCAGCCAGTCATAAAATACTGCAACACGCAACATCAGATCGGTGATTCAGCAATGAAGTGGGCTCTCCATTTCTGTCGATGGTATGCATGCGCAGCACAGCAGAATCGCCATTCAGCGAATAGCGATCCGTGATCGACGTGAGAGAGGCAAAGAGGGCGTGTTGCAAAAAAAAGGGGTCGTCCAAGGTATGCTGTGGGGACACTCCGGCCACCGAATTCGACTGCGCCTCCATTGATCGTCGTCAGCCTCCGAAACGCCGGTTGAAACGGAATCGAACGCGCGGTATCCCTTCTAGACTTTGCGGTAGTGGCATTTTCGCTATTAGCCTCACTTATAGGGGTGGTCCAATCAGCCCAATGTCGCATCGAAACTCTGTGGTTGGGGCGTCGCATGACTGGACTTCATAGAGGGTTTCATCCCGGAAACCTCCCTTGAACGCGTCAATGTATTGTGTGCCAACCTCGCCCTATTGACATCCAAAGGACTACCGCCTTCAACCAAACACGTAGTTTCCGTGGCAATGGCCCCAGATTTGCCAATGAACATCGAACCCTGACTAAAATACACAATACGAGCTCCACTATATCATACGACGGTGCCGCGGTGCATGTGATGGGTGGCACAGCCCGCCAACACCGCAGCCCCCGCACGTGCCACTGCCGACGAGGTAACCGCTGCATGGCATGTCGTCTAACAGCACCACCGCCATGTCGTGCTAAGGCGCTGTTAGCAACATCCTCCTCTCAAGTTCTCGTCCCCTGCCTATTCTTCTTTCCTTTTTACAACCAGAGAATTTCTCACTATACCATTGCCTCGATCGCCAAACCCCAAGATCCATGATACGTGTATTAGCTTATGAGCCTGTAGGCTGTGGATGCTGGCAAGGCGGGCGATGATTCAGGGGCTCGGAGCCACCAGCTTGTAATTCAGCATCGGGTAGGACTTCATCCATTATCCCTAAATAAATCGAAAGCCCAATCCTTGGGTCCGAGGAGCATACTGACCTTCGTACCTAAGCGCTTTTTACTTCGAGAGCGTGGGCCCATGTTGCGCCCCCTCTTCGCTGCCTCATTAGATGAGGACTTGCGTGGGTGACTCCTCTGGTCTCTTAGACACGCACTCTGGTCGTCTGGGGGAGGACTCTTCGGCGAGCCGAGCTTTGGTTCACTCGTGCCTCAACTACTTATCTGATATATACCAAAGCGCCGGTCGTGCAGAGGTGTCTTCCAGCTTCTGACAGTGGAATATCTGTAAGTTATGGGGACTTCGGACGCTTTCTCTGCTTAATAGTACATATTAGTCTCAGCTTCCGACCGTGCCAACGAGCCGTGGCATGACGCCCTCTGAGAAGGACTTGGTCTCAATAAAACGAAAGAGTGTTATGAGATAAATGCCTGATTTATCTAGCGATCTAATCTATAAGTCAACCTTCTACCCAAACGCCTCTAACCTTCTACCCAAATTCCACAGCGATGTAACTATAGCCCGCTATAGTTACGTAGGCTTACACACGACTGACTTTCTATGCAGATTGTTTTTCGGAGCCTCCTACCCTCCTCCAGCACCATGGGCTTCCTCGTTGCCTATTCCTATACGTGTTCCTGGAATCCTCAGGCCGGCCTCCAATCTCGAGGCCCAGCAGCTCAGTCCTTGGAGTAGCCTTGTTCGTAGTTAGGGGGTTGGTCGCTGGAGGTGCCGTAGCTTGGGGGTTGTGCTTCCTCTTGGTAAAGGGGTGCGCCAAGGACGCCACCGCCTTGCGTCGGGGGTGGCTTCCTGTAGCAATCGCACTGGTACTTGCCGCGGAATGGATCACATTGAGCGGTATAGCCGATCGTCCCCTTGCACACATCGGCGCAGTCCGAATAATGTGAAAAGCTCTCCCCGCAGCCTTTGCACTTGCACTTCCAGCCGCCGAGACGCTTCTTCTTGCAGGTGCCCTCGACTTGGCTGCAGTAATCGTTGCACGAAGTCTCTCCATTTCTGTCGAATTCCATATCGCATGGGGAGGGGATGCCGTCGTATCGTTTAAGGAGGTTGACGGCGCCAAAGGCGTCATTGTTGCTCGTAGGGGACGAAGAGACGATGAGTACGAACAAGGACCCGAACACGACCCCAACGGGCATAGAAAACGGTCGCATGGTAACATGATGTTTCGTGGGGGATGGGTGGGATTTGTTGGAAACGTTGTACTGGTTATGAAAAATGTAAGGTACGTTCCGACCCCCCGAACCGGCACACCCCCCCAACCGGCACAGCCAAACCCCACAACCACCACCAAAAGTCCCCTTACTCACTTACACGGATTATAGCCCCTTTTGAGGGTATCTAAACGTTCTTTAGATAGTTAGATAGCCCTTTTCTTGGTATTTAGCTTAATGTAGATTATTTAATTGCTGGCCATCGGCATCGGCATTTAGCAGCCTCCGTGCCCCTCCCTTAAATACAAATTTGCTATAGAATTTTCTCTGTGAGCCCCTATCCCTCATGCACCACAACATCCTGAAGCCAGCCATAATGCCTCTGCCCACGTATACAGAGGATAATGTGGTGGATACCTACCTAGAAGTCACAGATAATGGCATATCCGTGAGAAAATCCAGCCAAAAATACGGCGTCCCGGCCAGCACGCTGTCAGCACGCATAAGGGGGAGAGGGACTAAAACAGAAGCTCATACAACCGAACAGAGAATTTCTTCCAAGCAAGAAAGCAAGGTAGCAGCCTGGATATTGTGCCAGGAGACTTTGGGGCTTGCCCCTTCTCACTCAGCCGTCAGAGAAATTGTGGTAGAACTCCTAAAAAGAAAGGGGGATTTCGCACCACTTGGGAACCACTATATGGACAGCTTTAAACGACGCAACCCTACCATTCAGACTAAAATCGTCAAGCGAATGGAATCTGTTCGGTTTAAGGGGTTTACCCCTAAGTCTGTGAACTGGTTCTTCAACATCTTAGAGGACTACGGCTGGGTAAAGCCAGAAAATACGTACAATGTCGATAAGGGCGGCATTATGTCGGGTTTTGGTAATTCTTTTGAGCCCCCTATCCTCACAGTCAACTAACTATCTTTATAGGCATTGATTCCCTAGTTCTAGGAAGTTCTGAGACGAGGAAAGCTTTCCTAAAGAGCCCCCAGGGCCGCTCGTGGACATCTTTCATTAAGACCATTTCAGCTACCGGTAGAGTACTCAAACCAGGCTTGATTTTCAAGGGAAAAGATCTCCAAGCGCAGTGGTTCCTTAAGGAATTCCGGAAGATAGCCGACTGGTACTATATAATGTCGGAAAACGCTGGATCAGTAACGATATCGCCTGCCAGTGGCTTGAGCACGTTTTCATACCACAAGTGGATGAAATTCGTGGCCAGGAGCAGTGGGAACCAGTCCTTTTGATCCTAGATGGCCATGTTAGCCATACCTCCGTACGTACACCAATTTTTTCTGTTTATTTACTGGTTGTTTAATTTATTCCGATTTAAACAGCAACTGACTATAGAAAAGGACAAATTTATGATGCGGTGTTATTTTGCCAATATCTTGCTGTGCTTTTTCCCAGCACACACCAGCCACGGAATGCAACCACTGGATAACGGCCCCTATAACGCCCTTAAGTCCTACTACCAGAGATTCCTCACCCAGTTAAATTCTCTGACTGATTCTTCCCCTGTTGACAAGATCAACTTTATCCGCTATTACAGCAAGGCAAGGGACATGGCATTTACGCCAAAAAACATCCGCTCGGGCTTCCGAGTGACAGGATGCTACCCAATTAGCCACAAAAAGTGTCTAGACCATCCAGAAATCCAAGAAGACAAGCAGAAGACCCCCGAGCCAGAAGAACAGGAAGACTCGGAACTAAAGGACCAACAGACCCCTACCACGAGCCGGCAAATCCGGGATTTCGGGAGGAACCGTTCCCAGCCACTCGGCTGAAGTTTCGGAAGATCTCCCATGCCTTTGAGAACCAGGAGACGGAGCTGGCCATAAAAGACCAGAAGATCAGGGCCCTGGAGGCTGAACTGGAGCGGCTACGGCCTAAGAAGAGGAAAAGGATACCAAATCCCAACAAAAAGTTCATAATAATGGTAGAAATACTAGCCCAGGGTGGTGATCCGTTAGTTCCGGTTGCTGTAGAGTCTTCTTCTTCTTCAGAGTCAGAGGTTGTTGAAGACGAGGGTGAGGAGGACGAGGAGCTTGCGGACGCTGAGGAGGCTGTAGAAGCCCCTGTTGCAGAAGCCCAGATGACTAGATCCGGGCGGTCAATCCGGGCGCCGGCTAGATACGTCGATTGAGCAGCCAAAACACCACAGAATGATAATTTTGCTGATTTTTTGACCCTATACAGCCTCAAATGCGTGTAAGTGAGTAGGGGGGTCTTTTGGTGGTGGTGGCGGGGTTTGGCTGTGCCGGTAGTGGGGGTGTGCCGGTTCGGGGGGTCGGATGGTAAACACTGCAACCAACTAACCAACCAACCAACCAAACCTGCAGTAATCCAACGCTGACAGCTAGAAAGGTCGCTGTAACCTCGCATTCACAGGTGACTCGTGTGCATACAATGAATCTTAGGTACCAATACTTCATGTGCACAAGCATTTTCCCATGTATCTTATCTATGTACTAACATGCTACCTTAGGTACCCTTTAAATTAGTGTAACTAACTTAGAGACGGTGGTTCACACCATATCAGCAGCCTGGTGTGACAGGCTGGCTACTAGGTGTCGGATTAAAGGTACGCTTAGAAGGCACCTTGACAGGTAGACAACGGAACCTAGTTGTTCCGTCCCGATCCAGCCCCCTCTGGCAGAAAACTTCCACGGTCGCACAAGGACACTCTAGACAGACGGGATACACACACGCACACTTCACTCCGACGATTGGCTCAAATCTAACACTAGGGAATATATCATAGGTAAGGTACTCAAGCTGTCACTGCTTGCCTAATAAGTAAACTAACCTAAGACCTAGGATAAAAAGAGAAGGCCCGTTCTTTATAAGGCAAGGCTCGCTTCGGTTTATAAACTGCGGCGTCCTTAAAAGATAAAAAGCCACTTAACTTATAAACTATAAGCTCGTTTTAACCGAAATATAAGCCCGTTTAACTTTATATAACGTCGATAAAATATCTTATTTGCACGTGTTTTTAATAGTTGTTTAATAATTTATAAAAATGCTAGCATTGTCTAGCATAATCCACGCAAATGCCCCTTATAGGTTCCGGGTTTCTTTAGATCGCAGCACCACTGAAGCTGACCTTGACCTTTCTTATGAACAGACTGAGCACGACCATATACCTGAAAATTGAGTCAGTCAGCTATCGGGGGGAGCCAAAGCTGTCTGGCTAAAGAGTAGTGGACTCACAGTGACGTGGCCATAAACACCTCGTGTCTCTTCGCAGTGGTGCAGAGGTTGAGGACGAGGCAAAAGGCAAGAGTACAACCGCCCTGGAGGCCAATGATCCTTCTCATGGTGCTGTTGTCCATTGGTACTGCGTTCGACCAGCGGTGGAGCGGATACAGCGGCAAGATCAATAGCGCCAGAAGCATTGCTCCCAGCATGACGAGCTTCAGGGCGAGGAGTCGCTTTGAAGAGTATAGAACGGTTTGTCCCCTACCCGGTTCTGGAGCGCGCTGCGGGAATATCAGCATCTGAGGGGTTGCAAAGGTTCTTTTTTTTTTTTTTTTTTTTGACTCACAAGGAAGTTCAACATCCACTAGGTTATACATGTTCGTCAGCCTGTTGATACCCACGGATGAGCTTCGGAGGTAACATCTCCCACCCCCCTGCGGACCACCCCCCCGCGGACCAGCGCGTTCTGACCCATAAACGCGTAATTCACCAACCACCAAGATTATGGTGATCCACCATCTACACCATCACTTTTGCATCTTTTTTTTCACAAAGCACACTATTTGAATCCTTATCCACTGCTGAATCTCATGATGTCATTTTACGACCGTCAAATAAAAGCTGAAGCCGCCATTTTGGTCATCCAACGCAGAGCTCCAGTCCACTCGTCAGCCCTCGAATGGCAAATCAGTCGCTCGTACGTCAACCGACGAATCTCTGGCACCCCAACGCGGAATGAGACCAGCACTCTCCAACAGGCTCTCTCACCGTATCTCAAACATAAGCTGGCAAGCTGGGCCCTGGGGCAAGCACGGCTAGGGTATTCTTCGGCAGTCTCTAAGTTCCGTCTCATGGCCCAGCGGATGCTCCATGCCACCGGGGATGCTCGAGAATTAGGGAAAAATTGGGCATCCAAGTTCCTGTCTCGAAACCCGGAAGTCAAGATAATGAAGTCTCGTGTTATCGACTACAACCGAGTGAATGGTGCTACAGCAGCAAATATCAACATTTTTTTCGATCGGTGTGACGCCCCTGACGTGGTTAACCTCATGCCAGCACGCTGGTACAAGGTCGACGAAATGGGAATTGCCCAGGGGGTTGGGGACTCCCATTGGGTGGTCTCCGAGGCCTCTGGCAACGTGGCTATGAAGAAAGGGGTCGAGAAGGGTGAATAGATAACTGCCCTAGAGTGTGTGAGCGGATCTGGTGAGACCTAGCCGCCGCTGGTGATTCTTAAGGGGATTAACGTACAAGCCCAGTAGTTTAGCAACCAAAACGAGGGCAAATTCACTGACTGGAGGTTTATTACGTCGCCCAATGGATGGACCTCGAATCCCATTGCGTTAGAATGGCTTCAACGTATCTTTATTCCTCACATTCGGGAGGTCCACGGCAACACATGGGTGGTTTTGGTGTGTGATGGCCACGACTCCCACACGAATGACGAGTTCCTAACCACCTGCTTAAGAAACAAAGTATGGTTGATCTTTTATGAACCTCACTGCTCTCATGTAGTCCAGGTGTTAGATGTGGGAGTCTTTAATTTGGTGAAGAAGAGGTTGAAGACCTTACTCCAGGAGACGCCCAGCGGCCGTCTGGGACTCAGGCCATCTAAGGAGGAGGTTTTGCAGTGCTACGAGCAGGCCCGGAAGGACACAATGACGCTCCTCAATATCAGAATTGCCTGGAAAAAGACTGGGATTGTTCCTTGCAACAAAGCGGAGGCATTGAAGTCGAAATATGTGATTCTGGAGGACAAGGGGGTGGCCAGGGCACGCCAGAGGGACCCTAAGGCTTCTGAGCGAGTCACAACACCAGATTTTCTCGAGATGGTAGCTAAAACCATTGTCACAACACCCTCTGAAAGCTGGGCTTTGCGGGAGAGTGCTCAAAAGCTCGAAAGAAAGGACCCTTCCTTTGGGGGGCCCTCTGAGCGCTTGTTAGTGCGGAAGGCTGGTAAGGCCATGGATGTTCAGGCTGTTACCATTGCAAATCTACGGGCCAAATGTGAGCTGCTTGAGGCTCAAGTGGCTAAAAAGGCTAATACCACTCGAAAAGCAGTCAAACCAACACCAGGGGAACGATTCGTCACAATGGCTAACATAAGGGAGGCCAAAATGGAGCTAAGGAACAGGAGGGTCTATAAGGACTCCGCTGCAGGCGAAGAGGTCCCACAAGAGGTCCCTGGTAAAGATTTAGGGTCGGAATCGGATTCTGGGAGCTGTATTATGGTTAGAACACCACGACCTTAGTGTATTTAGCAACTGTGGTGGTTGTAGATGGCTTCATCTGAATGAGAGTGGTGTGGTGTGGAGTGGTCCGTGGGGGGGTGGTCCGCAGGGGGGGGTGAGATGTTACGTGCTTACCCCGAATGGACCACCAGCACCCTTAACGAGAACGCACAACACCAGCCTATCGAACCACGCTTTGTCGCCAACGGACTTGATAGTGATCAGATCGGCCTTGTTCTTGTGATACATCTCATGAGGAAGGATGGGCCTCTGGTTTTCGAAGAAGTAGTCCAGGTTCCTGATCTCGGTGTTGGAAGGCTTAGCGATTCCTGTCAAATGGCACGCAAGCCACAGTGGCGTTCAGGGAAGTGGCAGTGCACCAACAGGGCCTCTAGGGCAATTTCGGGCCCTGCAGCTTACGACAGCAGATCCTTCAGAAACACACACTCTAATGAGAATCACCAGAATACACGTTGTCAACCAGATGAACCATAATACACGCTGTTTGACAATTTCTGCGAGCTCGTGAGACATCTTCAGGAACTGGCCTGACAATCCAACGAATCAGCGGGGTCTAGAGAGGTGGCGGAGGTTCGCTCTTACCGTATTCGAGAAGCCTATCTTTGATTGTTGCCATGAGGATTTTTTTCTGCTCAGACGCGAGGTCGGCCGAGAGTCGGGATCTTAAGACATGCGGTCTGTGTCTGAGATCATGCTGGTCCATGCGGTAGAGCTGGGTTTCGTAGGCGCGCAGTTCATCCTGCATGTGCAGTATCGTGCGGGATTGACGATATCGGAACTCGCGGAAGACGTAGAAGTTCTCGGCAGAGGCGACGTATCTGGCCCATTTGGGGTAGCCGTCGGGAGCTTCGTCAACTACACTTGTCCCACACAAGTCTCCGTACACTAGCCCCAATTCAATCTTCTGACCAAAACAATAACGCGACACCCTCATCTTGCGATAATTCATAATAAAATCAATTCGCCATGGATATTAACGAAATAGGTATTATTTTGAGCGGCACTCGCCAGACAAACGGCGAATTTACTTCAGAGGCGCGTGTAGCCATTATCGCGGCGCGTGTGGAGGGCCGCAGTCGTAGGGATGTCGCACGCGCCTACGGCACGGAACGCGTCGAAACCATCTCTGAAATTTGCTCGCGTGTCAATACTACCAAAACCACGCGTACTGCGCAAAGAAAGGGAGCTCCTAGGCTTCTTTCGCATGGACAAGAACGCCATCTAGTTGATTTGGTGCGGAGGTTCCCTCATCTCTCGTGAGAGGCGCTCAAAGCCAAAGCACGCGTTACCTGCCACACGGAGACCATCGTGAGGGCTCTCTGCCGCCACGGCCTCAATAAATGGCGCACGGTAAAGCGAATCTCTCTCACGGAGGATGACGCCGCGAAATGGCTTACTTGGGCGCGAAAATACCGCACATAGCGCGCTCAAAAGGAGTTAATGATGGCCCTCTTCTCTGATGCATGCACCATCCAGAATGATCCCGATAGACATGGCGAATGGGTCATCCGCCTCTCCAATGAACGGTGCCGCAAGGATCTCGTGAACCCACAGAGCCACGGGGGAGCTCGTATTTTGATAATAGTTTAGGGTTTGATATGGTTACACGATGACAAAGGTGGCCTAGGCAAGCTGGTCTTCTGCGAAAGAGATCCGGATTCATCACGCGGAGGAGTCTCTACTAAGCGCTATCAACAGATCCTGGAGAAAGGTCTTCTTCCATTCTATGAGGCAGGGGACCCTTTTTAGCAAGATAATGCTCCTATGCACATTAAAGGAGGCTCATTGGAGTGATTAGAGGAGCACGGGATCTGGACTATTGACTAGCCTCCTCACAGCCCCGATTTGAACCCCATCAAGCACGTTTAGACAGCTCTAAAGAAAAAGATAAGGGAAATAGAGCCTTATTTTTAAGACCTGAAGGACAGTATCGCTCACCAGACGTGGGCTAGAAAGATAATCCAAGCCGCGTGGTCAGAGTTGGATCCCGACCTCCGAAAGAAGCTCATCAGATCCCTCCCCGATTGGATTGCCGTAGTGATCTGGGCGCGCGGCTAGTACAACCACTACTAAACCGTTATCAAATGCATATTTTGTTATAATTTTTGGCCTCGTGATGCCTTCGCAATTGAGCAGTGAATGTGGTGGTGATGGTGTGTGGATAGGGCCGTACGGAGACTTGTGTGGGGTTAGTGTAACATGCACTTTAGTTAGCCACTACTATTTAATTCAATTTAATTTGAAGAAGAAGAAGAAGAAGAGTATATACTTCTGCCAACGGAGTATCTCTCTGGGGGGCTGTCAAGATCCACCGCGTCGAATTTGACCGGGCTCTTGCGATCTCTCGACGAGTTCGCAGTTGGCGGTGCAATAGCATTCTGGACCCGAATGGACTGTGTTAGTTGTAACTCAAGATGCCATGGTAGGTAGCTTCTTACATCAACGCCAGTTGGGGTGTCTAGCTCCATGCTTTCTTTGGAGTGGGTTTGCTGGCAGGCTATGTAGAAGGACAGAGCATGGATAGGTAGTGAGCATCAAATCTGGCTCCTGGAGAGGTTTATATAGAAACGAACTAGCACCCATGGTACTCACCGACTTGCCCTTTCGCGGAGTCGTGATTGGTTGCGCGCAAATCATGTGCCGATACTTGCTTCACTTCATTCTCTATCAAGTATCCTCTTCGCACACACCACGTGCGGCTCATCTAATCCTTACCGAGCAAACACATCACCGCCGAGTATACCTCGGACGCCTGATGTGATTTGCGCGATATCAGGACTGGATGTATTCAAGATACTACGTCAGCGGGTGACTATGTCCAATGATGTGCATGCTCATTCAATGAGCAATATTCAACCAACGTGGGTTTGCGAGTGACAATCCAGCTTTGGATCTGATTTGTCACTGGTGCAGTGGATTTTACCCTTATGCTGGTGTGTATGTTTGAGCAAGTTTTGAGTCAATATCCGTCTCTTGTCATGTCATCACGCCGCGTTGCCCACCTGGGCCTTCACCGCCGGGACGCTCGTCATACTGCGCGGGATCGTGCCCAGAGTCAGTTTCCCGGTTTGACAAGGGCTGGGTTGGGACGAGGCTGTTTCGGACCCGGCTGAGTTGTGAAGACAAAGCTGAAGAGCGCAGGACTTGAATGAAATGAGAGGCGAACACCGTTTGCCATGGGAGCAATCACTGTCGTTCTGGGTAGTATGGTAAAGCGCACTGTGCCAGAGCTGCTCACTGAGCCAAAGGCGGTCGAGACTTAATTACACGTACGGTGGTTTGTATCTATCATTCAAAACGGTCGTGGGCATGTAGGCAGTATCACCAGGACAGAATCACCGAACTTCGCTTTCTTATATGCGCGGAAGACAGTGTTTTACCCCAACGCCGTGAAAGTCTGCCTATCTGTCTGCAAGAAAGACCACATCATGAGCTCACGGGCCTATCTATGTACGTGACATCATCGCAGGTCCGTCCGAGCATAGCCAAACGCCAGAACAGGCAGGCCTCAGAACCCAGCAAGCCCCTATCATTCTCCGTCTATTCTTCGCGAAACGTGCAGTCATCCACGCAAGCGCCTTTCCCTTGCCACACGTCTAGATGGAAGTACCCACCATATGAGTCTTGACATACTCCTCGAGAAGCCACTCGCCCTCGTCGAGGTCGTCAGCCTCCTCGGTGGACACGAAGGTGCGCGCGTTGTCGATGACCTCGACCTTCTTGGCGCCGTTCTCGTCGCTGCTCTCGATGGTAACCTTGCAGTACTCGAGGCGGTACGCGTCGGTCTCGTAGCTCGCGAGCGCCGCCAGGTGCTCGGGCCGCTCGCACTTCCACGCCATGCCCTGGACCCGGGCCTCGTCGGCGGAGGGGACGAGCGCGGGGAAGGGGCCCCAGAGCACTGTGGGGTGGGGGTGGCAGGGTCAGTAATACAGTATGGACATCATAGAGTGATGCTTCGGTTTGATAGATATTGAAGTGGTTGTCATGTCGGACGGGGAAAGGGAGAAAGGAACATGGCAAGTGGGAGAAGTCGGGTCTAGGTGGGGTGGAAAGAAAGGAGAGGAAAACCATACTGATCTTCCACCCCCCAATACTGGCGCCCTTGCGCATCACCAATTCCTCGTCGCCCTTGCGGTCCAGCCAGCACACGCGGGCCAGCACGCGCGGCAGTTGCAGTGAGCCGTAGAAGAAGAACCAGAAGGGCTCGAAGGTCCACGCCGCGTCGACGCCCTTGATCGCCTGCGCCACGTTCAGCTCGCGGTTGCGCGCCGCCTTGTCGGCCAGGTTGTAGATCTGCAGGCTCGTGGTCTTGGCGAGGTCGACGGGGTGGAGACCGCGGACTGTAGGTGGGTGGGTGTTCGTTAGTGGTGAATTTTCACAGGGAAGAGATCTCGAGATTGAGTAGGTAGGTATGCGAACCGCAGGAATACGTTGACGTGGGGGGTTCTTTCTACTCACTGTTCAGGATCTCCAGGTTGTGCTTGTCGGCGGCGGGGTCCTCATCCGCGGACGGCGCCTGCGGGAGGACTGAGGAGGTAATGCTGCTGCTGCTGCTGGTGTTGTTGCTTTCCTCGTCGTGGCGCATCGACTCGTCGAGGTTCGTGAGCATGGCGATGAGGCGCTCCGAGTCGAGCGGCGTCGAGCCGGGAAAGTGAAGCTCGCTGTTTCCCCGGCGGCGCTGGCTGGGGGGCATCGCCTGGTTCTCTTTGTTCTCCTTGGTGGACGACATGGCGATGGCTGATTGTCGTTGAGGCGTGATTGGGGTAGATGGTTCTTGAAGGTGTGTTGTTGGTGCAAGTTGGATTTGTGGTTGGTCGCGTGGTGGTATACCTGAGTTAGATGGAGGAGATTGCTGGTCCAAATGTGCTAGGTGCCTGGGTAGGTGAGGTGTGATGGAGGCAGGACCAGCCAGTTGTTTGCTGCTATATATCAGACCGAAATGAAGAGGCTGCTGTGCTTTGGCAGCCTTGTAACGACTGGGCGTTACCATAGGCACCTGAATTTAGATTGTCAGTTGGCATGGAAACTTCATAAACCACAAAGAGCCGCCAGACAGATCTCACGTTCAGACAAACCACGTCTCCGAACCTTGCATGGGTAAGTAAAGCTTCTCGAAGGAGCCACTCAGTGCTCAAAGCAGCGGGTGCTTGGTTGATACCTAACGTACAGACATGTTTCCTTGTCCTCCATACTGGCCTTCATGCTGGGAGAGTCGCCCCGTTTACCCCTTCCTACAAAATGTGTAAAACAGTGGTTTGAACTCCGATTATTTCTATATGTCTCTGCCTGACACGGGCGGATGTGATGATGGTGAGACGTATCTTCCGTTGCAGGGCATCTATCTGTCGCAAGTATCAAGTTTCATTGGTCTGCAACTTCATTACAATGGAATTGACCACAGGGTACTGAATTAATACATACGGCAAACATGTACATCTTCTGTACAGATCCAGAGGGTATGATCATGTCCATCTCGTTAGCATCTGAAAGCGTGGCTACGTACGCAGGTCCCCAGGACCCAGTATGACTGCGTCAAGAAGCCCTCCGTCATATAATACACAGCAAAGAACCCATCCAAACTCCACCGCCAGGGCATATACAATAGCAAAGCACATGCATTCCCAACGCCATCACATCTACCTGGGGGCCTGGCCCTCGACGAAATCAAGTGCTTGCTCTGTGCTTACACAGTTGATGGCGCTGTTCTTGTTCCTAAAAAGAACACCATAGCATTTGTCGGCGACGTGGACGATCTCCGGTCGGAAGGTTGTGCAGATGAACTGCGTTCCCGCCTCAGACGAGATGGACTCGAGGAGTCCGGCAACTGCTGTGCGGTATTGGGCGTCCAGGTTGGCATCGACTTCGTCGAAGATGACCATGGGACTGGATTCCGTCTGTTGAAGGGCAAAGATCAAGCAGAGAGCGCAAAGACCTATGAAAGCTGTCAGTGAACCTCAACCACCAATGCAAAGAGTGGCTTCTACTCACTCTTCTGACCACCAGATAACTGCTGGATGCGCTGCTGTTCATCCATCACTTTCGAGTTGAACGAGACGCTAATACCGACACCGGTGTAGTTCTCGACGCTGCTGCGCTGCTCCTCGTCCGAGTCCTCAGGGTCCACACGCCGGTCTGCCCTGCGTTGGATCACGAGACGACCATGGCCAGCAGGCACGAGACGCTCGAATATTGTGGCAAACTCCCTCGACACTTGTTTGAACGTCCGCTCGATGGCCTCATCCTTCCGCTGATCGAGGTGTTGCACAAGTTCCTGGATGGATTCCTGCGACTGGTCAAGTTCCTTACGTCGCTTCAGCAGGTGTTCTTGCTGGTTGGTGAAGCTGTTGTACTGCTCATAAGCCTTCTTGTTGACGTGCTTGTATTTTTTCAGAGCCTCCGAGACCTTCTTCAGGCGCTTCTCAATCTGTAGGCAACATTAGCTTGTCATGCAATATCACTCAAATGAAGCGGTTGTCTATGACTTACGGCGCCTCGCTCCAGTCTTTCGTACTTTTCGAAAGCCTCGTCAGGCAGGACACCAAGTTCACGAATGTCTTTAGCAACCCGAGCCGCACTCTTCGTCAACAGCGCCTTCTTTTGGATGCTTTTCTCCATACTCTTTTGTTGCTTGGCGATCTCTCTGGCGATGTCCTGCAACTCTGTCTCCTTCTGGGTCCTTTGCTTCTCCAGGCTTGCGATCTTGGACTCGGCAGAGTCGATTTGCTGCTCGTTCGTCTCAAGCTTGCTGTCCACCGAAGCTGCTGCAGTCTGGGCCCTCTTGAGCTCTCGTTTGGCCTCCTTCAAGTTCCCGCCACCACTAGCAGCGGTCTCGATGGCTTGACTAGTGAGCTGGTCGAGTTTGAGTCGGAGGTTTTTCTGTAGATCTAGCTCCAGCTTTCGCTTGCGATTCTCGAGCTCTCGTCGGCTGCTGCTGACTTCATTCCATTCCTTCTGAAGCTCCTGCACTGAACTACTGTACTCCTCCAGTTGCTCCTCTTCATTGGCTGTCAAGACTTTCTTAAAGTCCGACGCCAATTCTGCCTCGTGAGAGCTTATCATGTCGCCAAATTCCTTCATGTTTCTGTCGACAGCGTCTCGTCGCGTGATTGCCTTTTCGAGGAGATCTCTCGTTGAAGCAGCCTGGCCGTTCTTGGCATTTAGCTCTGCTCGGAGTGGACCGTAGCTGTTGTCCATGTGGCGGAGTCTCTGCGCCAACTTGCGCTCTTCGCCCAGTGCATGAGTGATCTCCTGGTCCTTCTGTTCGATCTGTTTCCGAATCTCAGCAGCACGCTCTTGCAACTGGTCGTACTCGTCTCTCCATTTGTTCACAGAACGGACAGCTTCCAGGCGCGAATTTCGAGAGTCTATGTAACCGCCAGTCATCGCACCCCGCTTGTTGGTAGTGTCTCCGTCTGGTGTTACTCCGTCAACCCCATGACTCCGAGCATATTGTGCAGCAATGGTCAGATTGGGGCATATGATTTTGTTACCAAAGACCTGCTGAAATGCAGTTTCGTACTCAGGGTCGTATTCAATCTTGCTGATAAGCGAAACAGCATCGTTCGCTCGGGGAAGCTTGGAATGCTTTGGCCTTAAACGAGAGAGTGGCATGAACGTGAGTCGGCCGCCGCGTGATCTATACAGAGCGTTTGCCAAGAACGTGGACGTCTCCTCGTCATCGACAACGTAGTGGAACAGGCTGGCGCCAGCAACTTGTTCGACGGGCAATCGGTAGGCCTCGCTGACATCTAGGAGCTCTGCCAGAGTACCATAAGCCCCGGGAATATCTTGCTCGCGCTTGAGACGCCGTATAGTCGCAAGACCTCGTGAAGTCTCCCGATCCATCGTACGTTCTAGACCACGTTCGGCATTATCTCTTTCTCCTCGCACACTCGCTATGACCGTGTCTAGCTTATCGTCTTCGCGGCGAAGCAGTTTCCGCTCCTCGTTGAGTTTGTCCAGCGCATCTTTTGCCTGGGAGTGCTCCTCAGCCAGAGCAGCACGATCGTCCCCAAAGCCCTCGTTCTTCTGTCGCAGATCGGCTATTTCCTGATCCAGCTGCTTGATAGAGTTCTCGATGTTCTTGACCTCCTCATCGGCGTCTAGGCGGTTTGCCTTTTGCTGGCTCAGAGTCATGTTGTAATCATCAATCTCCTTCCTCAACCAGGTATCTCGCTCCGCCTTGCTTCGGAACTGACTGCTTCGCGTCTGCTTTGTGAAGAGGCGTTGCCGACCGGCTTCCGCCGAGTCTAGCGACTCCTTTACCTCTGCCTCCTTGCGCTTCCTCTTCCCAAACTCAGGTGTCAACTTCTTGAGCTCGGCCTCTTTCGAAGCTATGGCTTTCTTGACCTGGTCCAATTCGGCATCGTGTTCCTGTCGTGCTTGCTCCTCAGCGGACATACTATCTGACAAGCTCTTGACAGCTAGCTCGGCTTTCGCTCTTGCCTTGGCACTCTCTCGTCGATCCTCCTCGAGCTGTCGACGATCGACGCAGAGGAGATCCATCTGCTGTTGTAACTTATGTATTTCGGCATCTAGAGCAGCAATGACCTTTTCGCCCGCGTTATAGGCGTCGCGATTCTCATCGGTGTCCTCGATACCGTCTTGACGGCTTTCTTCCAGCTTTTCTAGAGCTTCTTGAGTAGCGACTTGGTCCTTGTGGTGATATGCGTATTCCAAGCATCTGCGCTCTCGATCCTTGTCCTGGAATCCGCGCAGCTCCTCCTTCTCCTCCTCCAGCTCACTCAGACGTTCCTTGATGTATTCAAGGAGCTCGTCAATCTTGTCTCTCTTATTGCTGGTGTCCGTCATGATCTTGAGGGATTCGGTCCGGCGTGATTCGTAGACCTGTGTGCCAGCAACCTCTTTGAGTAGGTTCAGTCGGTCGGACTCCTTCATGTTGGTCAGGGTGGTGACTCGTCCTTGGGGCACAATGTAGTACGGGTTCGATCTCGAGAAGCCGGCCGCTTCCAGGAGGTTTGTGACATCCGTCTTGGTGACGACTTTCTTGTCAAGCGAGTACTCGTCCTTCTTCAGAGCAATGGTGCGCCGTAGAGTGACCTCCTTACTGCCCGTCGGGAATCGGTCGTCGCTGTTGTCGAAGATGACCTCGACGTAGGCGGACATGACGGCGGACCCAGAACCCTCGTGCAGTAAGGCCTGTCGTTCCTCGCGACTCATTTGCGTGTATGCGTCGCTCAGCACGAAACGGATGGCGGCGAAGAAGTTACTCTTGCCCGAGCCATTGCGACCGACGATGACATTCGTGCCGGGAGAGAAGGGCTCCATGACGGTTTGGTCCTTGTAGCTACCTTGCTGTTAGCATCGCGTTCCGAGCTTCAAGCGTCCTCGACGAAGTCACGGGGTGGCGGCGCGAACCTCTTAAAGCCCTGGATGATGATCTGCTTGATAAACATGGTCGCGACGGGTGCTGCCGTGTGGGCAGCTCGATCTCAGTATACAATTAGTTGTCGCGCAGTTGAATTGAACCTGTGGAACGAATGACAGAGGTATCGCGACGGCGGATGAAGGGGCGGACAGACGATCCGATCTCAGGGCGTCACGTATTGTAAATTATTGACCGACGACGCGTAGAAGCGCGAGCGGAAATCCGGGGTGGGGGAGAGGGAGTCTGGCCCACAGCTGGCTGATGGTGGGACAACCTCGCTGATTGGCTGCAAGACCCAAGTGCAAGAGGTAGCCCCAGCCACAGGGACTTGGTGGCTGGGACCTCAACTTCTCAAGCCTCAAGGACCTGCTTGCTTCCCGGTTGTGGCTGCGGCCTCAAGGATCACGTGCAGAGATCTCCCAGTCACAACAAAGAAGGGGACGGGAGTCTCTTGCTGTATCTGAATGACGATCACCCACAACCAAGTGCTGGGCGAGCAATATATCGTACCATACTGTACCGTACCTTATGCAACCGTTATTTCATCAATTGCCGACTGCATGTGATCCTGAAACGTTGTGGGTGTCCTACCAATTGGCTCGTGGCGGGGCTGGCAGGCGCTTCCGCCCGGCTGCATCCTCGGTAGCTGTTTGCTAAGAACTTTGCTTCCCTATACATACAAACAAGCTTTGAGCTGCAGGTGCATCGAGACAGGTCTGGTAACGTTCTACTATCTAGTACTGTCACTGTCACTGTCACTGCTGGATGTCAACGCCGCCAGAGATCTGGCCATGCCACCACGTCAGCACCTGCAAGCCTGACTTCATTGGATCATCACCAGACACCCCATCAATGCAGTTGCCCCGGAACTTCGGTAAGCGGGGTATCAGGTAGTCGCATTGTCATGACTTTGATCCCGCACATTACCTATGACTTTAATCCTCGGCAAGAGGTTGGCTCTACTGCGTGTTGTTATTTGATCTCGAACTGTCACTGCTCTCTTTCTCAGGGCGCAGTAATTCACAGAGCCAACGAAGGTATCGTACAACATGCAGAATTGCAGATGCTACATGTACCCTATCCCTCCATGTCTTTAGGTTCTGTACAATGCCGACCAATGATACTAGGAGTATTAGACCCTGTCCTGCGCCGGTAGCGGCGGCAGTTGGGCTGCGTGGCACATGCATACGGGCTTGGTGAGGAGCTCGAATCTCGAATCCAGGGATATTGTCTTCATGATTTATCACGTTGCCTCTAGGCACGACAAACATAACCTATTCTTATATCTAGAAGGTCCATGACTCTGGAGGCTCCCAGTCTCTCGCTCCCCTCTCATACGGACGCCTGCCTATATGCTAATAAATATGCCTCAGGTTACCTAGGCAGGCACTGGTAGCCACTCTGACGCCATAACCATCTGCCAATCGTGTGGGAATAAGCCGAGTTCGACAGCGGCGTGCATGAAACTTTACTATCTGTATGTCAGGTAATAATGGTCTGCGCCGGCCGAAAGTCGACCATCAAGTGTAAGTGAGCTTGACCAGACGACAGACGTACCTATCGCTACTAATCAAAAAAGAACGCAACTTTGATGAATTATATGTAGCAGGAGTAGGATGACAGGCGGATGGGATGGAGCGTCCCAACAATAATCCATTGGTGACTGGAGTTGGGAGGCATTAAAATCGGCAATACTACTTCCCTGTTGGATCCATTGGTCTGGGGTACTTTGCCGATCATGCTTAAGCTGACATGACCATCAATGGGCAGGGCATACTGTACCTGCTTCGCCTACGAGAGGTGCCAGATCTGACATCTGCAGCAATACAGCTGCAGCAGCAGGGGATTATGCCGATGTAACCTGACCTACCGGAATGTAGGAGAATGACAGCGCTTCACCTGTCCGTTATTAACAAACATGTTGATCAGATTCGAGGCATTATGAAAGGGTTGCTTGTTGGATGATGATGGCTGATGATATGGACGATGACTTGGATCAAGTTGGATGAAAGTGAAAAGACCGCATCGTCAAGTCTGGAATCAATCTCTTATTCCACCATAGCCACATGCACATTCTTGCCAACAGGGTGGACATCGGAGTTATGAGATATGTCAAGAGCTATCTCGCAGCAGGCACTAGCTACAGATGTAGTTAGATACAACTAACAAAAAGCCTGCACGGGCGAAGATTGGAAAGAAGAGAACTTTGAAGGCGAGCCGCGATGTCAAGTCGAACATGACAGCCTGACTCAAACCAGTCGATCCCGAAACTGTCAGTCATGCAACTCGAACTGGCAGCGATAAACTGTAGGCAGCGACAGCCTGGACTGCATATGGTCGCTGCCTGCCTGGCCTTCGACGTTGAGTGGTCGATCTGTGATGTGATAATGAGTGCACGAATTGTGTGCGTTTGACGATGGCGAGGATGGGTGGCTGTCCATTGTTCTCAGCCCGTGCTGCTGCAAGGGTCCAGGCAGTCTAGTCCAGGCCGGGCGTGTGGGTGGGGCTCTTGAGAGCCTGGCTGTTGGTTGGCAGCCTGAGGTAACAACTGGCCTGATGACAGAAGTTCTAAGAGGATGGGCTGCCAGGGACCGGCAGAAGACTGGCAGAAGCTGTCAGGCTGGACTGGCAGGTGAGCAGGTGAGGAAGCACGGCGCTCGGGCCAGGCCGCAAAGAGAAGAAAAGCTGCAGGCACCCCCCGGTCCACACCCCAGTCACCCCCATCCCGCCATCCATGCCATCTACCTATAAAAGTATCACTTCAAATACAAGAGGGCCCGAAGCGCCGACTCCAAAAAGCCAGACTCGCTGCATTCCGTCTGAGCCGCCGTGACGCACAGCCAGCCAGTCAGCCCAGCCAGCAGCACCCCAATAAAAGCCACCACCCACCGCCTTCCATCTGCAGCTCGTCATCTGTGGTGAGTGTTCCTTCCCTGCCCTGTCCTGCCCGCACTGCCTGCTGTCGCCGTCTGGCCGTGCACGCACCACCACTGCCGAGTGACGGTCGCGACCACACTCTACGCGTGTGTTTGCCATTGCATCGCGCCTTTCCCTGAATGGGCCAATGTCCCTTTTAGGTAATCACGCATTCAATCAACGCCGCCATCACCAACACACCAGTCGCCAGTCACCATTCACTCATTGTCACATGGGGACAACATGAATAAGTGCAACTCAACAAGTAACCCCAGATGAATTGGAAAACAAATCAATCTTTCAACAACCTTGACTAACACCTTATGAGCAGGCATTTACCTCCTTCCTGTCACATGCACACTTACCAAGCGACTCCCTGAGTCCTCCCTTAACATCAATCACTTCCTCGCCCTCATCTCAAGGACATACAGTCGACAAACGACTCCTTCGCAGCTCCAATCTCCCCGTCGTACGCCCAAAATCGAGTTCACCATCTTATTCACACATAGGGTAAGTGCATCCGCTCAATGCCGCTACCCTTGTTCCAGGCCTCATCCCTAGCCTGCCCAACAGTCTTCCCCTTGACCCCTTGCTGCATTTCCGTGCATATTCATTCACCTGCCCACATCCAATCCCTCCTTGCCTGTTGATGTTAGACGGTCGCGATGCGCTATAACTCTACCCCTATTCTTCACTCGGCCCCCCTTTCCCCTTGGTTTGTGCTTTTTTGAATATGAGTTCATCTGTGTCAAATCGTCCGTCACTGCGCTGGCCTCTTCGCCCTCCTTTTATGTCACCGGTCATTGGTGGGCTTGTTGTTCGAGTGGCATGTCCTTTCAAAATACATACACCCCCAGCGGAACTCAGGTGTTAGTTGCACAGCTGTCGCGTTACACATAGTGGCACCTCATGATGCACTGGTCAACATCACCTGGCCCTAAATTCCATTTGCCATGTCACAACATCCTCGCATCTGCCGTTATGGAGATACATGCACGTGTCCAGCTCCGAGATGTAACATGATCGACCGGTAGAATTTACGTGCCCTGGTCTTTGTGCAAGCCCCTGATATCCGAGATACCACGCGCGGGAGTGCTACCTCTGCGATACATAACTGACTTGTGTTGATAGATCAGGGTTATGAGATGAACCTCTCTCAGATATCGGCCCTACAGCCTTGGAGTGACTAGCCAAGATGGCTTCCAGGTATGTCGTACCATACCTCTCACAGAGTACTAGCAACGTGCGCAGACTGACACAGATGCACAACAGACTCGATCGTCTCGTCACGTGAGTATCACCCGTTTCTCACAACAGTCATTGTCGTCAGCATATTGAGCATTGGCACCGTGTCGGGAACGGACCCTTGCGGCCTACTTGAGATAGGGGCTACCGCTCCGCCAGGGCCGACCACGAGTGCCAGAGCCGCTTTACAGTGGACCAAACCTCCATGATCCTTTTTAGTATGCTTCAAACTTCAAACTTCACACTGACACTCTTTAGGATCTTGGAAACTGGCAGCACTAAGTTGATCAAGGATACTGCCGTCAACCAGCTAGCAGATTGGCAGAAGCAACACCCCGAGGAATTATTCAATTTGCTTTCCCGAGTGGTCCCATATCTCCGCCACAAGGACTGGGATACTCGCGCAACTTCCGCCAGGGCTCTTGGCAAGATTGTCGGGAACGCCGCTCTTTATGATCCGAATGAAGACGAAGACCCCGCAGAAGTAAAGAAAGAGGAACCTGCACCGCAAAACGGTCTCATCAAGAAAGAGGAAGATACTGAGTTGTCACTTACCGCAGACGAGTATTTCAGGCCCGAGACACTCGATGTCCCCACGATACTCGAACACGGCCGTGAACTGCTGCGCACTGGTACCGTTGACTATGGTCTTGCTAGTCTTGAACCCCAGGCCCGGCTGGCCCACCAGAAGAAAACTCTCAATGGTCGACTAGGACTGCTCGGAAGGCACTTCGAGGACGATGAGATCCCCATCATCATAGAAAAGTCAGCCAGTCCATTCTCCGAGGCGCAAGACACAGCGGCTGTCAATGGGATGGGCCGCCAAGAGAGCTTTGCCAGTTCAGGGCCTAGCCAGCAACACCTTGAGGAGCCGGGTCTCTCCGGCTTGAGTACTCGTCAACTCAATGTGTTGAAACGGAAAAGAAAGAAAGACGCACTAAAGGCCGCTCACGGCAAGGGTGGATTTGGGGACTTGTCAATACGACGAACCTTTACAGCCGGGTCTGATGGGTTCGATGACACGCCCATGCCGGATGTCGAGAACAAGAAGAATGGGAAGAACGACTACTTCAGCTTGGACCGACCCGCTGATGTCGACGAGGACTCCAAGGTTGTTTCAGAATTCAAGGGACCCATCCTACCGATCAAGTCCGAAATCGAGACCGAAGATGAATTGCAAGGGTCAGAGTGGCCGTACGAGCGGCTATGCAAGTTTCTGAAGATTGATATCTTCGACACCCAGTGGGAAATCCGTCACGGTGCAGCTCTGGGCTTGCGGGAGGTCCTTCGAGTTCACGGTGCCGGTGCTGGACGCTTAAGAGGGAGATCGAGAAGAGAAAACGATGCCCTCAACCGCAAGTGGCTCGACGACATGGCCTGCCGACTCTGCTGTGTGCTCATGCTGGACCGATTTACGGACTACGCTTCAGACACGAGCGTCGCACCTATACGAGAAACCGTAGGCCAGACCTTGGGTTCGTTTCTGAAACACGTACCCCCGGAATCTGTGCACACCATCTACCTGATCCTTTTCAGGATGGTGATGCAGCAAGACCTGGGCCTGGACAGGCCTGTTTGGGCAGTCTGCCATGGTGGGATGGTTGGTCTAAGATACGTCGTGGCTGTGAGGAAGGACCTGTTACTTCAACATGGCGAAATGGTCGATGGCGTTATTCAGGCTGTCATGAAGGGACTTGGCGATAGTGACGACGACGTCCGGTCTGTGAGTGCAGCTACGTTGATCCCAATGGCTCAAGAATTCGTCCAGCTTCGACCGGCCGCCTTGGATGAGCTCATCAGCATTGTATGGGAGAGTCTTTCTAGCTTGACCGACGATTTGAGCGCCAGCACTGGAAAGATCATGGACCTTCTGGCGACTCTTTGTAGCTTCCCTGAAGTGCTCGAGGCGATGAAGACTTCGGCGGAACACGACGAAGAGAGGACATTCACCCTTCTAGTACCACGACTCTACCCTTTCTTGCGACATACCATTACCTCGGTCCGTCTGGCCGTTCTCAAGGCCCTGATGACCTTCATCAACGTTGGGGAGGAATCCCAGGGCTGGCTAGATGGCAGAATCCTCCGGTTGATCTTTCAGAATATCCTCGTGGAACGGGACCAAGAGACTCTCAAAATGTCCATCCAGCTATGGACGGCCCTGGTGAAGTGCTTGGCAAAGGATCCGGAACGTCTTGCGAACGAATTTGCTCCACATATCGACGCACTCATGCAACTCACCCTCCATCCTGTCGGCGTGTCTCGGAATCCGATACCCATGAATGGTTCTTTGTTCCAAAAGCCGTCTGGGGGCTCCTACATAGTCCCTGGGTTTGCACCGCCAGTGGCACGCAAGGGTTCCGAGCCCGAGGGAGAGAGGGCTGCCAAGAGGCGGAGAAAATCTACCAAGATCGAGGACCCTCCCACGGTGACCCATTCACATGATCTCGATGGGCACATGATGTTGGGGGACGTGGACCTAGTAAGCATGGATACGCTCATCCGGTCCCGCGTTTCGGCTGCCGGTGCTATGGGTCTGATCATGGCTCTGGTGCCCAAAGAACACATGGAGGCTTACGACGCCATCCTCGTTCCCGGCTTCACTTCTGCGTACTCTTCTACCCAACTTGCTGCGTGCGTCGTCATCGATGAATACGCACGAAACTGTCCAACTTCGCAAGCTGATACGTCGAAATATGCCAATGAGCTGCTCAAGATCGTTGACTCTGATCGACCTCCCCAGTACCGCGACTTGGTCAGCTTTGTGCAGCGGGTTAGATCGCAGTGCCAGCAACTCATCAATCTCTTCAGAGACCATGGCAAGGTGGCTCAACAGAAGCTTCCAAGCCTCGCGGTAGTAGTGCAAGGCGAGGCCGAAGCCGGCCCCACGGCCTTCTCTCTGGCCAATGCCGACAAGTGCGTGAGTGACGACTTCGATCGACTAAAGAAAGCCATGGCACCGGCACAACGCTTGATTTCTATCCAGCAGCTCAATGAAGCTCGACAAGTAGCCCTTACGGCAATCGACGAGGCCAAGTCTATCAAGGACAGCCGTGACGTTCGTATCAAGGCGGCTGCTGCTTGTGCTCTGATAGCCATGAAGACGCTACCCAAGAAGCCAAGCCCTCTCGTCAAGGGCATTATGGACAGCATCAAGCTCGAAGACAACCAACAACTTCAGGGCCGCTCCGCAGAGACAATAGCGCGACTGGTACTGTTATTCACGGAGAAGGGTCGCCGGGGACCCGCAGACAAGGTCGTCTCGAATCTGGTCAAATTCTCATGCGTCGAGGTTGCGGAGACGCCGGAGTACCCCGTTCATGCAGCAAAGACCGACGTCATACTATCGATGCAAAAGGAAGAGGATCGAGTTGACCACGTTGATGCTGCAAAGTTTGCGCGTGAGGCAAAAGGGGCTCGCATAACGCGACGTGGAGCCAAGGAAGCTCTTGAGATACTGTCTCGAACCTTTGGTGCTGATCTATTCTCCACAGTACCAAGTTTGCGACGGTTCATGGAAGAACCCCTGGCGAAGGCTTTCTCCGGTGAACTACCCGACGAGGCAAGAGATGCCGAAAGCACATTTGGTCAAGAAGTCGTTGATGCGATGTCGATCATCAGAACCATAGTCCCGACCTTGCACAAGTCTCTCCAGTCCTTTGTCATGGAGCAGTTGCCTCTGGTCATAAAAGCTCTTCATTCCGAACTGTCTGTCTTCCGCTATATGGCGGCGAAGTGTTTGGCCACTGTCTGCAGCGTTATACCTGTGGAAGGCATGACAGCCCTCGTGGAGAAGGTCCTCCCGTCCATCAGCAATCCCATCGATATAAATTTCCGCCAAGGTGCCATTGAGTGTATCTATCACCTGATAGCTGTCATGGGGGACCGCATCTTACCCTATGTCATTTTCCTCATCGTGCCTGTGCTGGGTCGCATGAGTGATTCAGACAATGATATTCGTCTGATTGCAACCACGTCCTTCGCTACACTGGTCAAACTCGTGCCCCTCGAAGCCGGCATTCCCGATCCTCCTGGTCTTTCGGAGGAGTTACTAAAGGGGAGAGATCGCGAGCGGACTTTCATCGCTCAGCTTCTGGATCCCAAGAAGGTCGAGCCATTCCACGTTCCCGTTGCAATCAATGCCGAATTGCGTTCATATCAGCAAGAAGGTGTCAATTGGCTTCATTTCCTCAACAAATATCACCTGCACGGTATTCTTTGCGACGACATGGGTCTCGGTAAGACTCTTCAGACACTATGTATGGTCGCTAGTGATCACTACAACAGAGCAGAAGAGTTCAAGAAGACCGGCGCCCGAGACGCGCGCAAGCTTCCGTCTCTTATCGTGTGTCCTCCGACACTCTCGGGTCATTGGCAACAGGAGATCAAGACATTTGCTCCGTTCCTGGGCGTGACAGCTTTCGTTGGACCGCCGGCGGAAAGGAGGGCAAGAGCAACCCAGTTCGCAACGACAGACATTGTAATCACATCATATGACGTCTGCCGTAACGACACGGAACTCCTGGAGAAACAGAACTGGAACTACGTCGTGCTAGATGAGGGCCACCTGATCAAGAACCCGAAAGCAAGGATTAGTGCTGCGGTCAAAAGGCTCGCCAGCAACCATCGCCTGATCCTCACTGGTACACCGATCCAGAACAATGTCCTGGAGCTATGGTCGCTTTTTGACTTCTTGATGCCCGGATTCCTGGGCGCTGAGAAGGTCTTCTTGGACCGTTTCGCCAAACCCATAGCAGCCAGTCGTGGCGGCAAAGCTTCGTCTAAAGAGCAAGAAGCTGGCGCTTTGGCAATCGAGGCACTGCACAAGCAGGTCCTACCCTTCTTGCTTCGTCGTCTTAAGGAAGAAGTCCTCAACGATCTCCCGCCCAAGATCCTTCAGAACTACTACTGCGATCTCAGTGATGTGCAGAGGAAGTTGTTCGAAGACTTCACCAAGAAGCAGGGCAAGACGATCACCGAAGAGGCTGGTCGCGATGACAAGGATGCCAAGCAACATATCTTCCAGGCGCTGCAATACATGCGAAAGCTTTGCAACTCCCCAGCACTTGTCATGACTCCAAGCAACAAGCTCTACGAGGACACGCAGCGCCTACTTGCGAAGCAAGGAACCAGCATTGAGGATCCAGTGCATGCTCCCAAGCTTACTGCTCTCAAGGATCTGCTGGTGGATTGCGGTATTGGAGTTGAGGGTACTGATGCGAACGACCCACTGAAGAATGATCCTCTTTACCAACCCATCAAGCCCCATCGCGCCCTGATTTTCTGCCAGATGAAAGAAATGCTGGACATGGTTCAGAACACGGTGCTCAAGCGCATGCTGCCATCTGTCTCTTATCTACGTCTCGATGGTTCAGTCGAGGCTAACAAGAGACAAGATATTGTCAACAGGTTCAACAAGGATCCGTCTTACGACTGCCTGCTTTTGACGACAAGTGTTGGCGGTCTGGGTCTCAACCTGACAGGTGCAGATACTGTCATCTTCGTTGAGCATGACTGGAACCCCCAGAAAGACTTGCAAGCTATGGACCGCGCCCATCGCATCGGCCAGAAGAAGGTGGTCAACGTATATCGACTGATTACGAGAGGCACGCTGGAGGAGAAGATCATGAGGTAATTGGAAATCCCTTGTTTCAAGCTGCGATATGCTAACACATGACTCATAGTCTACAAGCCTTCAAGATAGACGTGGCTTCTACCGTGGTGAACCAGCAGAATGCGGGCCTCGTAAGCTGCCTCCTTTTCACCACTGCGCGCGAACACTGCTGACCTGATGTGAAGGGAACAATGGATACAGATCAGATATTAGACCTCTTCAACCTCGGCGATGCAGGTCCAAACCTGATCACGGACAAACCTGGCACGGGCGTCGAAGGACGCGAGGAGGACATGGTAGACGTCGAGACTGGAGAGGTGAGGGCCCCGGGCAAGAAGGCATGGGCGGATGACCTGGGAGAACTATGGGATAATCGTCAGTACGAAGAAAGCTTCGACCTGGACGGATTCCTCAAGACGATGGGCTAGCTAGGGAAGGCGACGACGAAGCCCTCGCCAGCTTTCAACTTACCTTGAGGGGTATAAGTTGGATCTGTATTGTGTATAAATGTATTATAAGCTGTGCTGATGCCGCAAGAATCGATGTATTCGTCGTCCCGGGGTGGGTGGGGATCTGGACACAAACAACTATTCAATTACCTTTTTCCATCTGCCGCGTGTGTCTTCCGTGGTAGCATATCACCTTGTCCAGTGGGTACCTGTACAGCATAAGTTGTAAGCTCAGGAGTCCAGCCACTGGTCAAAAACGATTGCTGCTTCAGGGTACGTGTTGGTCCTGACGGATGCGGTAGCATAAACCACGTAAGACAGGAAAGATTACAGAGCAGATATTCGTCCCTCTATTTCATACAAGATATAGCATCGTCCAAAAGCGCAACAACCAGCGTAAGCCAGGGTCCTAAACTCCTAGCGAGCAATAAGGCTAAGCAGCCGTATGTCCTGCGACTAAATAGATGCCCGCATCTTTTCTTTCCTTTTTCTAGCAAGTCGTGAGCTGTGTCACCGAGGTGAGTGCGGTGACCCTCACGTCAGCAGGCTCCCACACCGAGACTTCAGCCACCGAGGACAGCGGCTCTGCTCAACGTTACATCGATTGACACGCCGTGATCAGAAAGGCCGAAATGGAAGGCCGGCACCAATTGATCCCATTCGCTTGGTCTGGTTCCTCCTGGTCGGGTGATGATGACATAATGCGACGCTCGCACCTTGGCCAGGAATCAATCCGAGACGTCGATCGTCCATTCCCCAGAATACCTAAGAATACGAGAGCGTCTTGCAGTAGGAAGTGACGCCTCTTAAGCTGACAACTCGTATTCCGGTCACGCACCTGCCTCCCAGCCGTGTATTCCGTATCCAAGGCTATAACACCTACAAGCCGCATGGAAGCAGCTACCTACACGTAACCTGTAACAGCCAATTACTTCCTGCATCTTGAACAGAACAGCAGGCACGAAGCACAGCCCGCCATGTCCCAGTTAATAAATACCGGGCAATCGAACGCCCAGAGAACCGACACCATCACAACATAAATTCATCACAACATCGGAGAACAGCAACACCAGGGCATCAACCCGGCCCTAGAACCATCTGCAAGATCATAGCATTCAAGTGTTTTGCACTCCTTACATCTCAGAACATCAGCATCTTCCATCTCGCACAATGAAATCCACTCTCGTTGCAACCGCGGCATTCGCCTCGCTGGGCGCCTCCGCCAGCATCCCCCGCAGCGAGACGACCCCGTCCGCCTACTGGGGAGTCACCGGCTTCAGCGCCAGCAAAGGGCATCTCAGTAGCTACGTCGCGTAAGTACCTACCCATCCACACGAACTTTTCAGGTTTCTCCCCGCCAGCTGGCTAACGCCGCAATGCAAAAGCTACTCGTTCAACGTCACGAGAGACTCGACCACCACGCCCGTGACGGCGTCGTGCAGCGGCTCCTACGACGCCGGCTCCTCGAGCGCGACCTGGCTGGCGTCGGTCACCAAGGGCGTCTGCAACGACGGGGCCGTCAGCTGGGGTTTCATGAACGCGGCCAACAACGGCAGCGCCGCCAACCCGGCCACTCTGGGCGTCTTCTGGTTGTTGGAGGGTAGCCTCCACGCACATCATGCCTTCCACGAAATCCCCGGCGACCAGATCCGCATTGTGCTCAACAACGCACAGAACCCGTACGACAATGATGTCTACTACGTTGGCCCGAAGGACTTTGACATCATCCCGCTCGGCTAGGCTGGGCATCTGATGGAGGGAGCGCCGGTGGTTGCGTACCTACTGAGAGATGATGTGATGATGAACGCGATGGGAGGTCAGGTCACGCAGGCGTTTTGTACGGTTCAGCTCTAGAAGAGATCCTCTAGCTATAGATTCATTACCATTACTGTTATCCGCATCGTCTCATCTGCTGTAGAGAAGGACCCAGTCCGTTGGGTGTGGGCACGCGAGCTATTACACCGCTCTGAATACGACTGAGCCCTTCGGAGACATAGACGATCGTGGGAGTCCAACTCGGGGCATAGACGGGAAGTGAGAAGGCCTCGTTGAAGGCGATGGTGATTTATTCATGTTCAGTCACGACCGTGATCTCTGGTTTTATCCTCCTGATGTTTGGTATACTTCATCGTGATCCTGCAGTACTCATGACTATGTGTGAAAGTACCTTAGATGGAAACTGGGTGGTGCAGAAAAGGGGGAGCTAGCGCCGTGACGCAAGTGCTGGTCTTGAACTCTTCCGATGGGTATCGATAAGCTTCCAGGTGGCCAGGTGGCCAGGCGGGAGGCTGCGGGGCATTCCTGCTCCAACCTGCAGGGACCCCGCAGCGCTGTGAGAAGTTGAGAACTCGCTGGAATCGAGAGCTGTTTCAGGCTCCAAAGCTTGAACGTCAATCTCGCCTCATGTGCTCTGTGTAGAAGACTGCGTACTGACAGTCATCAGAAGCCAAGATGCCTATAGACTATAGCAAATGGGTAGGAATCCGGTCCAATCCTTGCGGCAATGTCCATAAACTGACTGTTTTGTTTACTTCAGGACAATCTGGAGCTCAGCGACGACTCCGATGTCGAGGTCCATCCCAACGTCGATAAACGCTCCTTCATCCGCGCGAAACAGAACCAGATCCACGCAGAGCGTCAACAGCGCCGTCATCAGATCGAGACCCTGAAATACGAGCGTCAGATCAACGATGGGTTAATGAAGCGCATTTCTGGCCTCCTGGCTGCCCTGAACTCCCACGCCGCCGAAGCCGAAACTCGAAACCCGGCCGAGGTCGCCTTCCAAGCTGTGATGGAGTCGGCTGGTAACCCAGCGGATGACAAGCCTCCTGCCCGACCCGAAGGTGTCCATGCTGAAGTCGAACAGCCGCCCTCGTACACCAAGATGATGGCGGCACTGCTGGATCAGGTGAACAAGACACTGGACGAGAAGAAGCCTGAAAACCGCTACAGTGCCATGGTCGAGGAGATCGGTACCCATTTGAACCAAGTGCAAGACCTACAGAAGCAGCTTTTCGCGAAGCTAGCCGAGTTGGAGAAGCTCGAAGGTAGCAAGATCACGAGCGAGAGCTACAGTACCGGTTTCAACAGCTCGTCCGTCCCCAAAGCTGAACCGGCTGCTCCCGCCGAGACCAAGAAAAATGACGGCAAGCTAGAGCTTCTGAACCCGAACTTCTCGTCGGCCAACCCCGGTGAATCCAAGGGCGCATCGACTCCTGATCCAGACAACGACGAGATAGAGGCCTCTGCCGATGCTCGTAAGTTTGCCAACATCAAGGCCGCCGACTACCGAGAAAGCCATGCTTTCATTGCTTCCCACCCGGGCGTTTTGGCCGAGAAGGAGACAGACGGTATCCTGGTGATGGCCTTCGATGCACAATTGGAAAACAAGGACGAATTTGCACGCAATTACGTACACCAAGCGCTCCTGCTGCAATACTGCCGTTCACTAGGCAAGGACGGTGCTGCCCTGTTCTTCAAGCGCATCACTACCAAGGGCCACCAAGCGCAAGAGGTCTTCTACAAGGACGTTCAAGACACGTACTACCGGATCAAGACCCGGGCACGGGAGATCAATGCCGAGCGGGCGGCCGAAGGTGATTCCGGCGGAGATGTCGAGCAGATTCAGTTGCACGCTGTCGATCCCGGGACTGAGATCAAGATCCGGGTCCCGCCCGAGAAGAGCGAGGACGAAGCTGAAAAGAAAGGGCGAGAGATATTTGAGGGTTTCACCCCAGAAATGCAAAAGGCTCTGGAATCCGGAAGCCTGGACAAGGTCAACGAGGTACTGGGTAGGATGAAGGTACCCGATGCCGAGGACGTTGTGGGTCTACTGGGCGAGGTAAGCTCTGTCATATGCACTCCTGACCTGTCAATAAAACCCATGCTAATCGTCATCCAGGCCGGCATCTTGAGTTTGGAAGAACAGATAATAGATGCCACCACGGCCGAAGGCCAGAAGCAAATCAAGGAGTTGGAGGAGCAAGCCGCGATGGACTCGTATGCCGATGATCCCGAGTAAGAGTGATGATGTTGGCATGTTGGCATGTTGGGACCGGGCAGTAGCAGGTCAAGTATGTTTGGTACTTGGGTGATGCATGATTAACGGGAGAGGTACTGAAGAATACCCACGTTTGTCTCTTCTGGCTTTTTTCGATGATATGAGTACGTGCAGTCGGCTTTGCTGGCATGAGTTGTCGTGAGACATCCCGTGCGGTAAACAAAGTTCTGAGCCACCAAACATGCACTCCGCGCTTTTGTCGGTGATACCGAGCGAGCGAGGTGGCAATGACTCAATGGTAGATTTTGGTCAAAGTATTGATGAGACACACGTCAGCCTACCTTGGCATCGCAGCATAATACCAACATAACAACCTGCCATGAACGTACCATGTCATCTTTGCAACCTGAGCTACCTACAACAGGAAACCTTACTATAACGAGCTAGCGGATCCAACGTCCTCCCGCCACTGACTGATTTGTTGAAGATCGGTCTGACATCAGCTTAGTAGACTGTACAGGGTTTTTGTCAGCCACCTCGGCACTTGCTTGGACCCTGCTTGTAGATCTCACCAAGGGTTTTAATGTTTCCAAAATTAAGGTATGTACCTTGTGTAGGCAGTGGGTGGCAAAGACAGACTCGAGAGCAGGTATCTTAATAGTTAGCAATGTACATCATTTCAGGGGTTAAGGTGTAAAGTTCCGCAAAGTTCTATACACCATTGTAGATAATTATAGATCTGGTCATGCAGAACCGTCAGCCACTGCCACCCTGAACACCTGAACAATGTGGTAACTCGGGTATTCGACTATTGTATAAAGGCTCCAATGGCGCTGTTATGATGAACCAGCTCATCACCAAAACCAACAACACTACGTCCTCATCAAACCAAAACTACCATCCGACCCCCCGAACCGGCACACCCCCACTACCGGCACAGCCAAACCCCGCCACCACCACCAAAAGACCCCCCTACTCACTTACACGCATTTGAGGCTGTATAGGGTCAAAAAATCAGCAAAATTATCATTCTGTGGTGTTTTGGCTGCTCAATCGACGTATCTAGCCGGCGCCCGGATTGACCGCCCGGATCTAGTCATCTGGGCTTCTGCAACAGGGGCTTCTACAGCCTCCTCAGCGTCCGCAAGCTCCTCGTCCTCCTCACCCTCGTCTTCAACAACTTCTGACTCTGAAGAAGAAGAAGACTCTACAGCAACCGGAACTAACGGATCACCACCCTGGGCTAGTATTTCTACCATTATTATGAACTTTTTGTTGGGATTTGGTATCCTTTTCCTCTTCTTAGGCCGTAGCCGCTCCAGTTCAGCTTCCAGGGCCCTGATCTTCTGGTCTTTTATGGCCAGCTCCGTCTCCTGGTTCTCAAAGGCATGGGAGATCTTCTGAAACTTCAGCCGAGTGGCTGGGGAACGGTTCCTCCCGAAATCCCGGATTTGCCGGCTCGTGGTAGGGGTCTGTTGGTCCTTTAGTTCCGAGTCTTCCTGTTCTTCTGGCTCGGGGGTCTTCTGCTTGTCTTCTTGGATTTCTGGATGTCTAGACACTTTTTGTGGCTAATTGGGTAGCATCCTGTCACTCGGAAGCCCGAGCGGATGTTTTTTGGCGTAAATGCCATGTCCCTTGCCTTGCTGTAATAGCGGATAAAGTTGATCTTGTCAACAGGGGAAGAATCAGTCAGAGAATTTAACTGGGTGAGGAATCTCTGGTAGTAGGACTTAAGGGCGTTATAGGGGCCGTTATCCAGTGGTTGCATTCCGTGGCTGGTGTGTGCTGGGAAAAAGCACAGCAAGATATTGGCAAAATAACACCGCATCATAAATTTGTCCTTTTCTATAGTCAGTTGCTGTTTAAATCGGAATAAATTAAACAACCAGTAAATAAACAGAAAAAATTGGTGTACGTACGGAGGTATGGCTAACATGGCCATCTAGGATCAAAAGGACTGGTTCCCACTGCTCCTGGCCACGAATTTCATCCACTTGTGGTATGAAAACGTGCTCAAGCCACTGGCAGGCGATATCGTTACTGATCCAGCGTTTTCCGACATTATATAGTACCAGTCGGCTATCTTCCGGAATTCCTTAAGGAACCACTGCGCTTGGAGATCTTTTCCCTTGAAAATCAAGCCTGGTTTGAGTACTCTACCGGTAGCTGAAATGGTCTTGATGAAAGATGTCCACGAGCGGCCCTGGGGGCTCTTTAGGAAAGCTTTCCTCGTCTCAGAACTTCCTAGAACTAGGGAATCAATGCCTATAAAGATAGTTAGTTAACTGTGAGGATAGGGGGCTCAAAAGAATTACCAAAACCCGACATAATGCCGCCCTTATCGACATTGTACGTATTTTCTGGCTTTACCCAGCCGTAGTCCTCTAAGATGTTGAAGAACCAGTTCACAGACTTAGGGGTAAACCCCTTAAACCGAACAGATTCCATTCGCTTGACGATTTTAGTCTGAATGGTAGGGTTGCGTCGTTTAAAGCTGTCCATATAGTGGTTCCCAAGTGGTGCGAAATCCCCCTTTCTTTTTAGGAGTTCTACCACAATTTCTCTGACAGCTGAGTGAGAAGGGGCAAGCCCCAAAGTCTCCTGGCACAATATCCAGGCTGCTACCTTGCTTTCTTGCTTGGAAGAAATTCTCTGTTCGGTGGTATGAGTTTCTGTTTTAGTCCCTCTCCCCCTTATGCGTGCTGACAGCGTGCTGGCCGGGACGCCGTATTTTTGGCTGGATTTTCTCACGGATATGCCATTATCTGTGACTTCTAGGTAGGTATCCACCACATTATCCTCTGTATACGTGGGCGGAGGCATTATGGCTGGCTTCAGGATGTTGTGGTGCATGAGGGATAGGGGCTCACAGAGAAAATTCTATAGCAAATTTGTATTTAAGGGAGGGGCACGGAGGCTGTTAAATGCCGATGCCGATGGCCAGCAATTAAATAATCTACATTAAGCTAAATACCAAGAAAAGGGCTATCTAACTATCTAAAGAACGTTTAGATACCCTCAAAAGGGGCTGTAATTCGTGTAAGTGAGTAAGGGGACTTTTGGTGGTGGTTGTGGGGTTTGGCTGTGCCGGTTGGGGGGGTGTGCCGGTTCGGGGGGTCGGATGGTAACGCAAGGAGGTCTGAGAGACTGATACTTACACAGCATGAAGGTGCAACGAGTACCCCTTACCTTATATGGGCCCAGTGAGAGCCTGAGGGCACGGGCACGGAAGCCGAGCGAACCCCATTTGATGTCCTTGGTCCTCGGGCTCAACTCCCCGACGATTCCAGTCTATAATAGTTAATCCAGTCAACCGTTGCTTCGGCCACGGCCAAGGAGCAGACATGCCGCACGCCGTGGGGGTAAGGAATTGGCATGGCTCCGGTTCTTCGCGCAGTCCCCTCGCGCTCCTGTGATGGCCTTGTCAGGCCTTCTGACCTCTGGCCTTGCGATACCACACCAGAAAGTCCAGCTGCCCATCCAGCACGGCTGGGAAAGGGAGACCGTGGTGGGGGCGATTACCATAGTTACCCCTTGGAGGGAGTCTCACTGGCCCATCGCTTTATTAAGGGTTGGAGACCAGTTCCTTCCAAAACATGAAAAGGTCGACTTAGTCAACTCCACGGATATTTGAGTATGCAAGCACTTTACTATTTAAGGTCACCATTCAGAATCAAGTCCGCTACGAGATGCTTGATATAGGAGTCCGTTTCCTTCTTCGCTGCATCCCTAGACAAGGTAGGGAATCGCTCGGCTTGGTCTTGGTGCGGATGGCTTCGTCGATGGTGTCCATGAACGCGCCGAGTGTCTGGTGCGGAGGATCATCGCTCCCGCCACTGCACCGCTCGACCAGGGCCACGAGATCCGGATCGTAGTGGTCTTTTGTGTTGGTTTTCAGATCCAGAATACTTCCCATCACCTGCAAGTTATTGCATACCGCCTGTTTAGCAGTCGCCTAGATCTTTAGGGGGGACTGATCATGCAGGTGGGTAAGCTTACCGTTCCCATTTCTTTGAGATTTGCATTCACACACTCCCTTCCAAACTCTGTCGCTTCTGTCGCTTGGCTTTCGGTAAGAGGGGGCGGCGGGCGGGTAGCCACTAAGAGGTTGTCAGACCAGAGTGATACCACCCACGCTTGCAAGTGTTGCTACTCACTCGTTCCACTTCCAACGTGCCCGTCCAAGATCAATCCATTTCAGTACGGGAACCAAACCGTGCTAGCCCATGTCAAGGTCCCCAAACATCACTATGGGAATATCGTGTCGATTAGCTAAAGTGGCAAGAAAAGTCACCTGTTCCCGGGCGAACTCACCGTTGAACCAAGCGCCGTCACCAAGGACGAAAGTACAACACAACTCCGGAGGCTCGGCGCCCGGGACGACCGAAGTCGCAGCTCTGAAATCCGGATCCTGGCGCCACTCGTCCCCAAACACCCTGGTCCGGTGCCTGTCGGGCGGGTAGGCCATCTCGATGCAAGCACGCACCAGACAGCGGAATATGAGCCAGAGCAAACGACTGGGGAACGGCGTTTTGTCGGCGCTGGATGCCCTGACCTCGAACCTGTCTAGCTGTATATGGGGCACGACCTCGGTCACGCGGAAGATAGTGTTGAGGAAGTCGTCGGGGGGTATAGGCGCGAGGTTTGGCCTCGTCAGGGCGCTGTTGTCTTCGTTGATGATCAATCGCGTGAAATGCTCGGCGCCAAACAGGATCTGTTGAAAACCTAGATTAGGATCGAGGCCGTTTGAGGAGACAGACACGAAATGGTCGCGTATGGATGGGAGTGTTGCTTGCCTGGAATGCTTTGACTTCTCCCTGAAGATCCGGTACATCCTCCCGTGTCCGACTCCGTTTGACGGCGAGTCTCCTCCCTCGCTGTTATCGGCATTGAGTTCGCTAAACATGACCACTATCCCCTGGGCACCTGATACAAGAAGCTTGAGAGGCTTGAAGTCCCTGGTGTCCTGCCTGAAGTAATTCCGAATTTGGCGGACGAGCTTCCCGTCGCCTTGACGCGAACCCATGGTTAGGAATAAACAGTGAGCGCTCAGCTCTCTTCCCTGATGATGACATGAGTATTCAACGGAAACCGAGGCATTTTTTGCTCAGTCACGGCTTCTAAGATCGGCAAGCTTACTTTAGGTTCGAACAATGGTGAGGACGAACAAAGGAGGCAGGGCCGGAAACATCCTACAGTACCATTGTTTCCCGCCCCGGCCAAGACTTGAAAGGAATGCAAGGTCAATTTCGAGATAGGCCTTATTAGTGAGTATATTTCATTGACTCTTGCAGCAGTGGACTCCGTCCAACTACACCTACAGTTCTGGGAAATATATATGTGACGGACTATGAGTTGTTTTCAACACCTGTCTCCCACAATGGTTCAAATTTTAACATTCTATAATCTTTACGCCCTCTAAATACAACTTTCGCCAACTTGATGCTTGGACGAGGAGGCTCGTCGTAACGAGTTGTTAGAGGCCCAAGCAACGCTCGATGCAGCAACTCATACATTGCACAAGCGCCCGTCTCCTTCTACCGAGAACTCGTCACTGCCCACTGCAAAATGACCATAGAGCAGCCTGTCCGGATCATACCTGTGTTTGATGTCCAAGAGTCGATTATAGTTAACCCCGTACATCTACTGCTTCCAGTCTCCCCTATACCAAGGATCGACTTCGTTGAGGTAGACCCCCGAGCCCGGAGTAGCTGCCTCGATGGCCGGAGTATGCACACTTACGAGTTTCTCCTTGACGGCCAAGTTTTCCTCAAGCGTAGCCTCATAGTCCCAAAAGGCAGTCAGGCTGCAGGAAGCAATCGCGTCACGCCAGGCGGGAAGACGGAATTGCCAGGGTGGTCCCTCTTCTGGCCATCAGCAACGCTCAGACCGTTGCAGCCAATGAGGAAGGTGCCGTCGGCCACAGCCGTTAAAGGCCTCCATGAGTTGGCTATTCGCTGTAGGTTCGAGCACTACTGAGAGTGGCACGAGCCGATTAACCCATATCTCGTTGGGCGTATAGGGACCGTAGGGCAACGGGCCCATGATACTAGCGAAGTAGTCGACGAAGCTGGCCAAGGGACTGGTCCCGAAGCTGTAGCTAATATCAAGCCTCTCTAGCTCAGTGAGGTAAGGTGCTGCTAGAGGCTGCAGAACTGAGACGTCCTGGTCAGGGAGTGTGATGCCGAAAACGTTGAAGGTGTTGTTTTCGATTTCCAGTTGCAAGGAATTCCGATCCAAGACGAGAGATGGCATTTGCTGAAAGAACAGGTCGATGGCTTCCCAGTAACTCGACGCGTTTGGCGCATCAGCGAGGGTGAAATTCAAGGCGCCACTGGCAACAGGCCCGTCAGGATACACCTTGGCTGTCATGCTGAGAACCACGCCGTAAGTGCCTCCCCCTCCTCCGCTTAGAAACCGCATCTGGGTCTTTCCGAGGAAGAAGCGGTGTTGATATTTAATGAAGCCGATGCCGTCATCCACAGCGGGTCAGATACCTCTCATCTCAAGCACTATGTTAGCCTCCGCGCCTCGAATGTCGGTTCGACATCCTTGCTCGCTCGCTTCTGCATCCGGAGGCGGATTCCTCTCCATTACGTCTCCTCCGCCGGCGTGGGCATATGGCATGAGAAGAGCGGAACCGAAGGGTTTCACGCCACGCCGGTGAGGCCTGCGCCCGATTGGAAACCGGATGGGTCGTTTAGATACATATGTGCGAAATGGGTGTGCGAGAGGCTTCTTGAGAGTACCACTCAGGAACATGGGCTACGTGTCTGTATTCACCGACCGTCAACAATCATACGGGAAGGGATGATAGCGTTGGCAAAGAAGCCGAGAAAGACTGGGTCAACGCATTCTTGACTTTTATGAGAAAGTTGAAGGCGGCGCCGGCAATCGAGATGAATTGTGGGACCCTGGACCTGGTTTTCGTGAAGAGCGTATGCGACGCTATCGTTGGGAAGGTATTCGGACGCACAGTCGAACAAGAGGGCGCGATCGCCTACGTAAACGAGGTTGGTGACAAGCTAATCCCCCTGGGCAAGTTGCAAGACTTGGGATTGGAAGAACCTCACCAGACGCGTTTTCAGATGCTTTCATTGAAACAGTGGATGACAAAAGCCGAGCAAGAGGGAATGCATCCCGGCGTGGTGGTCCTGATATCCGAGATGGGGGAAGGGGTTAGGGAATATCCAAAGCTGTTAAAAGGCGACAGCTCGTCTTGTTGATTAAGGTAAGTACATTCACGTAGTCACGTGTAGATTAGATGATATTAGATAGTGATGAGAACTGTCGTCTCCGGCTCCGAACCCGCAAATGATGAATTTCCAATTCCTGCCTTCACTTCCGAGTCTATTGCGGGACTTGTGTCTGCCTGGGCATCCGTCGTCATTCCAGCGGCTACGGCAGAGGGGACGGCAAGGTCTTCCGGAGCTCTTTTGGCGATTGAACTGGTGTGCCCCTTGGGCTCGATGGTTTTCACAATGTCTCAGCTGTTGTTCCAGCTCGGTGATCTTTTGCTCAGCCTCGTGGACCTCACCTCGGATTCTCCAAGACTGAATACATTGGGCATCGTCGGACTCGCTACTTGCAATATAAAATGCTTCTTCATCAAGACGTCGGATCTTCAGATGGGCTTTGTACTACTGCAAGCCCCTCAATGCTCTGACGAGGCGTTCCTGGGACCAGTGGAGCTCGAAGTTCATCGACTCCATCGCCTCTTTGGCTCGCAGGTACCGATCTTGGTCGAGCTCGATTTTGAATTGTGATGGCGTGCTCGCGTGGTCCCGGCTCCAAGTAGGTGCCTCCTGAACGATGAAGGCGCTCAAATGCGGTTTAACGCAGCATTCGTGTCGTCTTCACGCACTATGTCGCGTATCGAGGAACTAAAGAAGGTTCTCCTGGACCTCGACCCTTTCGATTCACTGGTCGACGTACTTCAATAGAAGGGTCTGCTCCTTGGTGTACCTGTCGCCGCCATCCTCGGTCCCCTTGTCCTTATCCTTGTCCTAGTTTTCGCCCTTGCCTTTGTCCTCGGCCTGTTCGACCTCGCTCCATTATGCGTTACGTCATGACATAGAACCAAGCCTTATAAACAATGAAACAAGCCTCTCGTCTACGTCGACGAGTCCGAGTCCAGAGTCCAGAGTCCAGCGCATAGCACCTTCGGGAGTCGGGATACCCATGCTTTCATTGGGCCGCCATCTCGCTCCCAAAAGGGTCAATTGCAGTATGCGGGGAAAGAGAGGGGGGACTGGGAGAGAAAGAAAGACGACGGAGACCAAATTTGCCCGCCCCTAACCCTAATGACAAATCATAACACAGCGGCGATGCTATCACGAGATGGAACTTCGTCTACCTTAGTCAGCGGGGTGGCAGGGGTTCGGCACTTCCTCCCTCAAGGCTCACGCCTCACCCCCGGCCCGTCAATGGTCATGGTCATGGTCATGGTCATGGTGCCAAGTTTGGAGTCACGAGACATGCCGACGTGCAGCACCACCTGCAAGCCTCACCTGCAAGCCTTTCTGCAGATCTGGGGTAGACCGCCAGCAGTGATCGGATGGGCGAGTCTGGGCTCCCTTGCCCCCCCCTGTCCCCCTTGACGTACACTATGCTGCACGCACGCGCACTTCCAGGCCAGCGCATGATCGTGAACTGGCACACCCCAGCCGCCAGCGTCGGTCACGATTCCCCCCTCCCTTCGCTGCGTTCGCCGTTGGTCTTGACAAAAGGACCGACCACTCTGCACAAGTGCACTGGAAATGGAAGGTGGCAAGTCGATAGGGAGAGAGAGTAGGTATTCTCACGACCGGCGGCGAAGGTGCCAGTTGGAACTTGGCAGTGAAGTCGTGTCACGGCACTAGAATACAGAATTCCCGTTCCGACACAAGTCGGCACCATGTCTCGGCGAGCTGCAAATCAAGTATATTAGACGTTGGGAGCAGCCAGGGAATCAGCAGTTGAGGGAGAATCATCCAGGTCTCTGTCCAGCAGCCAGGTAGCTAGTCGCCTCGCTTCCGATTCCCCCCTTCTTGCCCCCTTCTTGCACAATGTTCCCTCGTCCAGAACTTGCTTTCGGCCTGACCGCCGCTGCCACTCTGGCAGCTGCCGCGACGGGGCCCTGCGACATCTACGCGTCCGGCGGTACGCCTTGCGTCGCGGCTCACAGCACCACACGTGCTCTCTACGGCTCCTACACTGGTGCTTTATACCAGGTCAAGCGCGGCTCCGACAATGCTACGACCAACATCTCTCCCCTCTCTTCTGGCGTAGCCAATGCCGCGACCCAGGACAACTTCTGTGCCGGCAGTACGTGTCTCATCTCCATCATCTACGACCAGTCTGGCCGTGGAAACCACCTGAGCCAAGCTCCTGGTGGAAGTGCCGCCCAAGGCCCTAACGTCGACGGCACTGATTACCTGGCCGGTGCCACTGGTGCGCCAGTGACTTTAAACGGCCAGAAGGCCTATGGTGTTTTCATCTCGCCCTAGTGAGTATTCCATCTCTGCTCGACATGTCATTCTCATTCATTCTTCTGCGCTCTCCTTCGTTCTTATCTCTCTGACTCGATCACACACAGCACTGGCTACCGCAACAACCAGGCTCAGGGTACGGCCACTGGTGATTCCGCCGAGGGCCTCTATGCTGTCTTTGATGGTACGCATTATAACGCGGCTTGTTGCTTTGATTACGGGAATGCCGAGATCAACAGCAAAGACACGGGCGACGGCCACATGGAGTCCATTTACTTCGGTTCGGGCAAGAATTACGGCTATGGGGCCGGCTCGGGCCCCTGGATCCTTGCTGATCTCGAGAATGGTCTGTATACAGAAAACGGCCTTGGCCAGTACTCTAACAACCCGACTCAAAACTCCCGCTTCGTAACCGCCGTTGTTAAGGGCGATAATGGCAATCAGTGGGCGGTTCGCGGCGGCAACTCTGTTTCGGGCGGACTTACAACCTACTTCAGTGGACCTCGACCGCCGCCTGACTACAACCCCATGAGCAAGGAGGGCGCCATTATCCTCGGCATCGGCGGCGACAACAGTAACGGGGCTCAAGGCACATTTTACGAGGGTGTGATGACGACCGGCTACCCGTCCGACGCCACAGAAAATTCCGTGTATGTACATTTCAGACTCTCATACGGCCCTTTCTGGCCACGTCTCAGGGGCGAATTTCCTCTTCTAGCCTGTGTCAAGAGCACTTGCTCCCGAGACACGAATTACGACTCTTTGTTTCCCATCGAAAAGGAGTAATACTGACTCTAATTCGCTAATAGTCAGGCTAATATCGTGGCGGCTACGTACGGCACTACAGGCCTTACGTCCGGCCCAGCCATCAACGTCGGGTCGCACGTTTCCTTGCGTGCTACGACCTCGTGCTGTACGGACCGGTACATCGCTCACAGCGGCGCCGAGGTCAACACCCAGGTCGTGTCTAGCTCTAGCACGACGACGCTCAAGCAGCAGGCTTCCTGGATCGTGCACACGGGCCTCGGCAACAGCGCCTGCCTGTCGTTTGAGTCGGCGGACACGCCCGGCAGCTTCATCCGCCACTCCAATTACGCGCTCGTGGTCAACGCCAACGACGGGGGCGTCGTCTTCGCCCAGGACGCCACTTTCTGCCCCGAGGAGTCGCTCAACGACGCCGGCTCCAACATCCTCCGCTCGTGGAGTTATCCGGCCCGCTACTGGCGCCATTACAGTGCCGAGCTCTTCATTGCGGGCAACGGCGGCCCGCACTTCTTTGACACGCCTTCCAGCTTCAACGACGACACCAGCTTCGCCGTCGGCACTGCCTTTGCCTAGTCCAGCAGTCCATGCCGGAACTCCTTTTCCGTACATAGACTCCTCGTCGGCTCAGCATTATTCTTCGAAATAGTTACAGATTGGCAGCGACATAAATCGAACTGTACATATGACCAGGAAACCGTTGCACATGTCTCTTTGTTGTCATCGTGATTGCATGCGATGGTGAGATGGGGGTGTCAGCAATACTACCCACCTAGAAGAAGTAGAAGCCTCGGTTGTGGTTGGCCATGCCGCCATGCCGGCGTGGCCACATGTCAAATAGAGCCTCTTTTGTCATGGCATGGGCCCTCGGGTGTGGCTGCACAGGTCACGGTGACAGTGCCGGCACGGGGCGATGGGGGAGAGACTAAAAAAGGCACGTTACATATCCCTCATACCCCACATATCGAATACCTTCAAGCTTCAAGTTGGTGTCGAGTTGGGGAACATGGTGTGCGGGGAACCGTAGCAATGGTGTACCAGAGGGGAAGGTGGCAATCGTCGAGACCCGAGACTGTGGATAACCCCTCGTGACCTGCCATAGTCATCTCAATCCAGCTGCAGCGCACGTGATCTTTGCCAGCTCGCCGGCAGACGACGCCGCAAGCGGCTTGATCAAGGTCGTCGATCCCATTACCTAGGTACTGCGGTGATAAACATACCATTTATACAAATTTTTATATAAAGTAGACTTAATGTTATCAAAACATTTGAAAGTTCTTTGTTCGGATTTCCCTACACCATTTTAGCTTGCGTTGATCGTGGCTGGAGAGGTATTGCCCAGCTCGAAGAGGCTTACCATGCGGGAAACCGGCTGCATCTTTCAGGTGGCTTGGTTCAGGTGGCTTGGTGCAGCAACATCTCTGCTCTTCGATGTGTCTCCGCCACCCGTACATTCTGCCCATGCTGCCCATGCCTCCCATACCACCCGTTCTGCCGTAAGGTGAGGAGTATGGAGATGAGTAAGCGGGGTTGTATGGGTTATTTCCCATGCGACCATAGGCCGAGGCATTCTGGTTGACTACAGATGACAGTGCGTCGGGACGCGGTGAACAGCGGGCGAAATCCTTACTGCCACCTCGTCCGGTTCGAGTCGTCGCCGGGATACCCTGTTGGAGGCAGTTTTAGCGGGACACGTTCAGACTGGGATAACACGGGTCGATGATGCCGTCTTTATCAACGGAAACGGTGTGGAAGCGTAACTTACGAGTGCCAAGTGGGGGCGGCGGTAAACCGTGAGGCTCGCGCCCCTGCGCCAGGACGTGATCATGCGCCGAGTGGTTCTGTGGTCTTGATGAGAAAGCCTTCTTTGCCGTTCATCTTCAGTCTGCTCGTAGCGACATATTCCCAGAAGTATGTAGCGTCTGGTAGGAAGCTGTCAATTTCGAAGAAGACAACCAGATCGCCGGCTTTGTACTCTTCGTGCTTCTTCGCTACCACACTCCAACCGTCCACCATGACGACATCGTGGCTCGAGCTGCCCCGGATGGGGTGGACGCTGGCGATGCGCCGGACGGTCACCATGTCCGGCGGCATGTCCAGAATGGTCGAAGATGGAACATGAGCCGGAGCGAGAACCTGAGCCGGAAGAAGACACGAGGCGAACTCGAAAGTCCAGCGGTCGCCGGAACAGGTGACGAGATCGACGAAGGAGATGGCTTCATGGCCTCAAGTTGTTCTCGAATGAAAATCGTCTGCAAAAGATATGGGGTTAGCCAGAGGCCACAGCAGCACGATCTGATGGCCGGATGAAGATTATTGACCTTGTACGTATGCACAACGGAACAGTGTCATTACCTTACCGCGGACGATCTGGCCAATGCGACCAAGAGGTCGGTGGGTGTTGTTGTGTGCTGGATCCATTGCTGGATCCATTACGAAGTTGTAAGGATGAGTTTTCTTTTGGGAGAAGCTGTAGAGATGTCTGGAATGAGGAGTGAATACACCATTGGGTATGGAATTCGGGATTGTGGAGTGATATGTATTCGTGGGTAGGGATATGGGCTGAGGATTTCGAATGGGGGTAAAACTCAAAACGTGGGTGTTAGGGCGCAGTGGTCTCCCCTGGGTAGGACCACTCGCATATAACTGGCAACATCCTCGTACTCCTGGAGCTGAACCATGGGCATAATGCTCGGGGATCTTGTGATCACTAAAGTCTCGGTTTTAGCTGACCCCTCGTGGGGTTGACTCTTGAGTCACCACTGAATACACGAGCCAGACGTTGACACATGAATCACGGAGAGAGCCGGTCCCAAGGCAAACGGTTATGTCTTCACTACTGGACAACACGAAACACTTACTCTGTAATAACCTGCAAGCAGTGTGCTCAAGCTGTCTTTCACCCACGTGTGGCAGAACTTGGTCAGGGACAGTGACAGTGACAGTGGAAGCTGACAGACCCATGCTAAGGATGTCTATGGTTCGGTCAGTCTGAAAGCAGTCTCCCACCGTCTTTCTGCAAGAGAGAATGCTGTCAAAGACTGGCATTCTCGTCAGTTCTAAGTCACATAGTCCCTGCGTTAAGACAGCTGATGTTGTGAATACAAACTCAGCTCTCGTGCACGAAGCAAATACCAGCCAGCCATTTGTCTCCTACTGGTCTAGATCACCATTAATGTATGCATGCCTCAAGTTCACTCGGTGCAGGTATTCTATGGACCCTTGGTAGCCTCACTTAATGCTGAGTTTTTCCGACCAATATACGATCTGAAATGTGAGTCCTGAATTCCACTTCGTGTTGATATGGCATCATGGCTGCCCCTCAGATTGTACTTAGAGTGCACAGCGAGACCTCGATGCCCTTTCGACTTCAGTAGACCGTCTTCCAGATGTTCAAGGTGTCCTCATCCTGGATGCCTTCCTAAAAGCGTAATCGTCACAGTGCCTCGTAAGGGCTAGGTTGAAGAAAAACAAGGCTCCCACACGGTCCGAGGTCGCCACATGGGCCAGTTGGTGATCGGAAGACCACCCTCCCTCATTCCCATTACGTCTGGTGGGGCACAGGCGAAGCCGTGACGGGTATTAAGATTCTGGAGTAGCAGCATTGTGGGCTACGGACTCAGCCGGTAGATGACATTGTGGGCAGTAGTTGATGGCCTAGCCACTCAAATCAACTTGGCTCATAGTTAAAACAAGATCAACAAATACAGCCCAGAGCATATAAGTAAACAATTAGAAGCCTCCCGTCTCTGATCAATCATATACAGTCTACCTAGCTGCTCTAGTTACGCAAATCAGCACCAAGATAGTCTTGTACTTGGTCTCAATTCCCAACTCCCTAGCTTTGTTAGACGTTAACCTGAATGGTACCCACTTTGTTAACGCCGCCGGCCTTTGTACCTTCTTCCTGAACCCAGTCGCCCAGGGCGTCGTAGACGGTGTTTCCACTGCCTTCTCCATCGGGACACCAACCCGCTTGGCGGTTGCGTCAGTGACGGTGGCATCCATAGCCACACGACCGTCCTAGAGAACAGGGGCAACCATCGTCTCGTTTTCAGCGTCTTCCGTAACGAGGCCACCATCCACGGGGGACGATGCAGCCGAAGAAGCTACGACATCAAGGTTATCCGCTCCCAAGTAAGATTGGTTCTTCCAAAATTCCGAAACCGCTCCCTTGGTCAGAGCAAGCTGCGGTCTATTCTCGTCCGCCATCATCTCTGGGCGAATGTAGCGGCAGCAGTCAGAAAGCGGACCTCAGAAGGGAACCAACAAGCATGTTTGAGTGCGTTGGCTGGAAACCTGTCGCCGGTCCCGTGAAGCTCATCGGTGATGAGCTTCCCACTAGTCACCTGTAGGCTTCATGGCCGCGTAGGTGACACCAGGATGTCGTAGCGCAATCGTAAGCATGCTTTAGCGCGTTGGCCGAAAATCCGTAGCCGAGGCCGTGCAGTTGCTCGGTGAGAAGTTGCCACTGCGCACCTGCATCCTTCATGACCGTGTAGGTCGCAGGAGATGTCATGGTGCTCAACCTCACCCCAGGTGGTGTATTTGCCGTCGGGCATGATGATACAGTACAGACGAGAGACTGGAACGATGCGATGAGGATGCGAAAAGTGTCGCCCGTTCGAAGGTATTCGACAGTAACGACAACTTCATCAACGTCGACCATCCCCGCTCGGTACCATCGCCACCCCTTGTAAATCCCTTGTCCGGGCGTTGTGTAGGATTATGGCCCTCATCATGTCCCATACTGCCTTGCTTCCGAGGCGAAACAACAAGCGGCGTCGAGGCGCTCGGGAATGTTGTTGCCATGGAGCATCAAGGTGGCGATCTTCTGGTCCACCGAGCTATAGAAGGTGTGGACTGCTCGAGCCTGGAATCTGGTGGTCACGAACGGGTAGCTGCCGATCTATGGGGGATAAGGATGAGAGGTCCGCGTCAATAAAGTTGCGTGTGAGGTGATAGGACCACGAACTCGAAATAGGAGACTTACCGTCAACTTCCCCGAGCGAGCAGCAGCAGGCCGTTATCGTCGCTGGAATGTTTTGGTCACATCCGCTTCATCATTCGTCTCGCGCGTCCGCACATAACTTCTCGAGCAGGCGGATCTCGGCCTCCTAGCGGTCTACCGGGAATCTTGAATTTTTCGAGACAAGGATTCCTAGGCAATCATAAGGAATGCCCATGAGAACACCCTCAATGGTGTGATAATACTCGTTCGGGCAAGGAATGACGATGGCCATCTGCGTCTCGGTGCTTGTCGGCGCCTCTCTCGGCACAACGTCATCTCCATTCGCGGGCGAGGGACCTGAGTCCAGTTCAATGACCCGCAGAAGCTCGTTGATCTGGACGTTAACAAACTGCGGTCTACACCGATATGCTATCGATGAGCTTGCGGGCCAGAGTGTCCACACGTTCTTGACGCACCTTCGCATGTTTAGTCTCGTAGGTTGCAAGCTTCTTTCCTTGCTCCTTGCTTAGGCCTCCCTTCTTCTTCTCTTTCTTAAGCAGCTCCTTTTCTTCCATCTGACCCGCTACATATGTATTCCCTGACGGCCGGTCCATAATCGCGGGTCGGATCGGTATGTCATGTTTTGAGCGCGCTGAGGTTCCAGATTTGCTGGGAGCTGGCCAGATAGCTCGAGGTGCCACGGGCACAGATAGACGAAAACGATCTCGTCACCCTGCTCCAGAAGGCTTCTAACTGGGCCTCTCCAATGCAAAGCAACATCCAATAATGCACATGGCATGCGTGTCGGTCGTGGTCACTTGGTCGTAGGAGAGCGTGCGCTGAAGGACCATGAATGATGACCTCAGCCATCCGTGCCATCGTCAGACAAATCGTTATTAGCTGTGATCGCTTCGTCTGAAATCCCAACACCTCCATCTGGTAGCTCAGACACACTGTCCGTCTTCTTCTGGGCATATAAGTTGAGCAGCTGTTCCTTCCTTTTTGCGCACGGGCAACTGGTCGAAGTCGGATGTTGATCAGCTTCTTTCTGGCCTGTAACAAGACAACGCAAGCCTCTCTGAATCTGTCCATGTCGCATTGGTGTCGTGCGTGGTCCACCAACCACAGTGACAATACTTATCCAAAAACTCGCCCTGGACCATAATTTCTTCTCGCTGATTCGTACCAGCGCGCTCATCTCTGACGTGCTTCAATGGCTCGATCGAGAGTGGCACTTCGGGAGGTTGACAGCGTGGCGTCCGGCTACGTGCCGGCCGACTTGGGATCCTTCAGGACGATGCCGAGTATAGCGGGCACGCCGTATATGCCATTATCACCGGATAGTTTCGCCTTGGGAGTCATGGTCAATGTTCTGATATCGAAGAACGAAACATGAGTTGATTCACAGGCGAAGTTCAGGATACTGGTCGCATGTTCCAGGGTGCTCCTGTGCGAAGGCGGTAACAACAAATGGCTTGGCAGAAGCGGGATGGGCAAGGTGCCGACGAAAAGAAGGCTGGTGAAAATTATCTTGACCGTAAGCATGGCAATCAGCCCGACGGCGAGCACCATACTAAGATAAGTGCCGTTTCCGGCGGAACTGAACTCGAGCCAGTCCTCATCGCCCGCCCTCGTTCGAGAAGATAGTGGAACATCGTTATGCATCTTGACACTGTATACATTAGAACATAGCTTTTTCGTCTCTACGTCTGTGCCAAGACGTACTTCATGCGTACGCAGCCAGGCGCGAACTATTGTGACTGATCACATCTTGGTCTGGGAGAGATGCTGGGAAATAGGGGTAACAAGAGCCGGCGATCGAGCGTCGACCTCTGCCGATCGGGATCCATCCCGTCTGTCTGTCGATTAATGGTTGAATGCAGACCGACGGGCACCGCGTAGCAGGCGTCTGAGGCCAGGGAGTTAGCTGAGGCGGCTGGCCCCAGTTGTCCTGAGTCGGAGTCGTTCCTGTGTCAGAGGGAGTGAAGGGGTCAATGCTACCCGCAGAAGGCATCTCGTAGCCTAATTCCACCGTAGAGTACATGACGGGCGCAGGTAGCAACTCGGGCGCAGGTTGCACCTGGTACCTCCGAGAGTCAACGTACGCGACCTGAGAAACCTTCACACCGTTCATCATACGGAAGTAGTGGAAGGGCTGGGTCATGATGAACTGATGGTATCACAAGTCAGTGTATCGAGTAGCTCGGGTGGATGTCTTCATCTGGGCTGGGGTCGAGTGCGGGCCCTTGGGGTCTGCCTCGATGACTTGTCGGGACTGCTGGGGGGCTGCCGTTTTTAAATTAGCCCATGTTTGGTAGGCAGACACCACTGATCGTGCGCAACGAGGCGGAGGACCCGGCAAACTGCGCTACACTCGCCAATGACTCACCTAGAACTTGAAGCAGGTTCTGGTTGTCAGTTCCAGATCACTGTTTGAGTTCCCAGGCGTATACGCTTCTCTTCACACTCTGCTAGGCGTGGGTGTAGCCGGCGTCTGAGGCCAGGAAACCGCAGGCAGGCCCCTGTCGTCCTGAGTGGGAGTCATTCCTGCGTCAGAGGGCATGAAGGGCTCCGTGCTACTCACGGACCCATCTCTTCGGGTGCAGCATGAGGAAATTCAGGGCCAGTGACTCTACGAGGACCCCGCGAGCCGATAATGGGACCTCTACGAGGTCCAGGAGTGTCTATTCTTCCACCACGGCTTCCATCACAACCTGCGCAGCTGCCGACGGCCGCCTTACCCAGCGATGCCCTGGATGGTTTTCTTGCCGGCATCGTCCCACTGATCGAAGACGCTGATGAGAATGGCGACGAGCTGGTTGAGGGATTGACCTGATCGAGCAGCATGTTGTCTCATATCTGCTGGTGGGTGAGGGCGTGATTGTAGACCTCGACGGTGCAGAATTCGGCAGCGAACTGCTGATCCTGTTGAATGGTCGACATGGTGCCGCGGCTGGCCCGCGCAACTCCTCAAAGTCCTGATGTTGATGAGCTTCTCTCTTGCCTGTAACAAGACGACGCAAGCGGCCCTGAATCTGTTCATGTCGGATTGGTGCCGCGCATGGTCCATCAACCACAGAGTCCCTCGGCCATTGACACACGCGTCGTGGTAATCGCAGATACCTTGAATTCGCCGCATGGTTATGTGCGGTCAGGGGACGTTCCAGCCTGAATCGCGGTGTGTGGATAGCTGTGCGCCCCGAGAACCTTTCCAAGCAAGCCGTGCAACGCACTGAAGTCAAACGCTCCTTCGGGTTCCTGGTTTCTGCGTCCCCTGTCAGACAGAGCGTGGGGGCTTTTTGATGGGTGAAAAGGTGTATTCTGGTGGTATCCGTCTTCTTGTTGTATCTCTGTGAAAATCCTTCTGTGGGCTAAGTGGCCCAAAAATGCCCTATTGGCCTTGTTGGTGCACTGCCACCTCCCTGAACGCCACGGTGGCTTGCGCGCTATTCAACAGCTCCAGGATAGTAGCGGCAGAAGCAGCACGAACACCAGCCTCCTCTGCCAAATGGGTCTTCCGAGTGACAGTAGACTTCTTCCCATTCAGAAAAACCCAGCCAAGGCGGCTGTCCGGGTTATACAGAGAATAGCAGGGGGCGTCTTGGATGAATCCAGGGCTTGGGCGCTGGGTTGGGAACTCAGACTCCGTGGCGGACGATGTGGGATGTCTCACTGGTGGTTGTTATGGATCAGAAACAGGTTGCAGTGTTGAGATGCAAGAATTTTACAAGCGAAAAAAAACCTTAGTAGGGGCCAGAGATTATCTCATGATGCAGCTTGTAGTAGTAGTAGTAGTAGTAGTAGTAGCATTTAACGCCAGGGGGCCTGCCGCAGAGCGGCGGCCCTGGGCCTCCAAAAGGGGGCGCGGGCGTGCTAGGCTAGGTCTCGTACTATATATATACATACAGCTTCCCAGCTAGCAGATCTCGTTCATAAACAGCCACTGTATCTAAGCAGCGGTTCTCATCGTGTCCCCCCTCCTCCGGGTGAGGGTTAGTGCCAACGTCATTTATAGTCTTTATATTCCTGACATATCCAAATTCAAACAGCTTGATGCGAGCTATAGGGTAAGATTTATAGAACTTATGCTCCTATTTTATATACAAATGTATTATAAAAGAGAAAAATATAAAGCAGATCCCCGAGACACTGCCTAAATAAAGAAAAATATAAGTGCCATCAATAATAAGGGCAGATGCCGCCATAAAAGTCGGTGGCTAGGAGTAGGTCTCAATACACTATAAGAATGGACATGATATCGCGCAGGTAGTGTTGCCATTCTGGCCTGATAGGCCGCCTAGAGGGGCCCAGGGGCCATCTCTTGTATTGCTTGATGGATTTCTGGAAGTGGACGATGTGTTCTGGAGCCTTTGCCCTCCCGTAAGAGCATTCCTTGTTGGCATTTATATATTCAAACTTGTCGTAGTATCAGGCAAAGTCACCGTGTCCTGTGTGGGTAGCTAGGTATTGATGTAGTGCTGGACTGGTGAGCACCTGTAGCTCCTCATGGCAGCGCAGGTGATATCCAAGGTTCCAGTCCTTGTAGCGAGATGATAGCATTGTTTGCGCCTTGTTCTACTATTTCTCACAAGCTGTAGCTCCTTTTATTCGCACCATGGACTTAATGCCATAAGTTGTGGGCGTACAGTCACTGTCGATATCAGGCAGCTTGGAGCCAGCCTTGGCCAGCCTGTCTACAAGCTCGTTGCCTTTTATGTCGCAGTGGCCAGGACATCATTTAATAATGACGTCCCGGATCTCCACCGCAGCATAGAACTTTAGGTAGACCTGCTGACAGGACATCACGGCGTTGCTGCAAAGCCTGCAGATCGCTCCTATATTATCCACACATACCCAAATCCGGCGCTGGCTCAGCTCCGGAGGGGCCTTGATCACGTACTGGAGCCCTTTCCATGCTCCTACCACTTCCGCGTCAAATACGATAGAGCATGGGTATAGGCGGCCCCTATTTGAGGCGGCTAAGTGCCCGCCCTAGTAGACCGCGTAGCCGTATCCTATGTATATTTCCTCCTTGGATCTGTCTGAAAACACTACCACATCCTCTGGAGGCAGTACTTGAAACTAAGCCTTAAAAGACTTTGCTGCCTGCTCTTTGGTTTGACCTCTCGTGGGATCAACCCTGCAGCCCGGCATGAATCTTGGGGGCACCAGTAGGGGCCGTTGTACCGGGGGCAGCATACGTGCTACTGCCTGTATCTTGGTCTTGGGTTGTTGATACCCTCCTGCACCTCGGCCTCGTGCGATGGCCGGTAGAACAATTCGTCTTGTGAATAGGTGTAGTTTGTCCACAGTCCGAAGCCTGTATACAAAGCGCCATAGGGCCTGGTCCAGAGCTGTCTCTGCCGTTGGGAGTCCGGCGTCTCTGTATACCGTGTAGGTAGGGGTGGTCCGCCATACAGGGAGCACCGCACGCGCTGCCATGGTGAGGGCTCGCTGTATCATGGTAATGTACCCTCTTACACGGGCACTGACCTCTGCCTTGCCTGCTAAAAAGAAGTGGATTGCGGGCTTTTTCTGGCTGTTATACTATGCCTCCATGCTGTATAGCACTGTTGGGATGACACAGGTAATTACAGCCTTTTGTAGCCCGGACGCCGGTGGTCCGTTTTTCATGTTAGCTAGGTTGTGTATGTGCTTGCAAAGTTGTATTGCCTTGCCCGCACGTTCGGCGACGTGTCTCTTCAAGGTCAGCTTCCGGTCAAACCACACCCCTAACCACCGCAGTGCCGGCTCTTGTATAGGGTGGATAATGAGCCTCTCACCCACTACCATAAGAAGGTTGGCAGTATCTCTGCCCCTAATGATATAAAGCAGTTTGCACTTTTCAGGGGTAAAGAACACCTTGTTCTTATCTCCTTATTGTGAAACCTGCTTAAAATCGCTAGCTAGGAGTCCTACGTTATGCTGTAGCAAGTTGGACACCCTATAGAGCGCTATATTGTCAGCATATCCAAAGCGTAGGTCTCGATCTTGCTATAGTAATTCAGCCAGGTACAGCATATAGAGTACTGGTGACCATGGCGAGCCCTAGGGAGTGCTGCAATGCACTTCCCCAAAGTCCGTAGATGTTTGTTCCAGGCGTACCTTTGCACGCTGTTTCTCCAGAAAAGACTGTACCAGCTCAAGGCAGTCTATCGGCCAGCCTTGCTTCCTCATCCGTAGCAGGAGGCGTTTCATTAAAAAGGCATTAAACGCACCTTGTACATTAAGTATGGCCATTAAGACCTTGAGACCCTTAACTAGTGCTGCCTCCAATTATGGGTGAAGGAGGCCACCAGGTCCATGCACGCCCTTTTTAGAAGAGCACCGCCGTGTTGTAGGCTGAGCATCTCTTATAAAAGTGGTGTCCAGGCCATCCTTTTGGCTAATAGCCGCTCCAGGCTCTTGCCCAAGCAGGAGAGCAGCGCAATTGGTCTCCAGGATCGCACTGAAGAGCGGTCTTTCTTTCGTACCTTAGGGATCATTGATATATCAGTATCACGCCAGACTGTAGGATAGTGTCGCAGCTGGAGGCATTTCTTAAAGAGCCCGTGTACGGCATTCTTGATATGCTCTCAGCACGCCTTGAGCAGGCGTACCGTGATGCCGTCCACGCCAGGGGACGTGCTGGATACCCTTATTGTGTTTTATTCAATTTCTTCTATCGTAGTCGAGGTCTCCTAATAAAGCTTTGTTTCTGACTGTTGCCAGCCCTCCAATGGATCGTAGTCTAGGTTATCTGTGTTTGAAAAGCATCCTAATATCTCTTCCCGTAACACTCTTATCTTTTCTTTTATAGATTTTATGACTCGATTGATGGCCGTATGGCGTAATGGTCAAATGCGCCTGGTTGTGTTCTCGTTTGTGCGGTGGGCGACGAGAACAAGTGGGTTCGAATCCTGCTATGGCCCCCTTCTGACCCGGCTTGTGCGAGTCGATAACCAGCACACGACAGTGGAAAGGCCCCTTATCGCAGAGCCCGATAGCCAAGCAGCTTGTCTCCATAATACCCACTCCTGTGAGGTTTTTCCCCTTGTGGTTTCCCTCGCCAGCAGATAACAAACACCTACTTCACCCATTAATGTGACATATATCGAACGGCTATTGGAACGATGTGTTTACCAGAGGACTGAGGTTCACTGGGTCGCTTTGTCACTGGACAGG